TATTCAGATCCTTCTGCAACAAATGTTTGTGACTTTTATTTTAAATGTGCAAATTAGAATCACGATTGATGACAGCCTTAATATTAATCAACACAGTAGGATAATTGTAAAAAATTGCCTAGAATTTTAAATTTTTTATAGAACACTTAGAAACAGATCTGAGGCTGGGGCCTTATTTTGATTAAAACAGATACACGAAATCCGCGAATTTAACTTGTAAACCTACAAAAAAACCTTATATCATTTAAAGTAGATTCATTTATCATTTATATATCATTTAAAGTAGTCAGATTCATCTCTCAGCAAAATCAATTAAAATTGAAATTTGACAATTGAACTCAGATTGTTTGAATGTTTGATTAATGGATGTTTGAAAATTAAACAAACCTAATATAAAAAAATAAAATAATTTTTAAGTTATAAAAAATTATTATAGTTATAAAAATAATAATAATTAAAATGGACTGTAATGAATATTTCAACTTTCATTTGAATAATAATCCAACGAAGAAGTAGTGGAATGGAACTACTTAAATCTATCTATAATATGCATTCGCAAAAATTTTTTCATCACTTACTGGAATAAATTATCTTATGTGATGTTTGTCTGATCTGATGCATGTGCATATATATGTTTCTTATCTATGCATATTCCATTATCAGTTTTAACAAATAAGATTATTCATGATATTGTTGCAAAATGCAAATTGAAACCTTCCCTCTAATCCTTTTCTCGTTCTCTCTACAAACATCTGCCCTGCTTGCTATTTGATTAAATTTAGTTAATTAAAAATTAATTGCACTAATTTTTGACAAAATTCTTGTTTAATGCCCTTTATCTGTTAAAAAAGCATCATTAATCTTTTTCGCAACTGATAAAGCCTGTTTAAAAAAAAAAGAAATTTACCAACGGTAACGGAACAGTAAATTAAGGACAGACCTGGTTTGCAGTCAATGTGACCAGAACATGCTCCACCGGATTCACCACTCTTCGACTGATTTATCGATGAATGAAGTCGCTTCATCTATAACTGGGAAAAATCAAAAATTCATGTACGTATTACTTGGAACTAACAGTAAACCTTCAGCTATAATATTCTCGGATTCGTCATTCGATTCTAGAATAAATTTTATATATATATATATATATGTAGAGTGCAATTTTAAGAATCCGAATTACTATTATCGGCGCATATGGTACGGTGCGTCAAGGTGCTTTGAAGCCAAATTCCATTTCAGAGCAGCGATTTTAAAGGACTTGATGTCAAACCTTGTTGCACCGGGAAGTTAAATAAATAATCCTACTAAATTTTTAAATTGTAATGCAAGATTACATTAAAATTTGTTGTACTTATAAAAGTATGCATTGTGCTTGACATGAATAAAGTTGGCATCGAAGTGGATGTTCTTTCGATTTGCCAATTTTTTCGCAAGTTCTAAAATTAATTCATTAATTAGAAGCAGCAAATTTAGATTTTTCAAGATTAAATACGGTGCAGCTAAGCCGTTATAACGCTTTTATAAAAGAATCAAATGTGATAGACTTCCTTAGATATTTTACGGCAAAATAGCAGAAAATCATAAAGCATTACATAGGCTGCAAGGCGAAAGTAACTTCGGGAAAATTGTTACCTTTGGATCACTAATGGGAAGAATTGTCTTCTCTGCTTCCAGTTTTCTTAATCTTTTCATGATTGCTTTAACTTTCAACGATATTTGTCGTCGCCATTGCAAATTCGATACTCTTTCTCGTCGTTTTTTCAGTTTGTTCCGATCATCTTTAAATAAATAAGAAATAATAAATAATAACAAATAGTCAATTATATTACCAGTTAAACTCCCTTTTCCGGCCATTTCAACGGTTAAAAATGTTTAGAAGTAAGTCATCTGGCGAAGTCACCAGATGGTGGCCAAGCACTAATCGAATTTTTTAAATTTTTTTTAAAGATATGTGCCGCGAAATATTGTGAACTGAATTTATTTTAATCTATTGATGAGCTGACATTTTGGTGCTAATTTTTTTTTAAAATTTTCTTTTCTTCTTCTTTCAGCTCACACCATTACTAGTTAGGTTGGCTGCAACGGCTACAAGGATAAGAAGCGGCGCAATCTGATGCCACTGTCGACAGCAATAGAAGCCATTCTTTTTTCCATCGTCTAAGTCCATATATTGCTGGTCCACCTATATATTCAAAATCTTTTCTGACTGTATAATTCCAGGTATTGATTGGTCGATCCCGCTCCTGACGCTACCCAATACATGGTTTAGCAAGCAACGAAACTCCTGTGGTGGGCGACGAAGAACGTGTCCTAACTAGCGAATGCGATGTTCTATGATGGTACTGTTAATGCAAATAGTATTTAAACGAAGGTGGATGTAATCAAATGTACCTTAAACATGAATGGTCAAAGGCAGATAATTTCTTAATAATCTCCACTCTCATGTCTTACAGCCATAAAGGAAGATCGAACGAATCACGCTATACAGATGCGGACTTTCGTTTTTATGATAATTTCATGACGGCTAATAAAGGTTTCGTCAACCGGAAGAACGCACTCTAATCACCGAACGTAAGTGGTATTTGAAACGAAAGTGAATGCGATGAAATTCAGTGAAATTGATCGAACTATTTCAGCTCGAACTTTATCCACTATTCATAAAAAGTTTTCACTTCATTTACATTGACCTTGAGTCTGATTCTTATTTAGCATTACTTGCATTTCGTCATAACTATCAGCAAAAAGGACTACATCATTAGTGTATTCAAGATCTGTGATACGAAGCTCTGGATTGATTTGGATGCCTCTTAAGTCCCGATGTCCATTAAAATTTTCACGTTGCTTCTAATAAATTTCCATCTTAAATTACATCTTTTTCTATTTTTATTGTTTTGTATGAATTTTATTTTAACATTTTATATTTAGTATTTTGGCGCCTGCATTTCTTCTTTTTTTAAGTTTAGTTGAGTAGAAAGACGATAGCTCGAATTCCGAATTTTCGTAGTTTTTAAAATTTTGAAATTTTTGTTTTTTTGATTGCCTCTTCTCGAGTACCACTCGGTTATTCTATTTCTTTATATGCTTTAAGATTATTTATAGAATATTTTTAGAATAAAAAACAACTCCAAATGAATGAATTGCATGGATGGAATTTAACACTACATAACTATCTTTGTTTTCTCTGTTTTGGAGACATAAAACAATTAATGAATCCCTAATTAATGAGTAATTAATAAAAAAAATATTTCATCTACAAAATAAAATAAATGAATAACTAAAACAATGCGAAACAGAGGAGAAAATTTATGGTACCACAAATACAAAATTTAGAATGCAGATTCTATTTAACAGACGGAAAAAATGGTTCTTTAATAAGTTAGATTTTGCCAGCTAATTTTCAAAAAGACTTATAATGAAAAATAAAAACATGTAAAAAAAAGAACTGGTTAATGAAAGCGGGATCTGAGGATACCTGCGCTGTCCCAGAGGGTTTTCAGAGGTCCTCGAAGCTAAAACCAGTACTATATAAATATATAGTAGCATTATAAAAAAGTTTTAATTTCAAATAACAGATATCGTGAAATACACAAATAAAACGAGCTCCTCATTAATTTTTAAGAATTCTCATAAGGTTTCAGCTCCTAGAAAAATGATAATTATGGTTTAAAATGATAATTGATAATTAAGCATAAAAAATCTAAATAAATAAAACTTACCAATCTCTATAAATGAAAGAAAATCAAAAAAAAATTTCCAAGAAAAGTCTAAAATAGCTGAAAAAAAATGCGAAAAAACCGAACCACTTCATTAAAAAATTAAAGAACAGAATCGACAGAATCGAACGTAAATATGCCATTTGCCGATTATCGCCAATTAAAACTTGAAAAACTCACAAAAATCGTTAAAAAAACAAAACACATAATGAAAATAGGAAAATCCTCAACCAAAACATCGATGAGCATTTGGTTAGTCGAAGTAAACCTCTCACAACTAAACCGTTTAGAAGTGAGAAATTATTAAAAAGGAAAAATTAAGAGACGAGAAAAATAATCTGTTGCGTTTGCATTTTTGAATGGCAGATGGTGACGGTGGTGGCCCATGTTGCCACTTGCTTACAAATTATTTAATAGTCCAGGCACCGCTATACAATTTTAATAGCTATATGAGCAAAATTATAGAGAGTCTTTCAGTTTCACCTTCTCAAATGTTTGATTCCGATGTCTCGGCTTAGAAAAACGGGCATTAGTTATTATGTAAGTTATTCTAAAAGAAACTCGGAATTCCCAGAATGTTCTTTATTATTCAGACATTAAATCAAACAATTCCAAGAAATGATTTTAGAAAATTCTTCGACTTTTCAATTTTCTGCTTGATTACTACAAAGAAATTTTCTTTCTTTTCCAAAATAAGCCAGAAATTAAAATCATAGAGATTAAAGTAACTATTAAACTAACTGAGCTTAGGATTTTTCCTTTCCTATTGGAATAAGGAAAAGTTGACGGGAAGAAATATTTTTGGATAAATAAGGATTGAGAAAAAAATTTTTGTATTTTAGAATTTTGTTTTGTACTCATTAACCGATGAAAATTAGAACATTTCTTTGTTGATAGGTTCACTTTTTTATACGAAGGATTTCGATGACAAAATTTTATGCCTTTTTGCCGGCTAATTATTTTTCTCTCTTCTTTGAAAATTCTATTATCCAATCGAAATAAAATTGTTTTAATACTGTCATAAAAAATTAATGAAGTAAAACTAAAAGTCGTCAGCAACTAAGCGCTTAATTCTTCTGGTTAGATTCGTTCCACTAGTTGTCATTACGACTGGGAACTTTTGCCAGAGTCACTTGCGACGGAAGCATAGACAGCTCGCTAGCGTGAGCAGGATTTTTTGGCAATGGCACGTTCACTCCTACAGAAAGAAGGGTCCGAAACTTAACTCTCAAGCTACTCTAAGCAGAGACTCTGGCAACATTTTATATTACCTCTACTGCTTTACTATTAAGCAAGTGACAAATATATACCTTTATAAAATACTCGTTTTGAATGTAACTGATTGGATAGTTCACGAATTTCATCGCGCAATTGTCGTAATCGTTTACGTTTTCGCTTTAATAAACGCCACTCGTCTTTCATTTGCTGAAAATTGGTTGCGAACATGCAAAAGATTTAGCGATTAGATGAATTCACAGATAATTTATATCTTTCTTGGCTTTTTAGTGTTCCTCTCGCAGAATTTCCCAATTCGTCGAGAATTTTAATGAACTTAAGAAGATCTGAATTTAACCTTAGTAATAACCGTTTTCTTCGCATAAATCGGTAAATTCGTTGCATTCCTTTTAGATATTAAATGTCGCATTTGTCTCATCGTTTTAACTGGCATTAACATCAGCGATCGTTTTACAAATATTCCTCTATATAAAACGAAATGAAAGGAAAAAAGGAATAAAAGAATTAAAATTTTGTAGGAAAACATGAATTGAGAAAGCTGAGATGTATACGGAAGGATTCGGTATGTGAATGAATGAAAGGAAGAGGATTAAAGCGTCGAAGCCTTTCGTCAGTCCTTAGCGTCCGTTGTTTAATGCAGCGATGGATGGAAAAGAAATTTTCTTGATTTGCTCGAAATCGATTCTCTCCTTCATGAAAGCTTCCTCAAACAAACAGAACCACGCCCTTTTGCCTTTACGAAATCTTTTCATTTTTCGTTTTTGGACTCATTTGGACTCATTTGTTTCTAAGGAATGCGACTAAACAATTGCTAACATTTTTAGCTGAGCTCATTTTAGTTTTTTTTTCTGGATAATCGGTTAGCGATAAAAGTACTGACGGATCACCAGAACCACCCCAATTTTTCACTGACGGGTTTGATTCCTTCAAGGATAAGAAGCAACCTGCAGATTTGTAATATAGCAGCCTGGGTCATTCCACTCCACCATCTACTCGCGCATCCAACTCCACACTTATATATATAATAAGAAAAGTAAGGGAGCAATACATATCTTAAGGCAAGCCAGATTTAACCAATTACAAATTAAGAAAGGAATTATTTATTGGTACTTTTTGATATCAATCATTTAAATAATCTGAAAGCAACGTCAGTAATTTTCCTATGGTACCAGCATTTTGATAGTTATTGATATGGCAAGTCGAATCAAAAATATTAGCAAGATCCAAATAGATGGCTGTGAATCCAAAATCATTATCAATAGAATCAGTCAAGTCGTAAAGATTGCTTATTAATTCCGTATTTCCAATTTATCAAATTTCTTGAATAAATACATAGATTTACGATAATTTTAAGATGGCTTCAGGTAATTAATTAAATTCCTATTAATAATCCGATTTATAAAATGTATCAAACACTTTCTCTTCTATTCGAGTTAAATCAAATAACAAGGAGGGTAAATAAAAATTAGCTAATTAGCTGTCTGCGAAAATTTCAGTTTTATCTCTCAAAAGACTTTGACAATATCTCAAATTAGGACAAATTAGGAAATATCTTCATATATTTGCGTTTAGGGTTCCGGAGATGGAGGAAAGGTTCTTGCTTTCATGTCGGAATACCAGAAGTGAGGCTCTATTTCCGGCAAAAGCAAACATATTTTCCAAAATCCATGTGGCTCAACTAGAATTTCTTAAGCCAGTTCTCCGGCAAAATTTATCTAGTCCAACCAGCCGGCTGAGCGAGCACAACCAGAAATGGTGAGTACTTTTAGAAAATGGAACATTTATTTGGTTTACATGTAACTTGTCACAACAAAAAGTCCGTTGGAAAATATTCCAGCAATCCAATTATTTTTTGATAAATAGTCGCTTGCAATTTCCGCAAAAAGTGATATCTTTGATACTTTTTGGTGAAAACTTTTATGACGCAATAACCGAATGTGATCGCTGCTTACTTTGTCATCTCAGTATCAGAGCGAGCGTTAATCGTTTAATTAACTTAATTTACTAAATTAATAAAAATCGAAAAAAATAATGAAAAGTTTTATAATGAATATGCAATTTATATTGAAATAGAGCCAAAGAATCTGCAAACAAATTTCAAGGAAATCCATAAAATTAAATTAGCAATTAAAATCAACTATTAAATATTATAGAATATTTTTTAAAGATATTTAATTATTTATTTCTGATTTAAAATTGTATATGGGAAATTTTTATGGAAAAAATAATGCAAATAATTAAAATTATTGGTTCGGAAATAAATAATTGGCAAAATGATGAATGGCAGGCAATGGCGATCACCTGCATGGCATGGTAAAATGATCACTGAACTATGAACCTATTATCTATTGGACCAGTCAGAATGACAGATGTTGTGCGAAGCAAATGATTACAGATATCATTAAATGTATTAAAATGGATAAAAATATAATATAAAAACGAAATTTTCGCAAAATTGAAATTTTAGAATAAAAGAGTTTTTTAGTTCTTTGAGCAACTTGCTTGCAACGCTAGTTCAGAATGGCTTCATTGTCCACTGACAAAATGACGAAATATTTCCAGGACACCGAAGAAAAAATATGAACTAATTAATGTTAATAGATACAAAGAATCTATTAAAATGAAACTTTTTTTCACTATTTTTTATATTAAAAAAAGGGAAAAAAGAGAAAGGCTGAGAGTATTCTATAAATTCTATTCTATATATTCTATTCCAACCTATTTTCAAAGTTATAATAGCGAATTAATCGGAAAATTTAGTGAAAAGTTTCTAATGAAAATCTCAAGTTTGTTCATAAATCCGATATTTTTTAAGACGATGGAATGAGAAATTTTCTTTTTGTTTTAAGTGGCTATTCTCTATTTCCCCTATTTCCATATTGAAGAGGGATTATCTAAAGAAAAACATTTAATTATATAATCTAGTGTTCCATTTTAATAGAAGTAGAATAGGTGGCTGGTTAATCACTTAGACTGTTGTGTTGGGAATCAATTCGGCTCGTTACAAATTTACCATTAAAAAATCTTGTTCATGCTAGCCAACCGTCTGCAATTTTATGGCGAAACGATTTGTTGCCAAAAATTTCTAATTATATCAATAATTAGTGGAGCAAGCCTAGCTAAAAATGGCTCTAACTATTTATTGTTTCTATAAAACCTTTGGTATATACGAAATTCTTTCTAGAACTTTTCATTATTTATTTGCAATTTTCTTCTTCTGGGACCATTCATATGATTCGTGTTTTGGCGAACCATTTTCTACGATTATTTTCTATTTTTCGCCGGAGAGCCATTTGAAAATATAAATGTAAACACAATACTCTACTCTATTTACTCTAAAATAGGAATCAGATGCATAATGATGCTTAAATTACATTTTTTTAAAATAATACGTCGATTAAAACGAAATCTGATATTTTTTATAGATATTGTAATTTATATTAATAAAAATTTAAGGCAAGGATTTGATTATCAAATATGTAAAATATTTTATTAATTCGGTTGATTTCGATTCCTTTTTGACAAAATATCTGATTCTGAAAAATTTCTCTCCGGAAATTTAAATTTTCATATTATAGAATTGCCTTTTTAAAAAGGCATTGTTCATCATTATCAACCTTTTATTACATTAGTATTTTGATATATTGACTAGATTTTTATTTGAAATAAAATCTCATCTTACAAATTCTTCTTTTAACCACTGCATTCATTCTTTTTCTTCCAATAATTCTTCAAACAATTTTAATATTTTATAGTCTTTTCGTCTTATGTGCAAGAAGCTGATTAAATGTCTCTTTTTGTAAATTCATTGCCGGTTGAGGAAGTGCCCGATTTTAAATACCTTGGGTCCACTCTAAAACCAAATGGACATGCAAAAGATGATATTACAACTCGGATCACGGCAGCTAGAAATGCATTCTTCCGGTTGACGAAACCTTTATGGAATCGTCGTGAAATCACCATAAAAACAAAATCCGCATTTATATTGCCATGATCCGTTCGATCCTACTATATGGTTCTGAGATATGGCCAATGAGAGTGAAGAATATTAAGAAGTTATCTACCCTTGACCACTCTTGTCTAAGGTACATATTACGGAACCGTCAAGCTGATATCACAAGATTGCATCCATCTTCGTCCACCACAGGAGTTGACGCATATTTCGTGATTTGCTAAACTGCGTGACGATTGGCGTCAAAAGCGAGGTGGGCCAATCAACACCTGGACTGATACGGAGAGAAAAGATTTTGAACGTATAGGTGGACCCGCAATATATGGACTTAGACGATGGAAAAAGGAATGGCTTCCATTTCTGTCGACGATGGCATCAGACGGCGCTCTTGGAAGCGTCTTATCCTCGTAGATATTGGAGCCAGCCTAACCAGTAATGGTGAGAGCTGTTAGAAGAAGAATATTTTATAGAAAATACGTATATATATGTATATATGTAGACAGAAAAAAATCTATGTCTACAATGAAAAATTGAGAAACAGTTAGTGGCTCAATGCTTCATCATAAGAAAAAGGGAACTCCTTTCTCCGTTGAAGATGGATCAATTCTGCGCTATAAAGGGGACCTAGAATATTCAGAAAGAAAAGAAAAAAGTAGATGGCTGTGGACGCAACAATCTAGAAAGCTGGAAATCACCAAAATCACTTCGCTGCAGAGCAGAGCATTGACATGAGGCAGAAAGACATGAATAAAATAGCTGTAGTTGACCATCGAAACCGATCACCGAGGCTCAGTAATGCACAACCAGACTACTGCCACTATAGCAAGAACCAATGAATTGGTGTACGCCACAGCCACTGTAATTTTCGAAATGGTGCGGTATAAAATCAAGAAGAATACCAAAGCAACTGACCCGTGGAAGAGGTTGGAAAGCAAAATCGGAGTACAACGCAGAAAAATTGGCTAGGCGGTAGAATTAAATAAAATAAAAGAGCTACACTCAATAAGAATTCAAAATATATGAAATAAAGGCTCATATCATTACCCACTAGGCTAAGTACATTAAAGAAGAAGAGATAAAAAGATAAATGCTATGTTCTCCGAGGAACCGTCCAAAGTGTACTCTCAAAAGTGCAATAATCTTATGACCAGAACCACCACCAACAGCAGAAACTTTGCAAAACTGGAAGAATATATGGGAGAAACAAGGGATGCATAACACCAGAGTGAAATGGTTATAAGATTTGAAATCAAGTCACAACAACCCAGAGCAGGAACCAGCTACTGTTACAGTTGTTGAAATCCAGCAGCGACTCAAAATATAAAAAATTTGCACCCGATCCGGACATGATTCACACTCACTGACTAAATGAACGCCAAAGTTCATGAACGCCTAACGATCCAGCAGATAAGCAAGCCGCTTATGGCAGGCTCTCACCCAGACTGGTTTAACACAAGGAAGGACGAAGGACGGCAGTGATCATGAAAGGCTCTCATAAGAGAACAATTTTATCCAATTATCGACTAATAACCTATCTACTGCTCGTATTTAATGCAAATTCGTTCGCCAAAGCATTAAACAACTTCATTGTTTTTTGAAAAATAACAAACAAAAGAAAAGTTCTTAATGACCATATGAACCAGTATATGAATGTAGTTCAAAAAGGCATTGTGAACAACACCATAGGCTCCAAACATCAGCTGCTTCTTGACAAAACAGTAATTGTAGACTGAAAATCCCAGCAGACCAATCTAGCTTGGATTGACTACAAGAAAGCCTATGCCCCGACTTAATGCCCCACACATGGATCTGTCTGGCTTTAAGGTTAAGACGTTCATTGAGAAATCAGTGGGACTGTGGAAATTAACTCGAAATAATTTGCATAAATAATTATCTAATACGACACATACCGGGGCAATGCACTGTCTCCCCTATTGTTCTGCAGTTCTAAACTCAGTCAGGTAATAGCCAGAAATAAATATGGATACAAAATGAATAGCGGGACGGACTACCATCAGCAACAGCAATCTTTTTTATATAGATGACATTGTAAAAAGTAAGCGAGACATCAATTCGCCCATCCATCTAACTCGGATCTACAGCAATCAGAAAAATGTGATCGAATGGTAATAAAGAGAGTAAAAGTATTAATGGCTAACGGGATGGACAAGCCATCAGAACAAATAGCGGATATAGCTACAAATACCTTATAAATACTTTAGCATCTCACAATAACATGGTAATCGATGAGGAGGCAAGGAAGACTGCAAGATCTAAATATCGCCAAAGGACAAGACAAATCTTGAAGAGCCAGCTCAGTGACGAACACACCATACCATAAATATATACACTCTGCCAATCATCAGGTATGTAGTTGGTATTATAAAATGGGCAAAAAAAGATATGGAGGTCACTGATGTAAAGATCAGGAAACTTCTTACAATGCACTGAAATTTCCACCCCAACTACAATGCCCAAAAATTGTACATCAGAGAGCGCGGGTGGGGCTTGGTGAGTGTAAAAGCCGCTATCTTGAACAAAACTCGAAGCATTCACAAATATATCAGCAAGATGGCACCAAAAGATGAACTGCTGAGAGAATTCTGAAGTATTTACAGACAACAAAATGATCAAGCAAAGGAAACACCATGAGAAAATAAGGCCTTCCATAGATTACACCATCGATAGACAGAGGTAGCTGACATTGTGAACTCTACCAATGGTTGGAGGAAGACGTACTAAAAAGGAAGGATCTACCATATTAGATATGACTCTAGATGCAAACTACATAAAAACACCCCAGAAACAATCCAACATATAGTGGTAAGATGTTAAATGCAAGCAGAAATAATTTACATTAAAAGGCATAACCAAGTAGCACGCATCATCTATACGAATATTTTATCTACTCGGTATATGGTGAGACTCTCCCAAAACTAAATAGGAGATTCATAAGAAAATAGAGAATAATAAGGCTACGGACTTCTCCATCCAAACAGACAAATAAATAAATCAGATATAGTGGTAGCAGACAAGAATCAGAAATCAACAATGTGATTGATATAGCAATACTAAGTGATAGTAACGTTAGGAAAAAGGAATATGAGAAGTTAGAGAAAGACCAAGGACTCTTTCTTAATTTTTTTATTCATCTATTTGTTTAATTTTCTTTATTAAAAGAGGAACTAGAGAAAATGTGGAAAGTAAAGGCCAATGTAATCCAAGTGGTATCAGGACACTAAAAGTATAACACCTAAATTACAAAAGTGGTTTCGATAGATTCCAGAGATTAATTGGAGAAATTTGTTCAGAAAAACGCACTGCTAAGAAACTAGCGCGGAGCCCTCAAGTTCTCACGCCTCTCGGAGAGGAGATCCGATAACCTCTACCATTCACATATGGTGAAAAAGGGATTAATAGAGAAATTAATGTGGCATCTAACGGTTTTAAGCACCAAAACACCTTGAAATGTAATCAAAGTATAATTAAAAAATCATAAAATAAAAACCTCCACGTTTTTAAAACTGATCGTAAATAGTTGAGAACGCTACTCATCCAAGCGCTTTCCGAGATTTTATTCTTATCCTCAACGAGTTGTTTGTACGTAACGGTCGCTTCTCGAATTTCCTGAGACATCTGGATAGCCTGAAAAATTATTAAAAACCTTAATAGCAGTGAACTACGCACTACAAATGTAAAACGATAAGTCAATTTATACATTTATACTCATTGGTTATTCATCGTTTTTGGTTAAGCTAATTCTGCTGTCTGCTATAAGCAAGCTAAGAAATTTTTACCAGGCCATCGACAGAACTAGATAGATAATACAGAACTAGATAGATCACTGGTAGCACTTGGATTTTCAATGATAAGAGTAAAAAATAAAATAGGGTAAAATTCGTGCGACCATACTACTCAATCATCCCTATTCTAATTCATATTAATTAATATTAATATGCTGAAAAAAACCTGTAAAATATGGACATGACTTGATGAAATAAAACTGGGGAGTCTTGCCCATTCTTTAATCAGCTCTTCGTTTGCTGCATTTAATAAATTTTCTGCCATTTTAGAAACGATCATTTCTTCATCTTTTACTGGTGTATATAACTAAAAATTTTGTACAAAAGAGAAATGAATTCCAGTGAATGCTTTCCTTAAAAAGAGAACAGAACTTTTAAAAACAATCTTACAGTGAAAATCGTTTTCTGGAAAAGGATCTTATAATAATTTGAAGGCGATGATGACCCTTCCAACTGTGATAAACATTCTTTCGCATTTGTCCAACTTGGTAAATGCCAGCAAGCTTCACTGAGAAGAGGCAAATTCTGAGTACTATTCGCATAAGTAAAGAGTTCATCCCAATGATTTAATTCACGTGTTGACCTAAGAGTTTTATTGAAATATTGGAAACACCATTAGCAAAAAATAAAGTATAAACAAAGACTAGATAATACAGACTCGATCCACAAATTTCGCCATTCATTTAATTCAAGATAAAAATTAGGAGTAGGCCTGTCACGCGAATCTTGAGAAGAATTTATTTGTTGAAGCGTTTTGTCGATTAACTGCCCTAAAATATCGACTGTTTCTTCGAATTTATCTGAAAAAAAATTATTTCAAAAAATATTACCAAAATATAATCAAATATATTAAATATATTGTTATCGAATCAAAAAAAACCAAAGAACAAAGACCTTGATTGAATAATTTTATTGCTTTGACGGTCTCTATATATCGTGCTCTACGAGCTATTATAGCAATGTATTGATCACGTTCCGATACCATAGAATACAACAGTTGCAAGTTAAACAAAACGTCCTTAAAGCAAATTACTTTTTTTTAAAATTTTTCTTGAGGAAATAATGAATAGAAATGGAGTAAATTATTATTATAAATTTCCATAATTGATCAAGTAATCAAATCAGCTAAAACTAAAAAAAAAAACGCACGACTACTTCACACATTTCATCAGATGGGAATAAATCGAACAGTGCTTCATTGTTAAGCATGACCGGAATAGACGATAGACGTTTTTCGAGCAATAAAATTACTTGATACCACTGGCGATGTGTTTGACCAATATACTAAACAAAATTAATGGATATATTAAATGACAAATTCATTCCCAAGAAAAAAAAGTATTTTGTTCTTTTATGGGACGAGAATTACAGCCAATCTTTAGAACCTTAAAGAACTTGCCGAAATTATGTTCGATTCAAAATGAATTGGTGGCGAACACTTAATCATAGATTCAAAAAAAGTGGCAACTGCTGATTTAGGAAGATCTTTATGAGGCAAATGGACAGCAGAGACAAGAAATGGTGTTATTTCCGCTTGAAGACTGGCACTTTCGGCTACTCTCAGATTTGACCACAGCGATGGAAATAAATTGGACCAAACTTTGGAGGCAAGATCGTCATCTGAAAAAAATAAAACTAAAGATATTAAGATTTTATTTTATTATAAAAAATTTTACTTTACTAAAAACAAAAACCTTGAATTCTACGATAAAAAAAGTCCGTAAAAATAATAAAAAATAAAATAATAATTATAATAACAAAAAATAAGAAAATAATAAAAAATAAAAATGTTAATTTAATCACCGTTATAAATGAGTTCGATAAGATTTGGAAGAATCTCAGCGACACAAAAATCAGAAGCTTGAACGAATAACTCAAATATATCATCGACAATTGAACCAAAGCTATGCGTAACAACAGGTTCGCCCATATCCATTTGTTCATTTTCTTCAATAAATGAAAAAATTTCAAAGAATTTCAAAGAAATCAAAAATTTTAGATTTGAAAATTTAGGAAACTGAAGTTTCAATAGCCTTTGATATTATTGGAATAAATAAATTTATATCAGCCAAATAATATTATATAGAATATATTGTTTAGGACTTCCTTGAAATTCGTTTGTCGACGATCACATGATAAATTTGACGAGAAATATAAGTCAACATTGATTAAATGCATTCTCACCAAATGTGTTCCGCTGAAATTCTGTAGTTTTCAGCCTCAAATCAGCTGGTATCAAAAACTTCGCAGAATTGAGAAGATTGGCACGCCACGGTATTTGCCAAGTTGGACTTTCCTCAATGATAGAAGCAAGCATCAACTAAAATCCAGGCTATTATCTATTATTTAGATGAAATAATAATATAATAATAATAAATTATTATTATTATAAGTATCTGTCGAAATAATTATTTTTGAAAATCTATTGATGCTAATTTTTTGAAGAATAAAAAATGAAAGAACATAAAAAGATGAAAATTACATTAATGCAATGTTTTATCCAAAAGTTGCTTTGCATATATTCCCAATTTTCTAAGGCCAAAATATGATATAATCTTTCGTAAACTTTTTTGGGCACTTGCGAATTAAAAAGTTTGAAAAAGCGTTGCCGTAAATATTCATCCTGAAAACAAATGAAAAAAAAAGAATAACTCGAAAACAGAAAATCCAAATGGGTTGAAGGATTATCAGAATAATCACCAAAAAAAGAAACTGGTTCAACAAATTAAAAAGCATAAATTGTTAGGATAATCGAAAAAATAGGAACATATTAAATTATCATACATTAATCGATAAACCCCAATAATAAGCCGTGTTTAATTTGGCAACAGTTTCAGGTGTCCGTAAGTGAGGCGTTTCATAAACATGCAGAACAGTGCCAAGCAATATTAAAAGCATTTCTTGACATTTTTCTTGTTTTTTATTGGAATCGAAATATTGCACTAATCGAATCAGCAAGGGAACTCCATGATTTGGCTGTTTCTAAGAAAGAGAAATACAAAAAATTCAAAAGAAATCATAGAAAAATTGCAAATTTCAAAAATTTCAAAGTAATTTAAAAGGGAAAAACATACATTATCACCAGATCTGACCATTTCATCAACAATTTTAATGACAGATTCAAGAATACGATCGAAAACTATTTTATCGATAAGTGGCTGAAGTATATATTGGCTAATAGTTCTTCGTGCTTCAACGCTGACTGCATGAATCCTCGGTCGTAAAATATCAAGTGAATAAATAATTAATTCGCCCACGGCCAGTCCTACAATGATTTTATATATATTTCTAGTTTCATTTATTCGAAATTGAGAAAATGAAATGATGAAAACCTTAAATATGCGCAAAGAAGGTTTAAAAACTATGTGATTCTTTAAAACTCCCTACATCTTTTTCCATCAAAATAAAACTCAAAATTTAATAACCTTTTCGTCAGATTAAAACTAATAATCGAAAATTTGAAACCTTTATTCTCCCCTACACTGCTTGTTGTTATATATTCACGCACGATTCTCTGAACGGCTTTTGTGAACGAACTCAAACATGTTGTGTCAATATAGGCAGGTTGTCTGGTGCAAATAGTTCGTAACAGATGAATCGTTCCAAATACGCCTTGAAAACTTTGATGCGACAGTCCTCTACAATATTGCATATTTTATTTCAAATATTGCATATTAATTTATAAAAAATTATTATAATATAATAATTATAATAAAAAAACTTCAAATTTTACAGCAAATCGAATAATCTAGTTTTTCCTGTTTCCACTTCTGTAAATTACAATTATCAGTCTACTAGACATCTCTGCAAAAATTTTTGCTTCCCTTTTACTCACAGACTTATGGCAGTATGGGAAAGCAGAATGCGCCCTAATCAAACTGGATTCAGACCAAATATTTACGCTAAGAAGGATGTTGGAAAATCGTTTCAAATATCTGCAACCATTACGTCAAGTTGAGGCTGCCTTCGATTAATAGAAGGGTGCTTTGGAATATGATGGAACGCGACGGTATTCCAAAGATCACAAAGGCATTTTATGAACACAAGTCGGCGCAAGTCTGTATATATGGGAAACCAACAGAATTCTTCGAAATAATGTGATATAGTGATGTCAATCAAAGTTATGTCCTTTTCTCTACAATATTCAACTATGTGATATACTGTATAACGGACACCGCTTGTTGGCACTCAAGGGGTGTCCAAATCAGTCCAGAGCATCATATCACGTATAGTTATGATAAAATTTTCTTGATAATTATGATAAAATTTAAACAATGATAAGCTAGGACTCAGAGTCAATATAAATAAAACAAGTTTTTTCGTTTTATATACAAGAAGCCTCTTTTTATAAACTCATTGCCGGTTGAGGAAGTGCTCGATTTTAAATACCTTGGATCCACTCTTAAACCAAATGGCCAGATAAAAGACGGAATTGCAACTTTGATAACGGCACCTAGAAATTTTTTTCCGGTTGACGAAACCTTTACGGACCGTCGCGAAATCATCATAAAAACGAAAGTCAGCATCTATATAACCGTAATTCATTCGATCTTGCTTATATGGCTGCGAGACATCGCCAGTGACAGTGGAGGATATTAACAGATTATCTGCCTTTGACCACTCGTGTCGAAAACACTGTCGACGATGGCATCAGATAGGATAGCTTGGAAACTTCTTATTCTGGGTGGTAGCCAGTAAAACCAGTCTGACTAGTAACGGTGAGAGCTGTTAGAAAAAGAAGAAGTTTCCATTTCTGTGCTAAATTAAACCAAATTCGCTTATATTCTTATATAAGACGTCTCCAAGTTGCTCGGTCCAATGCCATCGTTAGTAGTAATAGAAACCATTCCTTTTTCCATCGTCTAAGTACATCGCTGGTCCCCTTGTACCAGTACAGGTCTTGACTGGCCCTCTTCGCTTTTGACTATCACAGGGTTTAGCAAGCAACGAAATATACGTCAAATCCTGTGGTGCACGTCGGAGAATGTGACCCGCGAAGGCGGCATTTTCAAATTCACTTATATTGATTTTTATTATCTTCTAACAGCGTTAACCATTTCCAGTTTGACTGGACAAAATGACTTTGCGATGCAACAGAAGTGCAGACGGGTTTCTAACACTATTCAGATAGATTTATTAGTGATAGATTTATTCATGTTAAATTCTCCAATTTTTTTATATCGCTCACGGGAGATTGAACGTATGATTATTATCTCGGCGATATTATTAACTGATCTATTATATTAATTGCAGTTTATTTATATTAAAACAACGAACTTTTCATAGTTAGTAAATGAATCATTTATAAATTTGATAATATATTGATTGATATTATCCAATTCATCCAAGCCTTCTGGTGAACTCTTGGTTCGTTCAAATAATTTATCAATTAACTGGTAAAGGCTTCGCATCACCTGAAGTTTATTTTATATGTTCAATATTATATTGCCAGCTAAATTCATAAATTCATAAAACAATGTATGCGAAATTGTACAGATGCACGAAAATTACTTTAGAAAAAATTACATACGGGATTTAGTTGACAATTAAGACAAGGTATAATACCACGTTGAACCATCTGTATATTTCGAGCCACAGTTTCCTGAGGCTAAAATTTATTGATACCAATGACGCAAAAACAAAATTAAAAAAAAAATTCATGAACATGAAATATGAATAAGCGAAAAAAATAAAAGAACTAGCGAAAAAATTTGCTTATATTTTATCAAACTCAGTTCTATCAAATAAATAAAAAAATTTTTAAATACTCACAAGGAAAGTCACAACTTGAGTAAGCATGTCAAGAGTACCCTGAATTTGCTGAAGTTGTTGACTAGATGGTTCCCGAAACTGCTGAGATGATGTATCCACAATTGATGAAAGTTGTTTTTCAATCCTTTAAGATCAGTGATGTCGATATTTTAAATGAAAAATCACAAATTAGACGCTTTTAATTATATTCAGTATACTATTTTGTATAGTTTTTTACACTGTATCAGCAATTTATCTCAATTAACAGCAAATATGATTAAAAAATTACCAATGCGCTTTCAATGACATAGACAAACCCCATATGGTGGGCTGAAGACACGTTTTCAGCAAGGAAAGACTGCGTTTAGTCAACTGCTCTAACAATATTGCCTGTTGATTAACAGCCTAAAACTAATGTTATATATGAAAAGAATGAAAATAATCGTTCATAACCTAATAAAGTCAGAAGTAAGCAATTAAACGAAATTTTTTCTAAACTAACAGTGTCGGGAACAGATGCAGCCATTTTCAAAAGCATACCAATAACTTGATCAGAACACATCTTACTAATTGGTTGATGGAGCTAAAAATAATTTGCCATTATAATTCTGGGTAAAATAGTAAAGAAATATCAAACCTTTTTCAGTTTTTTCTAAAACTTACGTCAGAAATGCCATTCTGTGGCAAAATCGAATGTAATAACGCTTGTGGTGGTTGTTGTTCAAACGACACCTTTGATAAACCACTTATACTGGTATCTTGCCCTGTAGCATACACTTGACCCACCACTTGTGTGCTCCCCAAGCTTTTATTTTCTTCAACTTCAAGAGCAGATGTTTTCTGAGCAGATGATTGTTCCTCTAATATTACTTCACCAGATGCTGTAGCCATCTAAATTATTTTCCAGAAAACATTAAATCTATTTCATTCGCTAGTGGCTGTAAACAATATGTGTACATCGCGCAACCTTGTTATTATTCCAATTTCACTACAAAAAAATTAATCTAACAATTCATTTACAATATATTATATGATTTTTTAAATAAATGATAAATTGATTTTTTTGACTAATCATGACTAATCATGAAAAAACTAAGAAATGCTTCAACAATATGAATTTCCAAAAAAAATTAGAAACATATAACCTTACTAAAAAATAATTTTAAATACTAATGTTAATATTAAGACACTAACATTTGCCGAAGTTTGCGATATTCTATATTGTTCCCACTTAATAACCATCTCGCAAACATCCAGTGCGACCCGACGACTATCTAAACCGCTTTGTAACATCATCAATCGATGAAGGGAATTTATTATAATGTGTATGAGTTGATGTCGTACTGGATAGAATACTAAATATTGCCGAACCACAGTTGAACTAAAAATAAAAATCAAAAATAAAATAAATCAGATGGCAAGGAGCATAAAGAAGATCGAATAATTATTCCAACCAATCAACCTAATCCTTGGAATTTAATAAAAAATTATAAAAGTATTAATAAAAGTTTAAGCAAAAATTTACAGTAAAAAGAGATGAGGATGAGAAGTAAAAGAGTAAAGGAGAGGTACATTTAAAAGTAAAAGTTACATGCAATGTAGCAATTGAGGAGCGCTATTTCCTTCTTCTATAATAGTTTTCTTAATGAGTGATACCATTTGCGCATGACCGTCATCCATCCGCAGAGGTATTGATGGAATTAAAATGTCCAAACATTTTTTGACAATTTCTCTCGGATCAGAGAAATGCGCTTTCAGCAGAATATGGAATACCTTCAAAATTATAAAATGAAGTAATAACCTTTTCAGCAATCAATATTTTAAAATATAAAATAGCAAATTAATTTTAAAAATTTACGATTTCATTTTAAATTATTGTAATAATAGTGAAATAAAGTAAAATCAATGTAAACATACTCGTAAAACAATTTTTCGATTAATGCTATATTTATTAATAATATGCACGACTAGAAGATGGCCCATATATTTTCTGGTCAAATCTTGCGTGTGGGGCTGAAGACAGGGCCAACCAAGTACCATCAGAATACGAAGGCGATTACTTTGTTTTTTGCTTAAAAATTGCGGCAAAATTCAGAAAACAATCAGGATATTGTTCTAAAATAACTCGTGAGCACAAAGAAATTTTTTTTCAGTTGATATTAAGTGCATAATATGTTTTAGATTCTAAAGTGTTTTTTGTGTTAAATTGATTCAATAGATTAAAGAACTATAAAAAACTAAACATTTAATTTAAAATAATTTTAAGCAATTCAAAAAAACAAATTGAAAAATCGAACTTGTGGGCAACATCGTGGATGTGAGTTGGACAGTTGCTCACAAAAAGACATCCAAGATGGTATAAAGTGATCATCATAGCATCGCTGAATCGGTATTCAGGTTTATTCATAATATTTTCGCATACAAGTGAAACAAGACTATTCTCGTCTACAACATCTGGATTAGGAGGAGCACCTACCACCTGCAATAAATGTAGAATAAAACTACACAAAAATTAAGCTTTAGAGATTTTTCATTTTTAAATTAAAGTAGAAATTAGATTTTGTATATTATTTAGCTATCTTTTCTAAAAAATCAATGAAAGCTTACTTCATCAACATCGCATCGCTGTAAAGCATAGTGAAGAGAAGGAATGACAACATATTGCAGCATCCGAACAACGTTATCATCTTCCGCAGTTAATGGATTTTGAACAAATTTTTTCACAATTAGTTTTAGTGCTCGTTGCCGCCAAGAGATTGAGAAATTCTGAAAATTGGGAATTAAAAAAGCAATTTTTCCAGACAGCTGAGTAATTAAGAAGTCGTGATAAGGCTAGTCGGAATAAGATATTAAAAAATTAAAACAGAATTCAAAATGATGAATTCCTGAATTTTTGGAAAATTAAACATGAAATAAGTGCATTTAAAAAAAGAAAAAAATTAAATAATTTCAATTTAAAATGAATTTCCTTAAAATTCTTCTACATTAATTTATATTTTAATTTATGCATCATCGTTTGCTTGTGATAGTAATGAAAATCATCACTAATATGAAATTATTTAAGGGTGTAAAAAATTGAATGAAATAATCTTTACTGGAATAACTTCTTGTTCAATATATAAACGAACGAAAGAGAAATCGGAGGCAAAATCTTTAGCAAATACGAAACATAAGTCGAATAAAATATCAATATCATCTATATTGGATCTGAAACCATCTTTTAATTCTAAATTTTGAAAAGAAATGAAATGTATTAAACTTATACGGCGCAAAGGAATATAATGGCTCAGTGGATCGTTGCTCTCATTTCGAAGAATGCTGAATTCTGTTCCAGGAAAAAATAAATCTGCCTTTTAAAAATCTGATGCTGGCGACTCACCTTAATCGCAAAGCGTACTCCCTAGCAAAATTTTTCTGGTCCGACAAGCAAGCAGAGTAAGCCTAATTAAATGTGCAAGCTTTCTCCCTCTCTGTATTTTGTCATGAGCAATCTTCAAAAAAAAAACAGCAGATTCTTCAATAAAACAAAAGACATACAAAGCAGTAGTTGTTGTTCTTAATACCCAATATTAAAAGTAAAAATGAAATAGAAAAAAAAATTTAAAACAAAATATGAAGTACCTAAAGTACTGCAGCAATATAGAGACAACAAGCTTTGGAACTGCATAACGTGGTTCATCCATGTATTCCTTAAATAAATCAATTTCAATATATATCAATTATATCATATCAATTAAATGAATCATACCTTATCAGAATATCGTAATCGAAAATCGTTATCATTCCATAAATTCTGAACCTTCTTAATTAAAGCTTCAGCATCATTATTTAGCCAATCTTTATGCGTTTTAACAATAAACCAAATGAGTTGCAATGCTAGATATTCCATATAACGTAAACCTACCGAACTCTTCAACCACTGGTTTGCGTGGAACTGAAAACAACAATTGATTCGCCCGAAACTCTCAATATTTGGAATTTCAAACATATTCTTATTATAAAAAGAATAATATGAATAAAAAATTAATGAGCGAAATTTAGCTGAAATATTTTCAGAAGCTATCTTGGTCTCAAATGAAATACAAACCATAACTTCACCATCAAGTAGCCGAGTTAAATAATTCGTATCAGTAATCAAAATTTTGCGCAAACTTTCTCCCTCTTTGTGTTTTATCATGAACTAAAAAATTTAGTAAAAAAATTAAAAAATAACTTACTCTGAAAAATAAAATAATTTTAGAAGTTTTAAATTGCTACTATTTTTCTACAAATCTGTATAGAAAATTAGAATTATTCAATTTATGCAAAAAAAACCTTAAAGAGTTCCCGGATGCCTTCATTTGACACACCTTCAGATGAAACGAAGAAGCGAATGGATTCCAGAGGACATTTGATCAAGAATTTTAAAAGGGGATATCGCCAATTTTCATTTTCCTATAATAATTTATTTAATCCACATATTTAACTTCAGACCAAAATAAAAAAACTAAATTTTTGTTTTTTTTATAATTAAGCGTAATTAGTTTATTTAATATTTAGATCTGAAACTAACGCTAAATACAATAGCAGCTTCCCATTTCGCAACCAAAGGTATAACAACTTCGATAAAACGGACATCGTCGGTCGTTAGAATACTAAGCATTTCTAAAAGCATTTTTCCCGTTTGCAAATCATCTTGTGTCACTGCTGATAGAGTCAAATCGATCCACTGACGAAAATGTGTCTACAAATATAAATTTCCAAAATGAACTATCAATATCAAATATCAAAACAACAATTTCAATTCTGCAATTTTTAGCAAAATTCAATTAAGATAATGAAACAAACTGCAATATTTACTGACCAATAATTGGTCGGCGAACATACTATTAAAAGTATATGGCGTTAATCGAACAAGATAAAGTAACCGACGAACAATACTATTGGTAGCACGTTGTGACTGAAGAGCCATTAACATAGGACGTATTTCAGATTTCAAGAGTTCCAACTTCAAAGGCACTCTTGCAGCCGACTGCAATAAAATTTCTTAAAAAAGTAAAGATTAAATTTAAATTTAGTTCGAAAAAACGAAAGAATAAGGAAGAATAAGGAATAAAATAAAGAAAACAAAAATACAAACCTTCTGAAGCTCAAGAAAAGCTGCTTCTTGCATTTGCTGATTCCCATTAGTCAAGCATTTTAACGCAATGATGAGCAATCTATCGTGTCTCTCAAAAAAAGTCGACTCATCAAGAGAAGAAAGATCGCCAGTTGCCTCGCACTTTTCACCTTGATACTTTTTATTATCGCAATCTTGTTGTTTGCTAGGTAAGCGGGAGGAAATGTAACAAGCGATGGTAGCTCCTAAAACGTAAATTTAATATTCTTGAAGGCTCATTACAAAAAAACCTGACATTTAAGAGATATTTAAGAGAATTTAAGAGAAAATAATGCTTACTTAGAGCAACAAAACGCAATTCGTTGAGATCAATTTTCTTCCCTGCACAAAAAAGAAAAGGATCCATCTTACAAATGTGATAATTCGATTTCTCGAGCAAAACAGAATCTTCACCATTGCATATTACATTTAATTCTTCAACGAATTCAGATTCAACTACACCATCAATCGTAAAGAAGAGAATCAACGGATTTAATGAATAAATATAAGCAAATACATCCTGAATGATTTTAACTTTTAAATGATAAGTTTATATAAATATAAAATTCTCCCTTAAAATTTTACAATTTTTTTTACAGTTCAATAGAATGAATTTAACAAAAAGTGAGACAAGAAACAAAAATTATCTATAATTGAAAAATTGAGAAAAAGGTGAAAAATGAATAGATATATGGCGTAATCTACCAAAAACGCTATTTGATCGAAAAGAGACATTTGTTGAAATTTTTTCATGCCCGTTTGAAATAAAATTTCAAGATCTGGTAATTTTGATGCCAGAAGCTTTGATACAGAAAGCTCATTTAGTGTTGCGATATCAGATAAAATCGATTTGCACTGAAAATTGAAAATTTTCACTAGAGATCATTTGCAAATATATATTCTGTACAAACATTCTATAGTAATACGCAAAAAAAATGTAGATATAAAACTCTTAAGACTGGTCAGCTTACCAAGTTTCTCAGATCTTCGGAAGGTGATTGGATATTATCAATGGCTACTATAACGAAAACTTTAATTAATTCATCTTTTCTTGCCAGTACATTTTCACCACAGCATATCTCAAAATATTTGAAATATAGAATCTAAGATTCTTTTTATTAAATAAATTATTTAAAACAAAATGCTTACAATTCCCAAATAAGATAAAATCCACATCAAAATTGAAGAAAAATTGAAGAATTCACATTTCTAAAAAAAACTAGAGAATAATTATTTAAAAATAACTGAAGAAAATATCTAAAAGAAAATTAAAAAAATCACTTGAACAAGTTTATTTACTGCAGATATCGCAATATCAATAGCCGAACTAGATACTTCATCCCTGAGAGCAGCAATCACCTTAAATACCGTTTGAAAAAAATATAAAATCCCTGGTTTATTCAAACCAAGAATCTACAGAAAAAGTAAAAGGTAACCAGATGTATTAATTATCGTGATCTGAAATTCTATTTCTTACTTCGTTGTTTCGTATTTAATATCTGATATATCAGAAGTAACTTGTTAGAAAATTGTAAAAATTACTCACTTCGAAAAGCCCAGATAACAAATCGGAAATATATTCGACAATCAGTGATCTCGGAAAGCTGCTACAAAGATATTTAATTGCTGTACAACCACCCAATCGACTATGCCATGCTTCTTTATAACACAGTTTAATGACTTGTTGAATTATATAATGAAATATGGGCATTCGATTTACCTAAAAACTCGATAAATGTTGCCAAATCTAAATGATTCAAAGTTCTTCTTAATTTATCCTTAATTTCTATTTTCATCTTATTTTTTGATTCTACTTATGTAAATTATAACTTTTTCAATATCTCCCAATGAAGCAAGAGCTATTTCCTTCATAAAAGTAAAAAGCACAACGGCATAATGGCATATTTCCTTTGTAGGATCAGCCAAACCAGCAATAATTGCATCTATCAAAATAGCACTATCCAGTGGCGATGACAACGAATTTTTTTCCAAAGAAATATCTGAAATATGAAAAAAAATACAACCAAAATCGTCAATGTTTTCCATAAAAATATTATCTCGATACGAAAACCAAGCTACTAAAGTGAAAAGAAACAAAAAGCTGTTCTCATATAGATGAAGAAATCAATAGAAAATACAAATTGAATTCAAAATACTTGGATCCGGCTCAATAAATGTATGAAGAATCAAAAACTGTATAAGCGACTTGAAAAACTGAGTAGTTTCATTATGGAGATCACGACTGGTGTATGCATCTGCAACTTAAAAATTTTCAAAATTTACATTACAAACTGTCCAATTATCTTTTATAAACTCCTGAAAAAAAGCAAATGTTTTTAATTTAATCAGCAAAATCTAACAAAAATTGATAAAATATGTATATAAAATTTGAAATACAGAACTATTTAAGATTAAAATTTATGATATAGAATTCTTTATAAAAACGAACAAAACACAGCTGTAAGTGCATTCAAGAGAAGTTGGCGTGACTGCTCATCTTTACACTTATAAACTTTTAAGAAGCGCTTCTCTTCGTATATATCTTTCCCGAAATTCTTAAAAAAAAATTAAAAAAATTATAAAGCAGAGACTGTAACACAAATATTGTGAAATAATCCATTTCTTTTTGCTATATTTCATCAGTAATTCTTGAAAAGTTTCAAAGTTAACTAGTAAAGTACAAAAATCTTTATGAAATCCATTTCATAATGAAATTAACCTTAAAATGATTTGTAATTTGCAGCTTTATTGTTGAATTAATAAGAATTTCTTTATTTAGCGGTAATAAAGCACAAAGAATGATTCCTCTGACAATTTTAAATGAGTGTCGTCGAATAGCAAGCGATGATGGTAAAGGTGGAACAGGAAGCGATGAGGATACGGCAAGTGGCGAATTCATATCGGTGTATATTAAAGATCTCAAATGCTCTAGACAAGCACTGACGATTTCAGCCAGATGCAACTCACAAAAAAGTGGGGAACCACAATCCTATGAATAAAATAAAAGCAAATAAATTATTTTTGGAATCTGAGTGCAATTTTAATAAAGTTAAAATTAAAAATTAGGAGTAAACCTCGTCAGGAACAATCACTGTAGGTATACTACGTTGAAATACCAACTGAAAAGATGGTCTGCAAGAAGACGTTTCACAGGTGTAAATTAATTCTTGAGGTTCACACATCACATTTCTATTAGAAGCGCCAAATTTTCCTAATATCCTGGAAAAGAACAAAAAAAAAAACAACCAAATTTCAGTGCAATAAACATTATACATTATAGCAGACAATAAACATTATAGCAGAATATACCTCAAAGCGAATAATTGTATAAGTGAATCATTTAAAGAAAGAGCTTTCCACAATCCATGCATTAACTGGGCTTTAACAGGAGCTATATGTTCTTGTAAATATTCTGGAGCTAGATTATCCACACATAGTTCGAGAGTACGTAACCCCTAAAAAATCCAAAGAAATTTAGTAACAGAATACAAATAAATTTTAAAAAAAAGATTTGAAAGTGGAACTATATCAAAAATTTGAAAATTGTATGATAAATAATCAAAAGTGGACCTTTTGTAAATAAAAATAAATATAAAATGAAACCTGCTGTATCAGTGTTGGAGAGCCATTTGAAGCATAAACCAAAGGATCCATTAGAAGCGGCATATAAGGTAATAATGAAGAAAGTCTTAAAAATGTTAGTAAAAAAACTTTCGAATAAAAATCAAGGAAACTGCAAAAAATAAAAAAATGAAATCGGTAAATTAGGGAAGTTTTCGAAAGAAGAAATTTTAAAAAAAAAGAAAATGAAACATCCGAAAATAAAATTTTCTTTTATAACCTCACTGGAACGGTTAAACACAATTCCACAAATAACTCGCGCAACTGACGGCGATGAATACCACTTTGTAATCTATTTAACTGCTGTAGCAAAGAAGGTAAAAGGGGCAAAAATGATTGGTAAAGTTGCTCATAACTACCTCCACCAATAGACCTACAATGAATGATAAAGGCTTAATGATTCGTAAAAAAGTTATTCAAAATTTCCACTTTATATAAATTTAACGAATAAATGAAACAAAAATTTCGAGAAAACAATTTTATTTTACCTGAAAAGTGCTCGAAGAAGTAAAAAATAATTGATGGGCTCACGACCGCGTAAAGCGTATTGCATTGCTCTATGCACCATTTCATGCAAATATGGCTGAAATGCTGATTAAAAACAAGAATAGAAAAAAACTTTTTTGAACTTTTTAGGTATTTGAAAAGCAAAAACAAAACATTGAAAAGGAAACAAAATTATTATTCGCAACTAAAATACAGAAGAAAAGATAAGAAAAAACGCCGCCTTTATTGCAATCAGACGAAATAAATTCTATAATAGGAGCAAATAGTAACAACATTTTTGATATTTCTCCCTGAGAAGTTATAATAAATTAAATTTTGTCATTTAGTGTAATGATTGGATAAAGATATTTTAATGATTGCCTTTTACCATTATCGAATCTTTTAACATGATTAATAGTAAGAAACAGCAAAAAAATTATATACTATTGAAAACACACTTTTAGCATCATTTCATTGTCAGCAGAACCATTTGGCTGTGAGCAAGAAACGGAAGAAAATGTTAATTTGAATAATCTGAGATATAGGGTAGCTCTATCAGTACTTGCTAAAAACAATGATAGCAAAAAATATTAAATTTCTCTTTAAATACCGAAAAAAATCTAAAAAATCCAGATTATGAAAATGGAATGGTTCGATAAAGGAAAATCGAAACATTTCAAACAAAAAAAAGGAGAAAAACAGGCTTGCCTGCCATATCGGGTAGTCTATCCATTAAATAACTCATCACAATATTGCCAAAAGCAGCCGATGTAGAAGCATTTACAAAAAATGAATTGAAAACCATTTGAAGAGCGAAATTATGAGCAATATGTTCCACAAAATACTGAAAATAGAAAAAAACTCCATTACGAGAAGGGAAGTTAGATTTTCCAAAAAATAAATGGAAAACCTTGTAGCTGGAAAACAAGGTGCAAGGTGTTAGCCGAAAATCATGAATAATTTTATGCAGTACAATCGAAATTAAAAGTTGACAACCAAATTTTTAGAAGATTGGTGACCTCTATGTTGTTCGACATTATTTCCTTGAATACTCCAATCTCAATTAAACTAAAAATTGATCCAAACATATCTAATACTTCTTTTTCTTCTTTAGATCGTGTTCCGTTTGCTATTCTAAATAGAAAATAGAAAAGTATTTTCAATTCAACAATTCTAGAAGCACGAATAAAAAAAAAATTCTTCGAAAAATGAAGTACACTTGGCGGAACCACAGAAAAATCAAAAGCAGCAGATGTTAATGTGAGAAAAAAAAACCTTTGAAAAGTAGCAGAATTAAATGGAGTAGATGGGATGTTAGTAATCGCATAAATACCAAGGCATCGAACACCATAGCGAAAGATGCGATCATAAATTTTAACCTGTTGTTTCACTGAGATGGTATCTAGAATATATTTCTTGTAGAAGTACAACGAGAATTTATCGTAATATACTTTTGCTTCGAAAAATTAAACAATCAGCAAAATAAAATATAGATAAAATATATCACAAATTTTAAACCAACTATAATTACAATAAATGAAAAAGATTTGAATGAAATTATACATAAGGTAGATGCAAATCTAATTTCATTTTACATTAAATTAGTGAAAGAAGAAAGGTTCTTTTATATAAAAAACAGTGAAACAATGCAAAAAAATTTTTAGAATACTTGTAGTGGCGTGAGTTTCTCGCAATCCATGGGTAATGTGCTTACACCCCATAATAGACACTTTAATTAAATTCTTCGCATCTTGGTAATTCATTGGTATCGCTCCATAAGCCCAGTAATGATTCATTATTTCATTTGGAGCTTCGTTCTGAAGAAAAGTAAAAACGAATTATTATTTTGAACACCTAAAACACAATGGAATTAAGTTGAACCTTTTCAATTTTAACCGACGAATTCAGCTGACATTTTGACTGTCTTTCTGGAACAGTATCACATTGTTGTAGATCACAATTTTCAGCAGAAAAAATAAACTGATCTCCGTCAATTCCAAGATCTTCACACATTTTCTCCAAATAAAAAAATTTATAATTTTTTTATTCTATTTTATTTTAAATTGTTTATTTTTCACTATTTTATTTTTTATTATTTATTTCTATAAACCGGATTTCGGTTATGTAAAAAACAATAAAATAAAACAATAAAAACAATAAAATAGATAAAATTTCATAATATGTCGAAAGTACCGAGAAATCTATACAAATCTTAAAAGGCTAAAACAAGAAAAAAACTGAAAAATTATATACAAAGGATAATTCAAAAAATTATTACGATCTAAAAATAAAAAACCTTTAATTCTTTCTCAGTAACAGAAGTATCTTTTTTTTCTTCTGCCAACAGAAATTCGCGAATTTCCCATTTTCTATGAAATAACAAACAATATGAAGCAATGAAGTTATGAAAAAAATTATTACTGCATTAGAATATTGTAAAAAAAGAAAGAATTTTGTTTCTTCACAAATCAAAGATAACTTGGGAAATGATCAGTGAAATGAAATTAAGGATAATGAATAGAGATAATGGGCCTGTTCAGAAATCTAATATAATATTAGAAAAACATGAAACTTTCTGCAATATATAAAGCTAGCTTCAAGAAGATTAAGGTAATGATTTGGGTCTATATACCTAGATAGTTATCTGCCAAGATATGCTCAAATACGGAGTCATATTTCTTTTTTTTTATCGTAGAAGATCTCTCTATCGCCCACTGCCTTATTATGTTCTCATCGATAATTTACTAAATCTGTTTAAATTTCTGTATAAATTTAAATTAAATCTGTATAAATTTAAAGTATAAAAGTTCAGATAACGAGTTAGTAAAATTGCTTACTTCTGAGGAATGTGATCACCTTTCAATCGGAAACAAATAAGTGTATTAACATTTTTGTGTATCAATAATGGAATATGATATTGCGCAATGATTTTCAGCTTTCGACTGAATGTATCGAGAACTGCGAAAAATAAATCGCGGCACTGAAATAAAACCAGTTAATCTTAAGAAAAATAAAGTGATAAATAGAAAAAAAAATTATAAGGAAAATGAAAAAAAAACAAAAGCAAAAAATGAAGCTTAAATAAAAATAAGGGAAATTTTGAATTTTAAAAAATTTAAAAATGATAAATAACAAAAAGAAGATTGATAGCAAATGGAAAGAAATGCATTTAAAGAATATTTACGTGTCGCATTTATTTGGACCTTCAATTTTTGGCCGTCACTAATCTTAACTTTCTATACTCATACTTATTTAATATAAAGACTTTCTCAAATTACGAAAATCTATTTGATGGAAAACTTATCATTTCATTTATACAGAAATAAAAACAATAAAAATGCTGAAATTCAAAAAGCACGAAAACAACTTGTTCTTCTACCTTGATATACCATATACAATAATAATAATAAAATAATGAAAATAATAATAAATAATACAGCAATTCTAAGCACAGCAATTCCAAACGAGTCTCATTTTATAACGAGTCTCAGTTCGAGCTTGCCCAAGCACATCGCCTTATCTCTACTAAATCCACTCTCGAATGCGTACTCTCCATTGAAATGAATGTTCATCTACTTGTTTATTTTGCCACATTCACTACTTTTGGAACATAAAACTTAATATAGAAAACAGAAATTAACAATACAATGGAAAGTACAATTGAGGTTTAAATTGAGATTTTTCGAAAATTGTTTCACTTCCAATGGAACAAAGCAGGCACTTTTCTGTGCACCTTTTAATACAGTGCGTTCTTAAAGGACAAAAATAAACGCATAAAAAGAAAAATATTAAGCTTATTCAATCGATTTAACTAGAAACAGAAATTAAACTAAACAGCACTAACTGGATTTTCAGAATTACTTCTTTCTGCCATAGTAAAAGCATCAACAAGATTAACCATAAGTCTCGAAGCCATTGCTTTTGTGTAAGGTAATGAAGTAATATCCAGGACAATTTTTGAAAATTTATGAGCACAGCTGGAACCAAACAAGGATAATTTTCACTTCTTTAAAAGTTACCTAATTTTTGGTTTATTCATTTATTTTATTCGTTTATTTTTCTCTTCCAAAAAAATTCGTTTATATCGTTTGTTTTTTCCAAGAAAAAAATTTAAACTTGAAAAAAATGGAAATTTAGCTTACGAGATTAACACACTATATGGTAAATGCATACGAATATTATGGATTACATCGGCAAGGATTGGCATAACTGTTTGCCTGGAAAATTATAAGTCGTGATAAAATTTTACTGAACAAAACTTACAAAAACTTCGAAGTGATCTGAGAAAAATCTTAAAAACCATAATCATTTTACGAATTACATCCAAGAATAAGAATAAAAATTTAAACTCAAAAGCTTTATAAACAATAAATGTTATGGTAAAAATGTTGGAATGCTATAATTTTGCTATTTTTAAAAAAATCGAGATAAGTGAATATTTCCTACAATTCATTAATTTGCCATTTCGACTGAAGATCTGAACCTTTTTCGACTTTTGTAAATTATTAGATTATCTAAGATAATCAAAACATCAATATGCTTGCTGTTCAATTATTAATAAAATAGTCGTCAATATCGGAACTATAAAAGGACTCTATCCTCCAAAATTACGAAAAAAATATGTAAGTTTCTGAACAATAAAAAATTTGCCTCAATTACATATTTAAAAAATTCAAATTACCTCAGTTGATCATTCACTGTATATCCAGTACCGAGCACCAATGAATCAAGAAGAAGTTTTGGTACATGTGCAACGAATTTAAGTCTCATATCACCTTGAAAGAAATTTTTCAGCGATGAGATAATATCCCGTCGCATAGATAAAGCGTCGGGTGGACATTCTCTCATTAACATGAAACAAGCATCCACAATTGCTGGTCCATTCACAAACATTATTTCATTAGCATTAAACTGGAATATTTTTATTAGCAAATCAAAAAAGAAAAATTTTTCCATATTAGTTTTAGAAAGAAAAAATGATCTCTATAATTTATCTAAAATATTATTACCAAAGGAGTACGAGATATATAACTTAAAAACGTTAATGCCCGAATCTGAGAAGTGTAAAAGTCTTCTGCTAAAGTAGTGTTGAATGTCGTAGACGATCGTTGATCGTTTGGTATAGATAAATTGATGTAATTTACAACTACAGGAATAAAATCTGCAATCTAGAAAAAAAGGATTGTAAAAATAATATAAATTTTTCAAATTTAATTGAATTTATATATTCACTGCATATTTAACGTAATTAAAATTAAATTGGGCAATAATAATTAAAAAAATAAAATAATAAAATAATAATAACAAAAAATAAAAAAATTGAATTGATGATAAAAACAATAGGGACTATTTCATAGTTTGAAAGAAAATCAAAAATGATATGATTAAATGGAAAATTAACCTCATCTTGCAGATTAGGTTTATATACTTGGAAAAGCATTATAATGAAAAGCGGAACTTCACCAAGAACTTTGACACTTTGAGATGCTCTTGGTATTAAAAAATATCCATTATCACGTTGAGGACCATCGGAAGCGTTTTCAGGGTAAACAATGGCAGATGAATAGCAATATTGCAATGACTGAAAAATATATATATAAATATATCGTCAACTGCAGTACAACAGCATGGTAATAGCAGGGCCACCAATAACAATAATACTGGAATATATGGAAAAAAAATAATTCATAATACGAATTAGAGTGAGTGCAAGAGAAGAGATGAAAACGGGCCACATCAATTTACATAAAAGAATTAAAAACATGAAAGGTTGGACCTGGTCATACCTGACCCGGACATGGCCCATACCTACTGCTAAAGAAATTAACAGCGATTCATGAATGTCTAGCAATATAGATGAACCTCAAGACTGGTTGACACGAAAGATTATGAAAGATTCTCGCAATAAAATAAAATCATCCAACTAAAATAATCTGCCTTCCCTTAGCATCAAAGTACTAACAACCATAATAGCCAGAAAGTTATAAGACTATATAAGCCATGAGTACAGTTCAAAAGGGCAACACTAGAGGCAAAACACTAGCTGTTGATAGACAAAGCAGTCATTTAAGATTTAAGGTCTCGACAGACCAGTCTATGCAATCTGCTTAGATCAACTATAGGGAAGCCTATGACTCAATGCGTCAAACATGCTTCTATGAATGCTTGGCGCTATACAAAGTCAACAGGATCTCAAAGATCTTCATCAAGAACTCAATGGGACTGCAGAAAACGACACTTGAAACCAACTCCAAAAAGCTTGCACAAGTGGCTATCAAGTGCGGCATATATCAAGTGGTGATTTACGCAACTGTTCCGTATAGATCGAAACTCTTTAACCAGATAATAACAAAAGCCATATTACCATCGACCCTCTGGTCTTCATTTACGACAAACGAAACAATGAATCGCTCATTCATCTAATATAGCGATAACATCGAGATAACATTCGGATTGGAAAAAACGACCGTATGGTATATATAAAAAGCTGGAAAGTAGTAATGGTAGGGTGGATTTGCCAGCAGGACATACGGCAGATACAGAGATTAGCTAGACAAGTACGTTCGTATCCCACAGTCACATGGCAACGATGAAAAGACAAGAAAGATTGCAGTATTATCAGAGAATAAAATAAATCCTGAACAGCCAATTGAAAGAGAAAAATAAAATTCATTCTACAAACATTACGCTTTGCCAGTTACCAGATACCCAGACAATGAAATGATTAAGGAAACAAGGCATGAGGAATTTCCACTCCAAATCTACTATCCAAGACTGTGCATTAGCCGGAAAGTGTTAAAGCCACTATCTTGACAATGAATGAAATCGGGCACCAAGACAGCACCAGAGAATGAGCTGCTGAGAGAACATTGGAGAAAGATCAAACAAAGGAACTGTCATGGCAAGGCAAAACCATCCATGGGATATACCATCAAAAGATGGCTGAAGCTGACATCGAGAAAGATAGCTGAAGCTAGCTGGTTGACATCGAAAAATCCTACCAATGGTTGGAAAAAGTTGGACAAAAAGGCAAAACTGATGTACAGCAACACAAGAAAAAATAGCATCAGATCCACTGAAATAAGGATCTACCACACCAGACATGGCTGAATAAGCAAATTTTACAAAAAAGTGTTAGAAACTATTTAAAACATAATATGATGTAAAATAATGTAAAATGCAAGCAAGAACAACATTTAAAAGCATAACCAAATAGGCATTGTCTATAGGATTATCTGTTCAATAGATAGCACAGATCCTTCCAAGGTTGTAAATTCCTTAAGAAAATTGAGAAGAATAATGAGACCAAAATCTTGTGCGACTTTCCCATGGAGAGATGTATGCAAATAATGATGATTAATCAAATATTCAACCAGACATCGCGGTAGCCGACAAGAATGAGATCAGCATTGATGAAAGATATAGTAATAACAAGGAATACCAGAAAAAAAGAATATGAGAAACTACCAGAGGCTAAAAGAGGAATTAGGACTAAAGAAGATATACAAGGTGAAGGCCAAAGTTCCGGTGGTGATAGCAGAATTGCAGCTCCTAAACTGAAACTGCAACAGAAACATAAGAGACCTCTATCCAGAAAAGCGCACTACTAGGAATAGCCTGAAATTGAGGATGACCCTTAATGCCCGGAGAGGATGAGAGATGGTTTTTAAATTAAAATGTACCGATTCGATAACGCTATCTTCCATAAGATTCACAGTGTTGCAAGGACGAAGTTCACCTTGTTGTTCGAACATTCGATAAACTGTAATATGTTGGGCCATATCCATGTAAACTGCTTTTAAATGATTGATTATCATCATGACCTAAAAATATAATATAATAATATTATAAAGCATGAAATAATGATTAAACCATTTTTATTTTGCTTAGATAACTGAAAGTTAAAAAAAATGATAAGGATTTTAAATCGCTTATATTTATTCCTTTTTCAATTAGTAATTACATTTAAACGAATAAAATAATGATTTCAAGTAATTCCATAATTCCATAATTCAAAAATCATAAATTCTTGCATCAAAAATTATAAAATTAGGAATTAATCCGACCTCACAAGTAAAAACAGGTCGAAGTACTCGCAGATGTTCGCACATTACTTTAATAGCTGTGATAGCATTTTCTTCATTTTCTGATATGATTGCTTTTGATAATAATGTATGCAGCAATTTTAAATATGATTTTATAGTTTCACTACAACCCATTCGATAAAGCATCTCTAGCATTAATTTACGCAATTGCTGAAATTTTCATTCTCAAAAAAAAAATGAAGAAAAGAAAAAAATGAAAATGAGTTCAATCCCTGTCTCTTGACAGGAGTGAACCACTCATTAAAAGCAATATATGAATGTTGACACCTGTGCTTCCTTCTCTACATAACTTCCGATAGAATAGTGAAGCCAGCCAAATCAGAAGAATAAAAAAATAGTTACCTGTGTATTATTTTCACCAATAAACTGAGGAGCAGTATCTTGAAAAACTTTCAGAAATATTCTAATCAAACATTCTGAAAGTGGCTGATACACTGGTGTATTGGAAAGATCCTCGTAATTGCTGCTTATTTCCTAAAAAATTAAAATCAAAAAAATGTTCATATCTATACAAATATCCATATCTGTTTATCAATTTATTAAAATGAGAAGCAAATAATTTTAAAATATTTATCGAATGAAAATTCGAATAGCGCCTTGTATTTTTTGAAAAATGAGATAAACGGTAAAAGATAATGGGTGAAATCTTTTATTGATTTCAATCAAATTAGAGAAGGTATATCTAATATTAAAGGTAACTGAGTTGACAGTAATGTTCCACTGAGTAGCAAGTTCCTTATCTTTATTCCTATAAAAAATTGCTAACGATTAATTTTCGTATTAATTTTAAAGCAATGTGAGGTCTTATACACCTAATATTGATCATGATAATAGATTCAAAATTTTATTCAGAAAACAGTCAAGAGAGGACTGTCCCATATAATAGAATAATAGTTTATTTATTCATTTACAAGGAAAAATGAGGCACAATCGTGCTTGTGTGTTAATAACAATAGCAAGAGTGGACAATGTAAGTTTAATGAAAGAAGAGCATTACAATAATAATATGTATGGGAAAATAATAAACGAATGAAGCTTAAAAAAACAAAAGACGTTCGGCCAATAATGGATTGAGTTTATGCTAAATAATTTTGAATAATTTTATGGATCGAATTTACTTTGAAATTAGTTATTGACAAATACTACATCGGAAGGCGATTTATCTCAGTAGTTAATTCGTCGAATAAAGAAATTTTGCGGTCATTTTAGTATCACTTTTTACTGATACTGTTCAATTAAACATTATCGATGAAAATAGGGACATCAGATCATTTTAGGTTAATATGCAGAACTTTAATGGTTAGATTTTTTATCGCGAAATTAGATATACATATTAATCAAATCAGCCTGTAAAGGTAAATTATCCGATCTCTCGAATGAATACCAAAGTTTGATATCACTTTTAGTAATAAATTTTAAGTGAATGATGCTGCTGACGGTGTTTCCGATTCTAATATTTATATTTATCTTCACATAAAATCACTAAATTCATTTACAAAATGAAAAATAAAAGGTTCAGCAAGATTTAGATATTAAAGTAATGTGGCTTTACGATCGATAAAATGAATTATCGCTCGAGAATTATATATCAATTGTCTAATCTCCTATGATTTGCAACAATAATGTTCGATTTCGAATAACTAAAAAATTCGAATAAATGTTCGAATATGTGTACTTTTTTAGATTTTGGTTTTGTTATGTTCTTTTTCTAATAGCTCAAATCATTACTGGTTAGGCTAGTTTCACTGGCTACCACCCAGGGTTAGACGTTTCCAAACTGCGCGATGCCATTGACAGTTATAGAAACCACTCCTTTTTCCATCGTCTAAGTTCATATAATGCTAGTTGACCTATAGTTCAAAATTTTTCCTGACCGTGTCAATCCAAGTCTTGATTGACCCATCTCGCTTTTGATGCCACCCATCACAGGGTCTAACAAGTAAATATGTGTCAACTTTTGTAAAGGGTGATGAAGAAAGTATGGTAATCATCGAACGCAACGCTCTGTAATGGTACTATTAATGCAAGTGGTATTTAAAACGAAGGTGAATGCGATGAAATTCAGTGAAATTGATCGAACTATTTCAGCTCGAACTTTATCAACTATTCATAAAAGGTTTTCGTTCTATTTACATTGACCTTGACTCCGATTTTAGCTGCAGTCGTTATTTAGCATTACTTGCATAATTATCGTCATAACTATCAGCAAAAAGAACTACATCATCAGCGTATTTAAGGTCTATGAAACGATGCTCTGGACTGATTTGGACACTTCTTGAGTGCCGAGAAGCGGTGTCCATTGTCCAGTCTATCGAATAGTTGAATATTGTAGAGGAAAGGACACAACCATTCTTCTTGTTTCGAAGGAGCTGTCAATTCCCATTATATACAGATCTGCGCCGACGTACGCTCATAAAATGCCTTTATGAGTCGAATGATTTTCTCTGCGACACCTTCGCGTTCCATCACCCTCAAAAGCGCCGTTCTATCAGTTGAATCAATGGCTCAACAGCAGCCGCAAAATCGATGAAACACATGACAGTGGGTTGCAGATATCTGAAGCGATCTGAAGCGTTGCACGTGAACTCTTCTTAATGTGAATATCTGGTCAGCACAATTGCGCCTCTGAATCCAGCTTGATTAGAGCGCATCTTGCTGCCTATTATTAGGACAGTTGAGTAAATGGGAAAATTTTCGAATATAGTAGGCTGATTTCTCGATAATTGTCACAATATCTGCTGTCACCTTTCATGAAGAGTCATCTGGTGATATTTCTTTTTTCCAAGCCAGAGAATACGTTTGTTGAAAGTACCTTATGAAGGACGATGGACAATATTTGAAAAATTCAGCCCAAAGACTATCTCCCAGAGTCTTGACCTTAAGGTTATGGATAACAGAAATCATTTCTTCTTCTCGCAGTTGCAATAATATGGTTCGATGAACGCATCAGTTATATCCGATACAAGAAAAGGCGCTTCATGGTTAAATTTGACCTCAAATAATTCCTTCCATCTTGTTAGGCGATTCTTTATATTCTTACCAGCCACGCCATTGCTGTCCCTTACCATTTCACTGATCGTTCTCCGAATTATACCCGTTGTTGTTTATGAAGAAGACGGAACAGTTCCCTATTACAGCCTAATCGAGCCGCCATCTCCATTTTCAAGGCATGTCCCCCAATAGCCTTACTGAGTTGCTGTCGTTGCAATTCTTCGAATCATCCGGTAGTCAGAATTTCCTGACATTCGTGCTTTGGCAGCTTTTTCAGACAGTTGGACAGTTGCTTCCGATACACAACTAGCGAATTTCCTAGTATGTCCTAACGTGGAAGTGGCTGATTTTCGGAGACATCCCTTTAGTTTGGACCAGTATTCGTTCCAGAAAAATCACTGATATTTATATTACGTTTGTAGGTTTCGTTATATAGAAGAATATTAATTTTGATTAAATCTGCCATAAAAATTTGCTTTATATGAAAAGAATTTTCAAAAAATGAGTTTAAAGTCTTTTTTCTATTGTTTATTAAAATATTTTATTATTATTAAAATATTTTAGTTAATGAACATGTAATAAGTGAAATCGAATGAAAATTAATTAATCGAAAGCTGTCGTGAAATTACCGTAAAAACGAAAGTCTGCATCTCTGTAGACGTGATTCACTCAATCTTGCTATATGGATCTGAGACATGGCCAATGAGAGCGGATATTAAAAAGCCATCTACTTTTGACCACTTTACATTTTATGAGTCCGTTGAGCGGATAAAATATCACATGATCGCATGTATCTTCGTTCAAATACCACTTACATTAATAATGTTATCACAAAGTTTCGCCTTCGGTGGAGCACATTCTCCGCCATCCACCACAAGAGTTGTCGCACATTTTGTTACTTGCTAAACCATGTGATGGATGGCATCAAAAACGAGATGGACCAATCAAGATCTGAACTGTCGACGGTGGCATTAGATCGCGTAGCTTGGAAACGTCTTACCCTTGTAGCTGTTAGAGCCAGTCTAACCAGTAATGATAAGCGCTGTTAAAAGAAGAAGAAGAATCGAAAGCTTACAGAAATATTTTTTAATGACGTTTGAATCTAAATAGATCCTTCAATCATGTTTAAATTTAAATTTAATAAAAATTTAAAATTAGTAGAGATCGAGAGACTTAAGCAACACTGAGGCTGAGTTGCACAATTCTATTCAGTTTCTGATCTATTCTACATAATACGGTCAGATCTTAAAGATATTAGGACTAAAGGCAGTAAGCGCACTAAAATAAATGCATTAATTCATGATTTTTAATTAAAATTTTAAGCACTGCAACCAATGTTTAAAGTAGTTTTTTCGCATCTGCGGCTAGTTATAAATTAAATACGATTATCTGAGATAAGGTCAGAATTTTTGCCTCGAATCATTTATAAGTTTGTTTTATTGTTAATTTTTGCTTTCCTAGTTAGCGCCTTAAAAAAATGGAGAATAAAAAAGATAAAATGAAAAAGAATTAATTACCGTCACTTACCGATCAAATTTAAAACAATCAAAAGATGAGCAAGAATAAGCTAACCTGAAGAGCTTTAAGTCTGAGATCATCACGTTGAGTGACATCAGCAAGTCGCTTAACAAGTTCCTCGAGTTCAAGAAGGATTGGTGGAGGATTCTGCAATGTCTGTGTTGTTAACGAAATTCCTCTCGCTAATGTCTGCTGTTGCTGAGGACCATAAGGAAAAGCATGAGCGCTTCCCGTGTCTAAATTCATTTGCTCCAAGAACTGAAATAAAAAATCTCGTCCACTGCTAGTCTGCAGCTAATTAAATTATCTGAAAAATGCTCCTATATTTACATTTACATTTACATTCATTAATTTAAATAAAAAAGATTTGTCAATAAAAACTCGCAAATCACCTCAAAATTGCTCAATTTTTACTTCACTCAACGAATTCACTTCAATAAATTATTTATAGAAATTTGATAAACAGTAACTTTTGTTACCGCCAATGTTAATGCTTTGATCTCTTTCAATAACTCGATTTCTCTCAATTTGTTTACAACGAAAGTTTGGAAAGATTTTAGAATATTTAAAAGTTTTAGAATATTTAAATGTTTTCGAATAAATGAATTTAAGATAAACCGAACGAAAAATTCCTCGAACTGGGTGGTCGCGAACTTCGGCTCCTCTGTCAGAGGCTTGGAAAACTCAGAAAAGCTTTTACATCTATTGAGGTTCACCGGGAGGGTGGAGAGGATTTGCTGCGGCGACTCGAACTATTATTGTTGCATTCATCCGCCTTTTTATTCGCAAATATTTTAAAGGTAACAAGAAACATATTTTTGTTCCGACTACGTTCATCAATTAAATTTTTAAAATAAAAATTGTAAATCCCGAAGTCCTCGCAACCACTTCGAGTCCGATTTTTCATTTCGCGGCCCTTTTAAATGGATCTGCGGCCAGCGCCCTCTGTAACTGTCTTTGCCAAAGGCACCAACGAAGCGTAATTGCTCACGTGGCGAAGGCGAACCCCTCTTATTTGGTGGTTTTGTTCTTATAGTTCCTCTTTATGCGTACAATCTGAGTTACTTCCACAGTTTATGCGACTTAAGCCGGTTAATTCTCATTCTCGGTTTTATTTTTTTATAATTGATCTGTTATGAATGACCGTCGAAAAATAATTTTATTTAATTTGGCACAAAAATATACAAAAATATCTCTGACTAATTGAATTATTTTATCGGAGAAAAGCGAAATGAATTGATGAAATAATTTCAATTATGGAAGTTAAGCAGTAATATTAATAGCAATTAAAAGCAAAAGAACATATCAAAATATGCAGTTTTAGGGCACATCAGGCAAATCGAAATAAGCAAATAGGCCCCAAACAGCTCACAAAACGTTTCTAAGGCATAAGATTGATCAGTTTCAGGTATGAAAAAATTTCGATAGAAAAAAATATGCAAAAAGAAAAAAATACGGCTTGCCACAATTCCATAAATGTATTACTTTCCATGAAAGCTTGTTTGCTACATATATAAATGGAATCATGGTAGAGCCTAGTCCTTTGAAACCATTTTGTTATAGTAATGCTATAGTTTTTTCCTCCGCAACCAGCTGTCAGAAAAAGAATATACTCTTGCGACCCTGAATTAAAATATTTATTTAAAAAATACGGTTTATAATAATAAATAAAAGAAGTAAAAGCGAATATATTCAAAGCGAATAATTAATAAAAAAAAAAGGATGGTGGATCAAAGCGAAGGCGATTCTTGTCAGTGCCAATCCAAAACTGACCTTTGCCAATTTGGGTGATTCATCCAAAACATTGGTAGATCAAAAATTACATAAAAATTAATTTATTTTTATTCAAAAGATCTCATAGTTTTCTTTTTTTTAATGCAAATAAGATGGCTTTAATAAGTAACTAACAGATGCGTGAGCAAAGAAAGAAGAAAAACAATTTTGTGCATATTTGCATATTGTTGACTGCTTATGATGTGGAAAGCTTTGTTAAAATCTTGCTTTTTCTTTTTTGAATTTTAAAAAGCTTTATGAATTTTACCGCATTACTATTATTTTATTTTATTTCTTCTCTTCGGTTGTTTCGACATTCCCGACCGAAGAAAAGAAGTATTAGGTGGTGGAATATGGGGTTCATATTGTAAGGGAATTTGGCTAGTAATAGTTGTCTATAAATTTATTTAGTAACAATTCCGTTTGAATTGCTAAAAAATTTGTTCTCATTGGAGTTTTATTGCTTGATAAGCATTGTAAATCGAATTAGTTTGAATTTTCATCGCAATGGCAATAAGTATTATTGTAATTAAGAATACAGTTATACTAATAATTTTTAATTTCCAATGTATAGCAAGAGTTGTTAATTCTTCCCCAATTAGTTCTATTGCTTTACCAATTTGAATTTCCAGTTGTTCGGCAAATTCTTCACCTTGTTGGCTTATTTGAAGAGTTCTATTGATTTGATGCTGGATGTAATACCTCCTATCTGGTTTTGAGCTAATATTTCCAATGCTGCATTTCTATTCTTTCAAATTCAAGTTTACTTTTTCTTTATTATTCCTTTTTTGAATTCGATAATAGTAAAATTAAATTTCCTTGATTTACATGGAATAATTAATAATTTTCCTTTGATTTCTTTAACTATCACATTGTTCCTTTGTAATAATAATCTGATAGCTAATGTTGAATTATACGACGATAACCACTCAATTAGTAGCAAACTATAAACTGTTTCGATTTTGACAACTTCTTTGCACTATGCTTAATTGCCGTTGGAAATCTTGGTGTAAATTATCAAAAAGGTATTGAAATTTCGTATTCTTTGGATCGAATTTGTTTCCTTTATTCGTTTCCATTAATAATAACTTACCTACTTTATAGCTGGTAACAAATTTTTGGTCCTTCGATTTCTCGGTTTAGACCCATATCATATATATATATATATATATTTGGTCCCATATCGATGATAAAATCGCCATCCATGCGATAAGGTTTAGTGAAGTTACAATATTTATTTATAACTGTAGTTACTGAAAATAAGTGAAGTTTGAAGTTCACTTAATTTATCGAACGTTTTAGTATTTTACCATTTGGTAATTCTATTGTAGCGGTCCACACTTTCCCATCCTTTCCTTTATGAAGTTCCTTCATCCTGGACAATTTCCACATACTTCGTGGTGTTCCAGGTTTATTGAGTATAACTAACTCATTTTTGCGCGGAGATCTGATTTCGACTCTCTTAGGGAAATTTTTCTTTGAGTGCGTTCTCTAAGACTAATTAAATATTCTGATCTCCATATTTCCCAGAATACATCCGAGGTCTTAAGTAACCAATATTTAATAAGCTTGTCTCTAGTATTTAGTTTATATGGAAAAAATTCTTCATCCTGTATGTAACCGTCTCCAATAAGTAATGAAGCGTTAGGTGAAATGAAATCAATAGGACGTAAGACTGAATAATCATCAAAGTTTATACAGGTTAATGGACGAGTGTTCAGTATACCTTCTATTTCCACTGTCAAAGTTATTAATTCCCTTTCCCATAGAAATTTTCTACCTATAGCCCTTTTCATTGGCATTCTGTTCCATGATTTTGAAAATTAGCTGAGCAGCATTATTGCTTAAAATCGATTTGGTCGAGAAATAAATCTTCTAAATGTAATGTAAGAAGGCTTCAGCAGGCTTCAGCCTATATTTTATTCCTAGGTATGTAACGCAAATTAAATTGCCTTTCGAATTTGGATATAATTTATTTAGAATAGTTTTTACCCATGCAATGCATACTTGGAATCAGACCATAATATCACCTATCACCTTTGCGTCTTTTAAGCTTAATTGATTTAGTATAAATCGTTCTGCTCATACTCCAATGAGAATAGCAAGCAGTTCCAATCGTGGTATGGTCATTCCTTTGATGAGTGCAATACGGGATTTGGCATAAATTAAAAATGATTCTCTTTTGCGCATTTCTTCTCCATAAGTGTATATTGCTGTTGCATACGCCACACTGAAGCATCAGTAAATATGTGAAAATTCATATTGCTTGTAAGATTAGTTATAAATCGAGACAAGTGTCCTTCATGTGTCGTTAATAAGAGATTCCCAAACTTCATAACTTATAATTATTTGATCTCACGAATTATTTTTCTTCCATAAAATTTGAAGAAATAATTTAAATCTTATAATTACAGGAACTAGAAATTCTAGAGGATCATACTGTGAAGAAACAAATTGAAGAATATTTCTTTTACTTAATTCATTGCTCGTCCATGGTTTCAGAGTTATATGTATGATGTCTAATTTAAAAGGCCACATAATCCCTAAAATCTTTCTACCATTGAGACTTGCTCGATCGTGATCAGTATAATTTCATTGAATCTGACATCATTTGAAAGAAATTCTCTAATTATTCATTGAGGCTTCCTCAAAAATTTAGTTTTTAATTCAAGATATTTTTCTAAAGCTTCTTCCGTGTCTTCTGCGGATGTCAAAACGTTATCAACATAAAAATTCTTACCTCTAAAGCTGTTTTACTACCATTAGATTCCAGATGGCTTGCATTTCCTTAAAAAGCAGATAGGTGCTAGGTGGTGGGTAAAACTTGTTTCAGAAGCAGTTTCAAGGGAGTGGATGGTAGTAAGTTCCGATGTCGAGGATATATTGAAGTTTATTTTCGAGCGGAGGAGGTCTTAGCTCATGCATGGCATGAATAAATCAAACATATTTGGAAGATTTGAGGACAGTTTTGAACAAGCGCAAGATTGAATATTAATCCAGAACATGAACTTTGAAGACGCTAGTGATGTATTCCTAGTCCTTCTACCCTTAAAGTTGCGAATTTGGAGTCGGAGTTGGACAGATGAATGATTATGCTCCACATTATAGGTCCCAGCGTGCTCGATTTGGAGCTCAAAAGAGGCGATGTCAGCTTATGCAGATACTCTTGTCATATCGGTTGTCTTGTTTTTCATTAATGCTACAGAGAAAAAAACGCCGCTGCCTCATACTGGAATCGAACCAGTGACCTTACTGCACAGAACTATCGGTGAAATGATTGAGATATCGCTTATGTCAGTGCTTTTTAAACTGATCGTCGAGGGAGACTACGATTGAGAATTGCTATGTGCTAATATAGAGCATAGAGAATATCTCAATAGGCGCTTTTGTTTAGAAGAAATAGAAATAATTTAATTGCGAGTTGTGCGAGTAATTTGAAAATTTCGTTTTTTTAAGGAAATGGTCGTATAGGAGAAAAGACGTGGAAGTTGAAAAGGGTGAATCAGGTTCGGAATTTTTTTCATCATTTTGAAGTGTTGTTTCGGGGCTTTTCTGCTATCAACTGCGTCATTGCCGTCCATGCATAACCTCCCGAACTCCACATTTCTTATTCTTACTTGAAGTTTTTATTTTTTGCGCGTTCGTCGTGTCTGAGGCAAAGAAGAATGTAGCTAACATAGTATGTCCATCTTTATTAATTTGGTTTTATTCATTTGCTTGCAAATAAGGCATTAATGAAGTCGTCATTAGATTAAATGATCATTGACTCAGAACAGTTTATGCTGGTATAAAATGTCATACTGCATAAAGTTTTCAAGGTCAGGGATCAGCTATGAAAACAGTGAAGGTTGAATGACAGTTTTCAATTGCATCCAAAGAAGAAAACGATGAGAACGTTCCACTTGCCATATTTCGTTGGTTATTGCTAAATCGACGAAATCGCACACGATCGGTGAAAAACTGGTTCTTTCTTCCAATAGTAAAGTCATATTGCATACCGATTTGCGCAAATCATTTGATGTCAAGAAAATTCCTTTGAGCAAAAATACAGTGCAAATTGGTGAAATAGCCGATAGATTTGTACAGAAAAGGGAGAAATTTTTTATAGTAGTACGAAATTTTCGTTGGGAGCACTGCGATTCCCTTTCAATATTCTACCTTTACAACAATTCCTTTTGGGAATCCGCTCCACTATCCTTTTTCTGTATAGATTTCTGTATAGATTTAACTTTCCTGCCACGTGGGACTTTTCTTTTTTATCAATATTATAAAAAACTCTGTGGCCAGCGTTCTACTTCTTACTTTTCTCGTTGCGAACCTCAAACTTGGGTAATTAAACCTTTATTAATAAAGACGCAAATATATATAAGAAAATAAAGCGAAGTAATTGCCCTACTACAACGAAATAATACAGTCAAAGAAATCAAATATAAAAACTAAATGCCCATCACTCACCCACTCGTTTCCCCTATTAAAACACAAAAATGACCAGAATTGATCTTTTGGGAGCTTATATTTAATTTAAGATGGGCGGGAATCCGGTTGATTTGTTCAAATTTATAGCTTTTTTCGCCTTTTGGCAACAAAATTGATGGTGAACATATTTTACTAGGCAGTGATGGTTTGCATTTAATATACGATTTATAAAAGATAAAAAATTTGCGAAGAGTTTTGACCCTCGAAAAAATTAAGAATCGATATTAAAGATTTTTTGGAGAAAAGGAAATTTCCCTGAATAGTATCATGTGTGTTGCTACTGGTGATGCCCGGTTGCCACCAAGGACTCATTACGTATTTGGAAAAACCAAAATATACTTTCTGTGCATTCATCGACATTTGATTGCGCGAAATCTTAATGTTCGCATGCAACAATTTTTGCAATATTTAATTTCAGCAGAAAATAGAAGCAGTGATCATAAGGATAATTTGGACACCTTTGCATGGAATGCGTTGAGCACTAAAATCGTTTACGATTTTACACGGAAATACGTTGGTTGTCAAAAGATGTTTCTTTAAAGCGATTTTATTATATCCCTGAGTTAGCCTAGAATTTTATGAAAAGGTAATTGCGGAATTTTACTGTTAATAAAATAAATTTCCTCATATTTACGGTTTTTATAGGCCCCTTTAGGAGATCCCTTTTTCCGTTGCAGTTTGATCAAAACCAAGAATATTATTTCCTCGTCGTTAAAACTAATTTTTTGTGGTTCAGATCGAAAAAAATTTTTCCATTTTCAGGAGTAGAAAAAAACCTAATTTATTATCAACTCTTCAGAGCCATCTCTCAACATTCATAATTCATATCTGAAGCATTCATATCTGAAAATTCATAACTGGCTTTTAGATCCATTTTTAAACTGAAGTTCAAGAAGGATTAATCGAATTATAAACAAACAAAAATTTAAAGGAAAAATATTCACAACAAGTGAATATCATGTCTTTTGCTTGTAAAAACAGACACTACCAATTTTATACCGAAATACAAGGTGTGGGAATTCTTTATTCCATTTCCCCTCACCATGCTTAGCAAAACGCAATTACAAATCTTTTGATGAAAAAAGGGGATCAGACTGCAAATAGTTAAGTGCGAAAATTTACGGTGACAAAAATTGGACCAAATGTAGAAATTTTGCTTCGATATGCAAGTTATCATATAAGCCACGAATTTCTCATTAATTTTCATTAGATTTTTTTGGTAATTATTTCTATTTTGATTTTCACATTACAATTTATGTCCTTCGCTTTTGCATTTTATTTTTTTTGCTCTAAAAGCTTAATAAATATTTAACTTTTTTAAAACAAATGGGAGCTTTAAAAAATCGGTTTCTTATTTCAAAATAGCTTTTAAGATTTAAAAATTACATGCAAACAGTATTAGACCTGATTTCTTGTATTAGAATTGGCCTAAATTTACTAACAAATTTACTATACCAATGAACAAAATAAATCTAGAAAAAGGGACAATCAAAAAAGGTTGGGAATCTATGCTGTTTATTGATATAAATCTTTTTTATATCTTATGCTAATATGGTTTCTATAGTATATTCACAAATTATCACATTGGTGCAGACTTCTATCCTATAGTGTTCTTGTTCGTAATAGCAAAGCTATAGATGGAATAAAGCTATACATACGAATAGATGTAGATTGGAATAAGTTAGTCTGGTGAAACCATTGTAAAATCGTGGTGAAATCAGCTTACACAAAAAACTCAACTTTTTTCTCACTCCCTGTCATGAACATCCTCAATCTCGAGACCTGGGAGATTGACGGTTCTGCGCAATATTTTAGCTATTCCTAACAGTGTGCTCTTTAGGGTAAAGATCTCTGATGTTGTTCCTGGAATCTACTAAAGCAATTTTTTTAGTTTAGGGGTCACAGTTCCAAGTGCTCCCATTATCACTGAAATTACTTTCACCTTTCCTCATCTTTTCTAGTTTACCTGTCAGTCCTTCGTATTTCTCTAATTTCTCATATTTCTTTCCTGTCATTTGGTATTGCCATCGATATCGACTATCGATACTCATTGATGCAAATCATTCCATCAGGTAATATAATTGAAGATGCAAATAAAATCCTCGCAACAATTCCTATTGTCACTATAAATAGAAATGAATTGACCCTTATAGCCGCTGGAGCCAACCTAACCAGTAATGGTGAGAGAAAGAAGATGTACGCTACCGTAATTCTCAAAATGTGGGGATTTAAAATAAGAATGCAACTCGCTTATGGAGGAAACTGGAAAATAAGATTAAAACACAACCCAAAGAAGTAAATCGCCTGATAGAATTATAGAAAGGTGTAAATAATAAAAATAGAAATCTGAGAAAATAAAAGGCTAGACCTCATCAGAAGCCGAGATTGTTAAACAAAGGTTCACAGCACTGGCCATTAGGCTAAGAAAGTGCTCTAGGAAGAGAAGCAGAGGCTAGAATGATAAATACCCTGTTCTCCAAGGAACGGTTCAAGATGTATTCTTAATTTCAGCAACAATATGAGGACAAGTCATAGCAATCGTCCAAAGCAAGAACCAATTACCATTATAGTTGCTGACATCCAGCGACTCAAAAATGTAAAAAGCCGAATAGCACATAATTCACATCTGCTGGCTAAAGAAGCTAAGAGAGGTTCATGAGCGCCTAACGATAGATGAACCAGCCACTTGTAGCAGGCTCTCATTCAGACTGATTAACAGAAAGAATAATGTTACTGATAATGAAAGGCCCTCTTAAGGGAATAACACCATCCAACTAACAATAATCAATAATCTGCCCACCTACAATGAGGAAAGTCCAATGAGGCATCATAGCCATCAAGCTAAAAGACTATATGAACCAGTATATGTCGCGAAATGTAATGTCTTTTCTAAAATTATTATTTCAAACTGGTGATCCTGACCGCCAAAAGATAACTCATTAACTTAATCGATTCTTTACTTATTCCATTTTCATATGTCAATAAAAGAGTCAATTAGAGTCAATTTACAGTTGTATTGTTCTTCTTTTCTTATTGTCGAGCCATCAAGGAACCCAAGCGATTGGGTCTCAATATTTCAATATTTTACACTTTTATTTTAAAATCCTGTTTATTTTCCATAGAGTCTGAATTCTTACATGTGGGGCATTGAATTATAGGCTTTCCTAGTTAATCCATGTGCTCAAATTGGTCTGTCGAATCTTGAGCTATTGCTCTCTATTTATTGGTATTTTGAGGTTCTGATGTTGCCACCAATGCTTTTTTGGATTGTAGTTATATACTGGCTGATATGGTCACTTGATGGCTATGGTGCTGACAGGGCTTTCCACATTGTGGATAAATTGTTGGTCGGTATTAGGGCGAATTTTCTTAATCTTCACACCTTTCTGTAATTCTGTCAGCTGGCTAACTTCTCTACGTTATCTTCGACCTTATTTTCCAGCCTCCTTTTCCACGGGCGAAATGCATTGTTACGTATTGTTATGCATTGTTACATTGTAACGTTGAAACATATTGTTATTCATTTTGTATCCTAGCATTTCTAGATTACGGCTGTGGCATACATTATTCATTAGTTTTATAGTGATTGTAGGAAGCATCTTCAAGTATTAATTATTCAGTGGTATCTTACTGAAACTTGGAAATTGGTCTCGATGGTTAATTACAGTCAATTCATGATTTTTTGCCTAATGTCAACTGCTCTGCTTTGCAACGGAGATGTTGAAAGGCAATTTCCAACATCTTCCAAGCTTCCAGTCATCTTGGATCTAGGATGTAATGCAGAATTGATCCATGTCCAATTGAGATAGCAGTTTCCTTTGATAAACAGCTGAGCCACTAGCTATTTCTCAGTTAACGTGTATGTAGGACATTTTCTTATTCACAGTCTGTTTCTTCATCGTCTGTTATTAAAATTGCATCAATTTTAGTTTATCTGCATGTAAGGTCTGTTCCAGTGTTCCTCTTTTTTTTATGTCAGATTGCCTTACTCCACCTTAAGCAGTTTCGAAAGCACTGCCCTACTTATATATCCCTACTTAGCATCAGATAGTCCTGGTCCTTCAGCATCTGATGTGGACCTTATTAATCTGAGCCGGCTCTGTGACACTCATATTTGAGGTAGAGTAGATTAGCCACTAGCCTCCAAGAGGTCTTGCCTAAGGACTCTACCGGAAAGGTCGGAAAGGAAAGAAAACTTTTTGCGATTCGAATCATTGTTTTGTTAAATTCCATATTAACTGCCTTAAGTACTAGGTTATACTGGCGCCATTTTTTATTATATTATATATTTTATTATATTGTATACAGGTAATATCTGGTTGATTTTCGAAATGAATATAAACTATAAACTATGATGTATTGGATATTTTGTGCATATTTAAAATCCTTTTGAGTGGAAAAAATCCGCTGTGAAAAAAATTATTTTTGCACGCAAATTATTCGAAAAGATCTCCTTCTTCTTGATAGAAATAAGCCTACCACAAAAGAATTAAATTCGATTATTGCTGAATATACCGCCTGTAAACATACCCCTGACATTCTCTGATGAAAGCCAGCAGAATCAGTCAAAATAGAGATGATGAAGTACAGTTATAAATAAGAAATGTAAAAGCAATAAACCTAAATTGGAATCTTTTACTTGAAACTCATGCATTTATTGCATTTGACATTAGTAATAATATGTGTGGTACAGGATTACAGAATGAAGCTAAAGAAGCAAAAGTGTTTGACCCCGACGTGATTTGAACACGCAACCTTCTGATCTGGAGTCAGACGCGCTACCGTTGCGCCACGGAGTCCCACGGCAATGACCTCACTAAAGCTTTAGTTAAGATAAAATTGCCTCTCCAACTAGTATTTCAACAAAGCAATAATAGTTTTAATTACAGTTGTGTTACCGACTAATTATTCATCATCGATCATCTAGTATCGTAGACGAGATTATAGCCTAATATTTGTAATGGGCCATAAACATTCAATAATTCCTTTTCTCCTCCACTTCACGTCACTCTTTTATTGAAAGTTGAGGACACGATAGTGCCTCCACCTCACATAGGAAGTGTGCCATGTGCCATATTTTTCTAAATGAACCTTGTGACATACTGGAGCAAATCTGTCACTGAACAATCTGAGTGGTGCTGGCGATCTACCTTTAGACATGAATCGGCAAATTTTTAACCGTACTAACAGGCAGCTAGAAATGGTCTTAACTAATCTTATTTTCCTTTTTTACTGTAAGTTATGCTTCGGTCGTTTGGCTGATGAAGCCCATTATCGAATATTTTCTACAGTCGCTCTTTCTACAGTTTCTCGGTGCAGTTCCCTGGTTTCCAATCATCCCATCCTATATGAGATCGCTGAATCAATAAGTCTCTCCATTTCTGCTCTCAGCAATTCCACCAGCGAGTCAGTTGTTCTACGGCTCACCAAGTATTTGATTTCTTTGCGTCATAATTGATTTCGTCTCCGATTTATTGCTTTCTGTCATCTATTCGTCACTTTACAGGGCTAGCCCGATTGTTCGATTGTAAAATAAAATGGTACTAGAAAGATTAATACAATTCGAGCAAGGTCAGACATTTTCCGAAGACTACAGAACAAAAAGCGAGGGAGGTATATTATATTACATAAGGATGATATTGTTCGGTGCACAACAGATTATTTCAGTTGGTCATGAAAAAATAAAAGAAGGGAAGGTCACTAAAACAACGGCAAAAGAAGAAAATTAAAAAGAGTACGTAGACATACGACCACGATCCACACCACTCCCCAAGGTACCATAAACTACCAAAAATGTTAATTAATATCGTTGATTTAAAATATTAGGTTCGAAGGACATTCTGCTTGTAATAAAGACCATCGGACAAGAGGACACGGTCTGGTGACTATTGCTCCAATTTCTGTAAAAGTAATTCCAGATAAATCTACGCGTGGAATTAAAAGTGATTGGAAATTTGAATTCGCGCCGCAATGTAAATAGCTCTTTCTCTTACAACGAAAACCATTACCTGCAAATCGTTCGAAAGTTTAGGCCATTGACCAATAAGGTTGTCCTGTGAACATTGTAGTGCTTGGTTGTCCCGTTGTGTTATAGAGATATCTAACAAAGTTTTTGTGTGTTTGTGGGGAGGGGTTTGGTGGCTTCTGCTTGGCTGTGGAAGTGTAGGCTACTGCGATGCGCATTATTTCTGGTCTTATCTATTCTGGGGATTTTAAAACGTATTGTGCCTCAGGTTTTCTAAAATAGCAAAATTTTGTTTTTTGAAATCATTTTTTAGATATTTTTTGGAATTTTAGAATTTTCGTTTCTCTGTCTCATTTGGATATACTTATTTCATTCAAAATGGTTTTGGTCAGATGATCCGAATTTCAATTTTTTTATCTTAATTTCTAATTAAATTTCAAGTTGTACTTCTTTGATTTTATCACCGGGAAGCTAGTAATTTTCTTTGCAAATGGTTCTTCAAAAGAATCAAAAAAAGATGTATTTGAGACATAAAGCTGTTGGCTTTGATTATCCTATTTTTTACTCTTAATTACTATTAGTTTTTTCTACTTTTTGCCATTTTTTTTAAAAAACTTTATTCAGCTGATGTAATTGTGTGATTAAATTATATATTTATTTTTTTTAGATTATTTACTAGTTTTGTTGTTTTTTAATTGGTATTTGAATTAGGCTAACAAAAGGTTATATCCTGCTGATTGGTTTGTTTTAGTATTTTTTGGAACGCAAACGTGGAAATATTTTTTCTTTAATTATTCTGAAATGTTGAAAGCTTCTTCAGTCTTGTTTACGTCTTTTCTTACCGTTGGAAATTTTTTTTGCTCGAAAATTGCTGAAGATAATTTAAAGGGTCCCAGTTGGAAAAAGAATGTCTGATCACGAACATGAACATGATTTTCACACGGGAGATGCTGGAGCTGCAGCTACTTTTCCGAAACAATGTTCAGCTCTTCGCAAAAATGATCACGTTATGATCAAATCGCGTCCATGTAAGGTTAATTTTTAAACATGTTGGAGTATTTTTTGATCTTTTATAGTTCAATTATTATCCTTGCTGTTAAAACACCATTGTCACTGTATAATCTTAACACGCTTTTATTCGGCTGATTCCGTCAATAGTAATGACGTTATTTTGCTGGATTTCGGAACCAAAGATACAGACGGCCGTGAAGTTTTCTGGGCTCTACTCGGATTTCAGCTGCAATGATGTTTTAGAGGGCATGAATCCACGGGTTCTGATTTTGATTTTGATTGATTAATTCGGACATCTCGCCTATTTTTTAGTAATAGTCATCTTTTTATCATTATTTTACCGCGCATTTATGGAATATTTAGAAAATGTTTTTTTTGCATGGAGCTTTTCTCAGGTCGTGGAAATGAGTACGTCGAAGACGGGTAAGCATGGTCATGCAAAAGTTCATCTTGTGGGCATTGATATGTTCACTGGAAAAAAACTTGAAGATATTTGCCCCTCCACACACAATATGGATGTTCCAGTAGTTAAGCGTAAGGAATTTCAGGTTTGTTTAATGAATGACTATGTTTTTTTCTTTGTTTTAATGTGTTCCTTTTGTAAAGGTATGTTGCTTCCCACACAACTTTTATTTTCTGTTTTCCATATTTTAATGGATGCCATTGTCTTATGCATACTTAAGCGGCGATGATGGTTATTAAGGTAATTTGCGCCTGAAAGTTGTGATGCGAATTCTAACTGAGCCGTTTTTTAAAAATCTGTTCTTATTTGATCAATTTTTTTGAAATTTTACAGTTGCTAGCCATTAACGACGATGGTTATGTTAGTCTTATGGATCTGGATACGTGTGATACAAAAGAGGATCTTAAATTACCTGAGGGAGAGCTTGGTGATCAAATAAAGCAAGCATTTGAAAAGGATGAAAATGGGATTCTAGTAAGTTTATGTTTCTATAATTGGTGCACTACTTTTTGATTTCGTCTTATTAGAAATCGAACGATAGAGTAAGAAATTTTGTGAAATTATCTTACTAAGAATTTCCACTATTACAGAATTTTTCATCGTTGTTTTTCAGTGCACAGTGATTTCGGCTTGCGGAGAAGAACAGATTTTGAGTTACAAGTCCATGCCTAACAAAGATTAGGACGATTCATATACATATATAATATTTATATATACATATATATATATATAAATTTTTTGTTATTTTCCGCGTCGTTTGAGTCGTTTTTATTATTCGTTCTTTTTATTTAATATTATTCGCGACTGTTCAACATATTGTTGTTTTACAAATTTGTTGATCACAAAACAAAATTTTGTTGAGATTTTTGGCTCATTTTTATATAATTAGATATATAATTACAGGCAAACATTAAGTGTCTTTTTTTTTGAATTTTTGTGGTATTTTTTGGAATGTTAATGTATTCGTTGAAAGATTGAAAGATTTTTATTTGATTTCTTTGTCGATAAAGATATACATCGGTTGTAAATTATTTACAAGAGTATTAGTAAAAAATAACTAATGACTGAAATAACTAAAACAACTGATGGTTGGTCGGTTGAATATGTTTAGCACGTCGTTTGAAGCTATTTTATTATTGTGAGTTCGGGTCCGTCGAGGTATTTGTGTATTAGTTTTCACAGAAGGAGGAGAGGTTTAAGATGAGTCAAAATTGCAGCGTCGCATCAGCTAATTGTCCGAGATTAAGAGTGAATGGGAAGGGTGCAATTTTCCTGCTATTATGTGATTTTGAAGTTAAATTACAGCGATGGGATTAATCACGAGTTTAACCTAATGTTTGTCAAATTGTGTGGAAGTTTACACCATTTTTTGCGATTTCTTATTTTCGCGAAGGTAATTCTGTTGTTTTGTTCGGTTATTGTATTTATAGTTTTCCGTTATATTTTTTTGAATTTAATATGGCGAGTGGTCGGAAAATTAGCGATATTACAACAAAGAATCGTGCGATGACACCGTTTTTTGCATGGATTCGTGATAAACTTCTCGCTGTTGATCGTCAGAATATAACGCCTCCTCCCGGTTTGCCGACTCCCAATGGAAAAGTAAATTTGTTATACGTTTTATTAATTGCTAATTTTTTGCTTGAAAAAAAATTCTGAGGTAATAATGCGTGTCTAGGTTCTTTATATTTTTCCAAAAGCATTTTAGATTTTGTTTAATAAATTTACTCCATTTTAAAATCAGTGGAATAGTGATTGGTGCTAAAGTTAGGTTCTTTCATTAATTGTTGATGGCTCGTTGGGATTATTGCTTTCATTTTTCCTAATTTTTCGAAAATTTCCACCATGCTGGCTACTCACCTGTAATTCGATCGTAAAATGTCTTATCTTCCTGGCAAAATCTGGTTTGGTAAGATACCGAACCTAATCAGGACTCTCTTAGAAAAAAAAACGTTTTGCATATAATCATTTGCTGGATAGAAATACTGCCCAATTTCTTGCATAATGATAGATGAAAGCCCAAAAGCCTCGGTCAAAATCTAGGCAATCGAGCACTTGTCAACTCTATCCTTTATTAAAATATGGATCAAACTACGGATATAGTTTTTTCACGCCTAAATATAGATTAAATACAGTTTTCGCTTAAATGTACCATTTTATATTAAAATATTGCCAAAATATTTCAATATTTTTCAGGCAAAGTTTTTAAATCCACTTCGATTTCCCAATACACAATCGGAGCGTGATCAACCGGATCCTTCATTGCCTGGAGGTGTGAATCACAAGCTTTTCAGCAATTATTATTTGGAACGTGATGCCAGACGAGAAGTGAAACCACCTAATCCGCTTTATGTTCATAGCAGCGCTGGAGCTTCCTTCACCAGTGTTAATGGTAGACCTTTAAAGTTAGTTAATTTCTTCTGCTTTTTTTTACATCGCATTTAATTAATTTGATTGCGATCTTTGAATAAATTTTATTTATTGGATACCAGCCAAGCAGGATGCAAACACCATGTGTTTGTATTAATAATAACAGCTAAAATAACAAATAATAACAAATAATAAGAATTAATGACCAAAAAAAATCAACAATTTAAAGATGAAATAAAGAAGAAATTGCAAAATAATATAATATAGTAATATAGCAATTCGAAATAACTATAATATTTACTATGATGGAAATCGAGATTTCATCCTTCTTGCATGATATGAACTTTTCATATAATATCATAAATGATAAATTCCTTTATTTATTCCTAATTGTAACGAAAAAAAAGAGTTCGTGTCGCGTTTAAACTTCAAGACGTTATCCCTTTCCATTGAAAAAGGTACCGTAATCGTAACTCGATCGTTGCCGTTTATCTCAAACTTGGATAATTAAACTTCCATTTAGATAACAATATAATTATTAAATAACGCTATATATTACATTACAATATAATCAATGACTTAAATAACCCATCAAACCAGAACAAATCGAGCAATAAACACTTTAACTATAGCCTCCTGCCGCCCACCTGCGATTACAAATAAAATAAATTGTGTCCCAAGAATGATACAATCGATACAAAATTGCGCCCGCATCAACGCTTTTGTTGATCTGCAATCGATTCTGCTCATTTTTGATCACTAATCTTCACTAATCTTTTTTTAAAGATAGCTAGGGATGGCGCTTAAGCTATATCGTTCGGTAGTTTATTCCAGTAATTAATAGTACGAATAAAGAAATTATGAATCCTTAGTTTAGTTTTACGTATAGATTTTAGTAATTTTGGCCTATTAATTCATGTTGGATTTAAATTTAGCCTAAAATTATATTTTGAACAATCTAATTTAACGTAGCCATACAGAATCTTATAAGTATAAATTAAAGTCTTCTTTAATATAGCGAACCGAGCTGACAGAGAATCCATGTTATATTGTAGAAGTTTTCTTTTATAATTAAAATTGCAGTGAGGAAAGAGGCATCGTATAAAATATTTTTGGAGTCCTTTAATTATTTTACTTGATTGATTTATAATATCTCGGGAAGTAACATGTAGTATTGTAGTCAAAAAATGGTCGAAGGAACGCTTTACATAAGAAAATTTCAGTTTTGTTCTTAAACGAACGAAAAATAAAATTTAGTATTTTTGAGGATTTCTTTACCATGGTTCTGAAGGTCGAAATCGAGATTTTCATCCATGATTATTCCAAGATCAAAAATATATGAGTCTCTACTGATTATATTACCATTAATAAAAAGATTAGGAAAATCGAAACCTTTAGAATTGATATGAAGAACGCTACATTTTTGAAAAGAAAGAGTAATTTGCCTATCATTTAGCCAGTTGGTTATTCTGTTAAGATCCTTCTACAGTGGAGATAGGCTATCTGTTCTACCATGAGAATAATAAATTTTACAATCATTAGCATAAAGATAAATAGAATTTAGTACCACATTGTTGAATCATTTATATATAATAGAAAAAGCAATGGCGCAATACAACTACCTTGGGGGACACCAAATTTAACAGGTGTTGTGTAAGAGAGAATGCTATTGACGCGTACAGCTTGGTGACGATCTTTTATATAATCTGACACACAGTTATAAAGGGCTCCTGTAATGCCATAAATATTAAGAGTGATCAATAATTTGCTATGGGAAAAAGCTTTAGCTAAATGTAGGTACACATCTCTTATACTGTTTTTCCATTGTCAATTGATTCTGACCAATCATTGGAAAAATTTGCCAATGATAAGAGGATATAAAATTATTGATATCAAGATAAGTAAGCAGTTTGTTGCAGATCAACGTTTGAAGTTTGACCAAGTTAGGCTAATAGGCCTACATTTAAAGGCCTGTAATTAGGAAGATCACAGGTGCTTCTTTTTTTATGAGTGGGAATTATATGAGACAATTTCCAGATTTTGGGATTAAGGCCAGATTTCATAATGTTTTTAAAAATTAAAAATAGGGGATTACTCAGTGAAATTGCATATTTTTTATAAATTATTTGTGGAATATTATCGGGACGAGCTTAAATGGACGGCTTAAATCTATTTATGGCATCATAAATATCCAGTAGTGTTATTTCAAACCCACTGAGAGAAGTGCAACAAATTCGATTTACGTTAAAACAAGAAGAATGAGTATCCTCAACAAGTATACTGGAATAATATTGATTAAATACACTTGCAATATCAATACCAGAGGTGATATTATCGTTATGTTGCAGAATTAATTGTTTATGTGGATTTTCTTTTGATGTAGGTCCAGAAAGAATTTTTATTAATATTTAAAAGTTGCTCTTATTTGAAAAGTAGTTATGAATGGCACTACGGAAACTTTTTTAAGCATTCTTTATATGCAGAGAGGCCACTTGGCACAAATTTGGTTAATTTGTATTTATTATAGACACTTTTTTAAAGAGATTTTTAAAAAAAAATGGGGATCGACTTAACGCTTTTTTTTCTTAAAGGGGTATATTGCTCTATAAGGTATAAAATGATGCTATTAAGGAAATTAACTTTTTCAACAGTAAAGGGACAGTAAAGGGAAAGGGAGCAGAATAAGAAATCTCAGTTTATTTCTGCGGGAATAGAATTTCATAATCATACTGACGGTAATTTCTCAAATATCTTGAGGGAGTAACGGTTTAATTTTAATTTTAATGAAGCATGAATGATATTGTGGTTACTATTGCAAAGAGATTCCAAGATTCTAATGCTAAGATTCTAAAGAGAAGTAGAAGTAGCTAACACAACATCTAAAATATTATTGTTATACCTAGTGGTAATTTTAACATGTTGCTCTAGGCCTATGTATGTACAAAGGTTTAGAAAATCCTCTTCAAATTTGCTGCTATTTTCCCATTCTACTATGTCTAGCATATTAAGATATCACCAACAATTACATAATCGGCACGAAATAATTTTAATCTTAACTCATCAGTACTGTCTCATCATTTTTTATTCCTTTTTTTCGTAATATTCATCAATAGTTTGCAATATTTGTTCAGTTTGATTTCAGTGAGATTTTTGGAGGCTCAAAGTTGCCATCCAAAGACGAGGCTTTCAAATTATTTATATTATTCTTATCTTTTTTCGTTGACCTTTGTAAGTATTTCAATGAATGCAGAATTAGATCTTTTGCTTTTCATATTTCTTAATAAAGGAAGATAGTTGTAATCTTAGATTCTTTATAGTTATTTCATATTTCTTAATAAAGGAAGATAGTTGTAATCTTAGATTCTTTATAGTTATATTTAAGTAGCTCATATCATTATTGGAAATAACCCCATTTGCTAATTTTTTCGGTGCCATTTGGAATTTCCACTTATCCTACAAGTACACGGTATGAAATAATAAGATCATCTAAGATCAATATACTTTTGAAGAGAATATCTTTCACACGAATGCAATAAGAATGATGTATTCCTTCTATAATTTTAGCGAAGCATAATACAAAGTAATGAATATTACAGAGAAAATGACCAACACAATTGCTTACAAATATCTTTTATAGCAAATATATCTTTTTAGGTTCTTACCAGTTCATGCTGAATTTTATTATTGAATTTCCGATTTTAAAATTTCAGTAAATTAAACGCTGAATTTTTTTGCAAATAATGGTGTTTGTCTGTTGTGGCTCAGCAATTTTTTCTCAAAGAACATTCAGAAATTTGAGAAATTTGAGAAATTTTTCATTAAAATGTGATAAATATTGTTTGAAATTTGTCAAATATTCGAATATTGTTTCTAGACCTAATGCAAATGCAGTGCAAATAAATAAAAGGCCAAACGAAAATTTTGGATTAGATGCACCAACTCCTGGAATGGGAATCAAATGGATGAGACGTAAATCGGAAGAATTTGAAACGCAGCAACGGTCTCCAGATTTAGCTCTACTTGAGCGATATGACCGTTTTTATAGTTCTAAATAAACCCCAATTTATTCATATTAGAGAAAGTAAAAATTTGTGTAAAACCAGCTGAATATTCTCTCCTATTTTAATCTCTTTTTAAATCTATTTTCCTTAGAAGATAATTGATTTCCATAGCTACACTGATTAAAGCGATTAATTTGGTACGTGACCTTTAACTTCCTGTGGTTTATTTTTTGGTGTTCAAGATTTATTTAAAGTCAAGTTTAAAAAAATTCTAACCTTTAATCTAACATTATTGGTTAAATTTTCATTTAAATCTTTTTTCGTATTTTAGAGTTTTCATATATTTCTAATTTGATAAAAGTTTTATAATATTTCATTTGATTGATTTTTAACGTTTTGTCATTACAGTACCGATTTATGTAAAGAAATTTGAAGTTTTTCAAAAATGCTTTATCAGTTATTAAAATATATTCTATTGGCATTAGAATGCTGGTAGGATTTGGGGTCGAATTTTAAAAATAAAAATTATTCCGAAATATAGATCGAATTTTTTTAATTTAATTAAGAATTAAGAAATTTTTAATTAAGAAATAAAATTTTTTAATTAAGAAATTTCGGAAGAATTACCAATTTATATTTTCCTGAGATCAATTTACGAAAATATGTACTTCTATAAAATCCAGGGATTCATATTTATTCCTAAAATTTTTTCTAAATGTTATATGAGTGTTTATTTAGTAATCTGAGGCAAAATTTTGGTTGTTTTTGCTAAAAAGTCCATTTCATATTATTTTTGTGAGCAGTGAATCGGTTGTTGTTTGTTATGCGAACGACTGTGGTGAGACTCGGCAAGCATTTTGGTGGATTGGGCAAGGTTTATTTTTGATTCATTTGATTTTTTTGTGAAAAATTTATTTTCTAGGTTTAAATTGTTACGAAACAAGTTCGCTTTTTAATTCATTTTTTTATTTAAAAGTTATCAAGCAGAGAATAAAGCATGACTTTGTTATTTTTATGCATATGAGATGAATTTATTCTTCCTAAATAATGGGTCATCTTTTATATTTGGCTTCTGTCTTCTTTATGTATTCTGGCTTCTTATGTCTTCTTTGTCTTCTTTGCCTCTTTTATATCTGGTGTACATATGTGTACATCAATGAAGAATTCATAAATATGAAATGATTATAAATAAATTTTATGCTTTAAGATGTACGGTGAGTACCGATTTGCATTGGCTCCGAACGAACAAAGTGCTTTCAAAGGATTTTTCCATGAAGCTTTTGTAAAGATGAGTTTTAAAAATCATTCGTTATATAGAATTTTAATTTATATTTATTTATGAATTTTAATTTATATTTATTTATGAATTTTAATTTAGATTTCTATAGAAATAGAATTTTTTGTTTGCTTTTTGACAAATGGTGAATTTCGCTAAAACTGTTTGGTACTATTCTGGTTTTTTAACACCTTTAACTGCGGATAATATTGTGTTCTTCATTTTGACCAAAATAATTTTAGCAAACGTTCTTTCTTTCCATCTATTTTATTTTAATAGATTTTAGGTCTTCAACGAACGCATACGTTACAAGTGGTATTTTTATGTTCCTCCAGCTATTATTAATTATGGAGTTTATTATTATGCAAAAAAAGAAAACAAAGCGTTTAATTCAAAAAATCCAGCTGACTTCGAAAATGATGAATAATTTTTTATTTTTTTGTAATTTTTTTTATTATATTTTCAGCTAAAAATTTATTGGCGCTTTTCAGTGTAGTAAGGCGAGTTTAATTTTTTGTAACTGATTTGAATTTATTTTATCAAATATCTAATTTTGCCTTATTTACTTTTAGTTTTCGATAATCTAAAATATTGGGAAATTATGATAATAATTAAAAATAAATAAAATAAAATTTTAAAAATAAAATTTCCTTACAAAAATTTTCGAATTCTTATAAGTAAACATTTAATATTATAATGTCGGAATTTTTTGCATCTTATTTCGTAGCAGTATCTTTTGCGTTACAACATCTCGTATAATAAAAGTGAAATGTCGTTAAAATTTAATTTAACTTTTAAATTCTTTCATGGTTTTTATGTTCCTTGAAATTATTAAAATTTAGACTAACTATGCGAATTAATTGAATTACTTTCGAATTTCGATAAAAAACATTTCACTAATTATCGAAAATAGCTTATTCAATCGTGTTAGAACAACGTGAATCGAGTCGGCACGAAAACTCGTTTCGATTAAAGGGTGATTTTTATAGGATTAAAATTTTCCTTCTATATTTATATGTCGTCCGAATAGTTTCCTTGGTTTTATATTCATTCAATAGTTTTGCGGTTTTCTTGGAGTAAATCGATTAGCGTTTGATAGAAACAATCAAGAAGTCTGAAGTGAATTCTACTCTATATGTTTAATTTTATTAAAATGATAAATTTTTGGTTTCTGTATAACTATTTATGCATTGTGAAGAAGATTTATTTAAAGTTTGAATTGACTGATATGTTTAGGAAAGATTTGTGCACATTTATGGTCCTACAATATATAGGCCTAGATGGTGGAAAAGGGGACGTTGCTTTAAGGTACTTTACTTTAAGACTTGGTATTCGGTCAGAGGCTTGAGGCTCCTTGCAAGCAGCCCAAACAATAATGGTTGGTGGTATACGCCAAAAAAAAAGCTACTCACTGAATACGATACAAATCAACTGTAAATCACATGAATGAGATAAAAGCATGAAAATGACGACTTTAAGTAACTTATTGGTTATCACCACGATTGACACCCTTTTCAGAAGTTCACTGTCCTCAATGTTTATTGAATTTGTCTAAATGATATGGCGGTCCGAAATTTCTGTGGCGACTGGTATTGACATGAATTTGAGAGTCGGGGTTTTTTTCGCTTGACTTGGATCTTTTATATTCTTAATCTAATTGACTAACATGAATTTAACAATGGGCGAAGATTAACCGATATAGAACTGGTTTCACTATTCATTAGTTACTAAAAGTATCCAATTAATAATGTAGTGTTCTAATTTTTTAATTTTCCATATTTAATGCTTCGTATGCAATTTGAAAAAATGCTATCAGAACGACACAAATAAAAGAAAAAGAAAAAGTAAAGTGGTATGCTTGACCAAGGTCAAGCGTATTGCTTTCGATTTCTGGCTTCTGGAAATATAAACCTATCAGTAAACTAGACATGATGAACAATTCCTATTGGTACTCTGAGAAACTCTACTGAAGGGTCCTAATAGTAAATACAGGAGGCAGCCAAACCAGAAATGATAGATACTGCTATAAAAAGTAGTATAGTTTAGAAGGATCAATTCGGTCTTTTCATAATCATTATCAATTTATCACTTTGTTGTTCTTGGAGATATTATAGAAATAATAAATGGACTATAATAGTTAAAATTTCACAAAAATGGCATTGATACTTTTTAAAAGCTGATTCTCGTGTTTTGCTGGTTTTTTATAGTATTTATAGTATATAGTATCTAATCAGTATCAGTATAATACAGAGAGATATTATCTGATTAATTAGATGTGGAATAAGAAAGGTATTTGTTAACATTTTGCTGACAAAAGAATTAGGAATACACGAGAAGGATTGAAATGAAAAAAATTCGTTGAAGGTTATTCTACGTTTTCGTTGCCTGTGTGTTAAAGTTATGTATAAAGTTAAGTTATTAAAAGTAAGATGGACAGAAGAATAGATTTTTAACATGATTGTTGAATTTTTCATCTTTGTCATTCAAGTTGAGTAATTTGATCACAGCTTCCGATGCGTCAAAACAATACGTTTTACTAGAATAAAGCTAATTTAATAAAAATATCTCAGTGACTTGAGGCAGGATAACCAGGTTGTTACAGATTGTCGCATGCAACATTACATTTTGGACCCAGCATCCGGCACGAGTAAACCCTTCATTTAAAATAATACTGGAGGCGAGCCCCGTCCTAGAAATTCTGTCAGTGATTTCTCATCAGAAGAATAAGCCTAATTAGGAATGGTAATGGTAACTAACCCTAAAAATTTTTCGAGATGGTGATTTTTTATGATCGTTTTAGTTTGCCTTTGCCAATTTAATTTAATTTAATCTACGAAACTATTTGGTATAATTTAACATCTCTTCATCGTATCTGATTTTTGCTAGATTCACTTCATTGATTGTCGCCCGATTTCTTCAGTATTCCTGATTTTTCATATTTCGTTTTCGATACGATAAATTCTCATTGTACCCTTTCTCGTTTATCGTACTGGCGAGTATATATATATATATATATATATATAGCACTCCTTATTTCTATGAATCGTATTCTAAAAATTTTCTAATTAATATTTGCATTAAATGGTCCTTCACGTATCTCCAACCGATCGTTTTTTTAAAAAAAAACTATTAAACTATTAAACGACATTCTTGCCAAAATCATGGATTTTTCGATTTCATATTCTTTTTTCTCCTTCTAATAGCTCGTATCATTACTAATTAGTTTGGTTCCGCTAACCATAATGGTGTGGAATTCCAAGCTTGGGTTCAATGCCATATCTGAAGTTGGTAAAAGCTATTCCTCCCACTGTGTAAAAATATATTCACAATATATATTTACATATATACGTTCAAAATCTAAATAAGTCCAGATCTTGATCGATCTTCATTATTTTCGATTGCATTCATCAGAAGGTTAATCAGTAGCGAGATATGCGTTAATTCCTGTGGGCGGATGGGAAGAAAATCGCTTAGTCTTAATCCCATCGAAGGGCGACAGGGCGACACTCAGTGACAATATTATTAACACAGATAGTATTTAAGGAAGATGCTTGGCACTTTGTGAGGCTTTTTCCATTTAGCGGATAAGTTGGATATGCCTTAGGCAAAAGTGATTAAAGATAGATGGCATCCTTCTGATATTCTCCACTTTTACTGATCATGTTTCGCAATCGCAATTCGCAATGCCGGCTTGCTCAATGGTTAGTAGTTTAGATATAGTTTAAAAGTCGGTGGTCAGTGGTTCTGCCTCTAGTAAACATGTCATTAAAGAATGCTGATTGCACGAACGACCCACCTGTATTTCTATCGCCGTGAATTTTTTACAAAAACCGTCCTAACAGCGAAGCGAGCTCAACCAGAAATGAGCGCTAACCATTTACATTACCATTTCATATCCTTCTAAAATAATTTAATCTGCGTCAAGCGATGTCCAAAACATGAAACTATTGCTGCGTATTTTTACTTAGCTGTATCATCGCTTCGAAGAGCTGTTTTTTATTGTACGTTATTTTATTATTGTTTTATCTAATATTAAATTGTTTGTTACATTTTATTTCTGTTTTTTCTCTTCTAAGCATATTATTGGCCGGGTTGGCATCGATGGTTACAAGGGGAGGCTTCCAAACCGCTCTATCTAATGCCATATTTCCACTCCTTTTTCCATCGTGTAAGCCTCTATATTATTGAGCTGCCTCTATATTTACCCGCTAGTCCTGATTGGTCATCCTCGCTCGCTTTTGTCACTATCAAACAGAGCACTGGTACTAGTGAGTAGAGAGATCGAGTTCTTGCGATGGACGGCGAAGAAGATGGCCTAACCAGAGTAGGTGATGATCTATGACGATTTTATGCAGACTGTAAGGTCGATGTGATATGATTTTATTGACAATCGGCTTTATCGGCTTAAAACGCACCTAGGACTTATAACTGGTTGAAAGTAAATAGCTTCTCAATATCTTCCATTTTTATTGGCTGTATAATAAGATGATGTGCAACCAGATAAATGCGAACTTTCCTTTTAATGGTGATTTCACAGAAATTCCTTAGCCGAACAGAGAAAGGCATACATTCCTAGCTGCGATTGTATTATCATCTTCTCTTTTCATTTTCTGCTTACCATTTGGTACGAGAGAACAGTATTTGATAAGATATTCAAGGCTGTCGATCAATTCCAATACCAGCCTAACACTATCTCAGTGAATTGATAAAAATAGGTGATTTGTATATATATAATATATAATATATATATTATATATTATATATAGAACTCGCAAGAACTCGACCTCTCGATCACTAGGTTATTATAATAGGTGATTATACATATATTAAGCATATGTATATATATATATATATATATATAATATGAAAAAACTTTCTTATTTACTTTTCTCTTGAGCCTGATTTTCGCTCCAATTTTCAACTATTTTATCTCCTGCACTTTTTCATGACAGCAAAAAGGACTACATCATCAGAACATTCAAAATTTGTATAGTACTTTTAGTTATTTAGTTAATTTGTAGATAGCTACTTTTACTCTGGACTGACTTGCATATATCTTGAATAAGCCGGCAAGCCGTGCCCATGTTTATTCTATCGCATAGTTTTATACTGTAGTGGAAAGAACGCAGCCCTGACAGAAAGCAGTTCTTATTTCGAAAGTATCTGGTCAATTTCCCAAACACATAAATTTCTGTCGACGTACACTGGTAAAGTGTTCTTCTCTGGAACTCTCCAATACTCTCTAGAATGCCGTTATCAGTTCAATTGAAAGTAATGGGAAAAAAGAGAGCATAGGCTGTCCATGTCTAATGCAATGTTCTTAAAGAGTTTTTTTTAGTGTGAATAGTCAGCACATCTAAGTCCATTTTGATAGGGCGCATCTTGCTGCTTTGTCATCTATCAGTCGAAGGGAGATGAAAATTTCCCCCAAAAACATATAGAAGGCTCTTCGATAGTTGTTACTATATATTTTATCACATTTCTTGAGGATTACGAGCAGAATTACTTTACTCCAGTCATTTGTTATTAATTCTTTCTTGTGTAGCTGAGAGTACATTCGTTCAAGTTGTGAAAAACGTTGGATAGCACTTGAAAATTCTGTCGACGATTCTCTTCTCGTTTTCTATTGTCAGTCTTAAATTTCTGAGCGACAGAGATTAATTCTTTCTCTGTTGGTGGCTCACATTTGGAGGCTCGATAATCGTTTCAGCTATATCTGACGCGACAGATGACAGATGATTAAGTTTACTTTCAAAGAATTCCATAGTCTTTAAGAGCTTTAACAGGCGCCCTATGTTTGTTTTGCTAACCATTTCCCAAGTGGTGATCTTATGAAGAAAGCGAAACATTTTATTGTCGGCCTGAGTAGCCATCTTCATATCAAGGACTATATACTTCAATAACGGTTTTTGTCTCTCTATTGCTCCTCAGAAACCTCCAATCGCTAAGATTTAAAAATGTTCTGGTAATATTATCAGGCAATTGGACCGTTGATTCTGACGTCAATATCATATTTTACCTTCGTATTTCGATATATCTTATTTTTCAAAATTTTCTAATTTTTAAAATTACACTGTTTAATTTTCATTTTAATTACAATAATTTAACTTCTATTTAAAACGATAGCTGTAAGCATTTTCGCGATTTCCAGTGAAGTCGAAATTGATAGAAAATATATAAATATGAAAATGGCCCATCATAAATTATCAATTTTTTTACAAATTTCTGATAGTAAATTGAAAATTATTTTTTGGAATGAATTATAATCGAATGATTCTGTGACTGTTGTTCTCTGCATTCCTCTTATGAACCTTTGACCTTTGAAGCTAAAGGATTTCCAAAAATGTGGAGGATGCTGATCAGATTGCGAATAAGGCCGTATTTATTAATATTTATTAATTGCATAGCAGTTTGTGGCGCTCAATCTCCTCTATATCGTGCTTGGGAAGATACATTTCCAGGCCAAGTTCCTTTTTGGGAAAAATATAATACAGGCCCTTATGGAGTGGTCATTCGAGGTTGGCAATTCAGTCGTTGTGCAAGCGAACAAGTATGACTTACAAATTAAAAATTTTATTTTTTTGTATTGTTTAGTATAACTAGATTGTGCTTGTAGATGCTAGTAGGGTAAATATTTTTTTATTTTTATGATAATTATTTTCAAGTCACTTTCCATTCTACGGGAATACAATTCATTTGTGCTAAAAGCACTAATTCAATTGTTTAATTGGTTAAATTATTTTAGTGGACAGATTATATTGTGAATGTGTCAAAAATTGTTATTTGGCCTCATTTTCCACGTTTTCCTGGCCCAGTTTATTTTAATGTTACAATGGATGTCAATGAAGAACTCTCGTTCGACACAATCGAACTTGACCTTGAGGTTGTAAATCGTTTCATAAACTTGGTGAAATGAACCTTTTTTACTCATGAAATTCATGTTATATTCTGGAAGCTAATTACTTATCATTTATTGATTATTAACTATTCATAATTACTTTACCGTTTTTATTATAGGTTCGTCATGCAGTGACAAATAAGCAAGGATCGAAGGGTTGGCAGGTGATTCCTTGTCAAGGTTGGAATATACTCGATGGTTGTGATGGAGTTGGATCATGGTATTCATTTTATATTCAAATGAGCCATTTGATTAGTGAGTCTTCTATTATAGAAAAAATTGAAACTCGGATAAAGATTATTTTCTTTATTTTTTCTTCCTTGAATATATCTGAAAATATTAATGGAGATGGCATTTCGATTAAATCTTATCAGAAGTATTTACGAATTAATTACGACCACTAATCAACGTCCACTAATTTCTAAAATTCGATATATATGAGAACAAAATGGCTCAACGGATCATTGCCCAATTCGAAAATTCTACCGATGCTGAGTTTCTACTCCCCGGAGGAGTAAACATGTTCAAAAATCCGGATGATGCGGATAGTATTATTACTTTTATCGCTAAGGGACTCCCTTAAAGAAGTGCAGATGAGTATAACCAGCAGTGGTGAGGGTACCTAAAAATATATATATTATATATAGTTTATTATATATAGTTTACATTATATAGCCGATATTATTCTCGATATTATTCTTTTGTTGAGGCAGAATGGCCAATTGGTTGCTGCTCCGATTATTGCATTATATTAAAGGTTGACCCACTCCGAGCAAGAGTAAGGAGGAGTAAACTTGTCATTCAAAAATCCGACAATGATGGAGGCCTACCTCTACTTTTATATCAATTGGCTCTGTAACTTCTCGCAGGGCTGACAATAAACGCAGAAAATCAAGGATTAATCAAGAAAATCAAATGTTATGGAGATAAAATGATAAATAATCGCATTTTTAAAGGGAAAGAAGGGAAAGCAAAAGGGAATGACTGTAAAAATTGCACTTAAAATAAAACTTCTGAACTTGTTATCGCTTCAAGGTCAAAACAGATCATTGGTAAAATGAAATTTTCGGAGGAATGCATATAATTTTGATCTGCGCTAGTTACCACAAGTTTAATCAGCTACCCCAATCATCAGGCCACTCCAACCTACAGATAGCCAAAGCAACGTATCGTAGGTACAATTTAGTGGCGTGAACCGAAGTTTTGAATGAATTGAATGAAGTCAAACGACGATCCAATCAAAAGTCTTCATCATCATTGACCAAGACATGATAGTGGAAAATAATGAAAACCTAAACCCAACTGAACCACGATTTTTCAAATGAAAAAATTCTGTACATTGAATATTGAATATTGAACACATTGAATATATATATATATATTTCTTATAAAAAACTCTATCCCAGAGTATAACCAGGCACATAGACTTCAAGGATAGCAGCAAAAGTTGTTTATGTTGATTACTAAAACGCAAAATAGTAAACCTTCTTATAGCAGAAGCGTCATAAAATGTCGTTTATTGATGCTGGTGGTTTCCTATATAAAGTAACATTCGTAATGGATATTTATGTAAATACCGTCGTCTCAAACGGATCCGTGTCGTGGGAAAATTAATTATCCGGAATTAACGAATTTGGAGAAGAAATCTTCAAATAGTGAATTTTCCTGATTTATATAAAAGCGGTGACCACAGCATGGATCAGTTTTGTGTCCAATAGGACAAAAACTATCCACTATTCCATTGAACAAAGCGAAAATATCGTCGCAAGGTGAAATTATCATTGGTTTTTGCTTATATGATGGTAAATTTCAAAGAACATATGGCAATAATAATTCATGATAAGAAACAACATCGATGATCCATTTGCAAAATAAATTTATTATTTTAAATGCTAACTTTAAAAATGACTTTAATGTTGACTTTAAATCTTTAAATTTAAATCGTTTGTTGGTAGTAGGCAGTATTGACGACATAGATAGCATCAGTGCTCTCTTCAAATTATCAAAGTCTTCGCTCTTACTGTGGGTATTGTGGAGAAATATCTTGCTTCTGCGACTTGGCCGAATAATAAGGAAAAACATGCATATACTTAGCTTCGATTATAAACGTATCGCCTATTTTAAACAGCTCAGCTGGAGTATATCACAATATGATTAATGATTAATTCGTTAACAGAATAATAATCGTTATTCCTCATATTACAAATTTGTTGCAAACAAATTCATTGATTGTAAATATATCAACCACTGAAATATTTTCTCAGTGCATCATGGAAATTAAAACAATCATTTTGGCGGTTATTTTTCCTTAATTGGAAATAATTAAGTTTATCTATTAGGCTTTACTGGTTCACACTATTTCCTAATTTCGAGTTGGACAAATTGCAACGATTATAAATACGAATTTTAATGTAGCTTTCAATGTAAATCTGAATAACAGTCTGTAAATGAATTCTGCATAAGCGTAGCTTTGACAAAGTCAGCAATTACTGATTTCCTGTTTTTCGACATGCAAACGAATGTTTATTTTTTACTTTACTAACCATAAATAAATTGTTTCGTTTATGAAATGAGGAAATGGAATCATAATGAAATTGTTATTGGTGCATCTATGTGTCTGCGCATCGCAGCGTATTGCTATTTTGATCATTTTCAGTGATCTTATCTCAATCACAGTATTTAATAAAGTTTTTCTATCGTTTTTTTTAATGGAAACTAACTTATTTTCTGAACTCGAATCGCGAATTTCACTTCTATTGTCGGATTCGATGCACGCATAATTTTTTAAATTTAATATTGTGTTTTTCAAATAGGTAAGAAATTCAAATGAAATAAAGAAGAAAAGCAGCAGAAGCACAAAATGGTGCAAGTATTCTAAAAATTAAAGTTAATGCATTGAGCTATTCGCTAATCTGAAGATTTTTAGTCGATACTGCGACATGTTGGAAAAATGTCGAGAAACAGTTAAAGCTGCTGATAAATATATAACTGATCAACGGGCGCATAACTTTATTAGAGAAAACAGATTGTGCCCACCTCCAAAGGGCCATTGGACCATGACCTTTAGCAAATTATTCACTACTGAAGATTTGCCAAAAAGCTTTTTTGGACCACTACAATCTGTAAGATTTCGGAAAAAATTATTTGTCGTTGCTACTTTACAATTTTATTATCTTCGAATTTTTTATCGTCTTTTCGACAGTTTCATCAAAGATTTGTAAATTTTGGTAATAAGTAATGGGAGGACACATATACATATTTTCAGAACGAGTACTGGTTGACATTCTCATTTACCGACGGGAAAGACAAAAAGATTGCTTGCGCGAGGATCTGGATTGATGTCTGTAAATACCATTTACAGGTCCTTTCTTTAGATTTTTCAAATCAACATAAATTTTCAAAATTTAAAAAAGAGAAAAAGAGAAAAAAGAGAAAAGAGAAAAATATAAATATAATGGTATTTTTTTATGGTCGCCCACAATTCAATGCCATATTTCATAAAGCAGTAATGAAAAGTTATTATCATATCACTATAATTTGGAGTTTGCTGTCATTTTATCCACAATTAGAGATTTAATTTCAGGATAAGCAACAAAAATGCTTAAGAGATCCTAATGCTTTCAAAAATTTCATTAATGAAATTAGCAGTCAAGCAGAACAATTAAGAAGTCGTGGTTAAAAAAATAAATACAATGTTGCACAAAAATTTCCTATATGTTCTTATTTTTTTGTGTTCTTGACAAAATTTTGTGCGCTTTAAACTCGCGAAATCTTCCTAAATTTCAAAATCTTTGAATAAATTACCTTTATATAAAAAGATTTTTAAAAAAAGTTGGATTAATTTCAAATAAAAAATGGCAACCGCTGAAAATCCATCATCCGTACCTCTATCGTAACTCTAACTCTACGACAAAAAAATCAACATACTGACCAGCGATGTGAGTCCAACCAGAAATGGTGAATATTAACCACTCATTTTTTCGTAAATGATACCTTTGATGCGTATGTATCATAACAAAATATTTGATTACAATAGAACTCAAGTCGCTTATTTATTACTTTTTTTGCAAACGCATGATGATAAAAGATTATCCAAAACGCTTATAAGAACACATATAAATATGACGAAATGAATAATTTTAAATAATTTAAAAAATTCCACGCATATATCAGTTTTATATGTGAACAAAAAATATTTTGTGATACTATGGTTGAAGATTAGTAGAAGATGAGAGAGGAAACCGGATAGAAGCCAGCATCGATGGAACGATAAGAGCGAACGAACGATTTAATAAAGCAAATCATTAAGTAACAGTAAGGTGGTGGGAAATGCTTAGACTCGCTTCGCTGATTGTAAATATGGGTAAGGAATTCTTGGGGACTCATCTGACGGTAAAATTATACTTGAGTCAACAGTAAGATTTTTTACTTATGTGATTTTGTAATCTTTTCATTCGGTTACCTGGCCTCCTTACAATTCTTGTAACAGAGTTTCTTTCTTTTAAATTTTCCACAAATTTTTTTTCAGGTTGTATCATAAAATATTAATTATACTAGAAATTTTGAATCGCCAATTCAATTATTCCAATCCTTTTTTCTAATTTTTTGCGCACAACTGAAATTCATTTTCGATACCGAATTGAGCCAGCGCTTTAAGAAGGGAAAAGATATTTTAAATGTGATCAAAAATCGTAACGAATTCGGATTTTTATTAAGATTTTTGCATTTTTTATGAAATATTCTCTTCATCAGTTCTTTCGTAAATTAGGCTTTCTATTGCATCAAGAGTATCATCTTCATCTGATCGTTCCTTAATTTTATCAATTTATTCAGTTTGCAATTTATAGGTATTTATGAAATCTCTTCGATATTATTTTTCCTTTATATCCTCTTAGGATCATCATCTACTTAAAAAAAAATAAAAATAAAAATAGCCAACAGATGGATAAACTGATAGATTTACATGTGGCCTCGTTCTTTGTTTTTTTCCTTATTAAAGGGGCAGTCGAACAATTTCCAATGGTGATAAAGATGAAGAATTGGCAAAAATATTATTATTTTGAAACTGATTAGCCCAGTGGATAATGATTCGGACCATTGTGCTGAGAAATCTGGATGGGAATTAACCTTCCTCAAAAAAATGTAGATAGGGCTGGCTATGAACCTATATTTCTGTCTCTTGGAAATAATTTCTAATCATATTAATAGTGGAGTTTTCCTAACGAAGTGAATGTAATCAGAAATGGTGAGCGCTCATAGAAAAAAAAATTAACTATTTAATTACATGTTAACATGTAATCCACTAAGAGCAACCAATCTTTAATTCCTTTTTAGAAGTACTTTTACGAAATCTTTTATGAGACGAATTTTTATTTATTAAAAAAAATGGCAACTGCCTGGTAAAATCCTTCTTTTATTTTTTCTCTTCTTTCTTTATTTAGTTGTGTTCCATGTTTTTCTATATACAAATCCACTGTATTCGTAATAATTTTTTCCGAAGGGTGAATGCTTTTTCTGCTTATCCTTTGCTTCATTTTTTCATTCCTTTCAGATTTCTAAATAACTTTATTTATTATTTTGAACTTGTTTTTCTTCAACTTTTTATTTATAATTTATGAAAATTTTCATTTCTTTCAATTCTATCACTGTTCGTCACCTTCTTCAAATGAAACTTTTTGAATTTAGAGGCGATAGGATGAAATCCCTTCGTCGGATCAGTAGAACCACTTGAAGTAGAAAAATAAGTGAGGCTTTAGCATTTCACTTTTATTTAGTTCTGTCGAGGAATAAGAATGAAGCCTAAGTTGGCTTGATTTTAGTGGAAGTAAATCTCGTTTTTAATTTGTTTTTTTGTTGACAAAGTTCCAAAATAAGAAAAACTTGATCACAATAATTATTCGTGAAGATTTATTTTAAATCATGCAATTTGAACTGCAAGTTTCACCTTAAGATCGCGCCATTTCTTTCTTTCATTGGCTTTGAAACATTGTCCAACTACAGACACAGGTATAAAGACATTTAGGACGACAACTGCGTACTGGAATGAGAATCAATGGTATGAATCAGAAGTAGAATTCAAAGAAGGAACAGAAAAATCCGAAATATTTGTGAAGAATCGATAGTAATTTATAAAAATAATAATGGTGAAATTTAAAACGGAATTCTTACCATTAAAAAAGTTGCATGAATATAAAAAAATTGTTTGATGTCTATAGTATATGTATGTATGTGGATCATCAAAAATACCGGTCAGCTACAAGTTCAAAATCACGGAAACGAAAACAACGTGATTTTATCGCTTCGATTTATATTATTCGATAATTATAATAATATTTATCTTTTGAATATATCTAATATACAATATATTTGTCGCGTAAAATTCTATTGTTTCCTTATTTAAATTCGTTAATCATGGTATTATCTATTTAATTTCTTTTTAATAGATACGTAAGAAAATTTTGTTCTCTAAGGATAATGGAAATTTAGTGTATGCGAAGTATGGAAATTAAAATAAATTTACGTGAATCGAGGATCAAACCGACCGATTTTGAATAAAACAGAATAAATGAATTGATTGGAATATAATAAATTTCAGTTTAAGCAAAAACCGTTGACAAGAAAATTTACGCAATTAAATATTTGTAGACTATTGCAGTTTTTTGTATTTTCCATATTTTCTTGAATTTCCTTCTTTTTCTTTTTCTTCTAATAGCATTCATCGTTTCTGGTTTCTGGCTTTATCACCTAATGAGAAATCACCAAGTACCCATCGCCAGACAGTCAACTGAGGATTGAAATACAAGCGGATCTTGGGGTGCATTTGGATTTCATTTTTAATGATAGGATTAATCTTGTCAAGATTTGACCTTGCAGCTTCCTTTTAATCCTTAATAGTTCATAGCGATAATTTTTTCAAATTCGAAAATTATTGTAAAATTATTGTATTATGAAAGAGGACAAAATTTTCTGGAAAGACAAATCCATTTGAAAAAACCATTTAAGATTCGTAATTAATAGCAACAATTTATATATTTCCACAATTGTCGAATGGTTCACCGCTATTTCTGAGCCATCATTTCTAGTTGACATTAGTACAATTAGAAACTTTTGTCAGACGATAGAATTACAGGTAGATTGTCTGCACCACTTGGGCTATTAGAAGTTAGCTCGTTTAAAAGCATAAAATTTGATATAAATTAGAGAGGATAAAAAAGATTACATTGAATGGGATTAAAATTCGCAAAAATTGACCGAATCTTGAGGATATAGTGGAAAATTTCATTTCTCAAAAATATTTTTTCAAAATTTCTTTTATATTTATTAAATTGTTTTCAAATCATATTTTTTCTTTTTTGCCATTAGAATCCATTTGAATTTTTCAAAATGGGTTGGAAACCATTTATATATTTGAGGGATTTACCGGAAATACTGGAAACATTGTTGCTTTGACAGAAGTTTCTTTTCGATTCTTGTCCTTTGACGATAGCTATGCCATTATAATTAAAATTTGATGATATCTGGTGATATTGAGGATTAACTTGTTGTTCTACCCATAATTGACTCTCTGGCAAAGGAGTCTCGTAGTTAGTAAAATCAACCAAAGCACAAATGGTGTAGGTGATGATAATGAATATTTGAAAATATAAGGGAAATAAGACTTTGACAAAATAATCAGAATTTAAAGAAATTTGTCAAATTTTTATAAAAAATATGTGCATATTTGTAAATAAATGAATCAAATTGAATCATTTAAAAAAGCAAAGATGAATTAAAAACGATTTATTCATTTTTTGTAAAAATAAACAAAACTAATTAATGAAAACGTAAAATATTTCATATTTATCTCATAAATTCATTAAGAATTTGCGATAAATAATTGTTAAATTCAGTAAAAAAAAATGGATAAATATAACTATTATTGTAAAAAACGGTTTATCGATACGCTCGGGCGAGAAATTTGTCAAACAAACAAGACGAGCTCCATTTTTCTTTTAAGTGTCATCTAATATTTAGCGAAAGTCAGCGATGATGGCGAAGAATATTTGTTTGATGCGCGATCGACAACACTTCTCTATTGTTTTTACAATAACAATAACTTTTGATATTAAAATGATTTTACGATGAAATCAGTCTTCTTCAAATTTTTGGCACAAAAAAGATAATTTATACGCATGCATCCTTGGTCGCATTTTTCATGAGGAATTTATTTAAATTTTTTGAACAATTTAAGGAGAAAGACCATTTTTACTCCCATAATCAATTGGTCGAATACTGAACATTGGTCAAATGCGATCATCCGTCTTATTGCTATTATTTATCATTTTTACAATAAAATTTCTGCTAACGTTATCATAAGCTAGCATGAAAAATACCTGGGTTCATATACAATACTTTATTTTTATTGTTTTATTTCTGATAACTTCAATTTCTTTCAGCACGCCAATATGTATAGTTAACTTACTTAACTTGTCTGATTCTTTCCAGCACAAACATTTGGTATTCCTTGACATGGTCTTAATTGTTGCTTCCAACCTATATGTATGAAACGCATCGATGTGCCTAATCTTTTTATTTATCGTTTTTAAATAACAAGTGACAAGTAAACAACATTTTGATTGAGTTTATTTAGTTTTTTACTCGGTTAAAATCTATAATGAATGAGCTCTAATAATGATAAAAATTGGTTATGCAATGATTAATTATGCAATTAATAAAGATTGAAGATTCATTTAATACATATGAATACTTTGATGTTTTGCCAAGCAAATTCTATCGTGTGAAATGTGTAAAAATTTATCAAATGGATCAATCAAGATAGATATGCATAGAACGTTTTATTATTATGGTGACGATAATAATGAAAAGATAATGATGGATTTAATGAAATCTAAAAATTTTTGCAGAGAAAGAAAATTATTATCAAGTGATTTCACTCAATGTTTTTAAATAATATGGCTTTATATCCCAATTATTAAAGTGCTGGGAAAAATAAAGGAAAATTATAGCAGCTGAAGTAATTCTACAATTACTGAGTCAACCATCATCCATAAGTTGTATATCATTAAAATTTTCATTTAAAAAAATTTTTCACACTATTTTTCAACTGATGGACAGAATAAATTTTTTTCTAAGAGCAGCCATCATTTCAGGTCGCTCGACTGATAAGATAGATTTTGCCAGAGAATTACATGACTGCAGGTAAACCACTAGCATGGCCTCGATTTTTGAAAGACAGGTCTATTCCTGTCATAATCAGAACCCTTCTAGCATCAGCACAAATGAGAACAACAACCTGCTGAGCCATATTATCACTGCTTTAATTTTCATTTTTGATTTTCATTTGTCAAATTGTTTTATTAATAAAAATATTTTAGGCTATTAATATTAAAAGTATAGGAAATTTTTAGATTCAATGAGAAATTTGAAATTTAATACGAAAAATTCGTATGCGAAATATTAAAAAAAGAATTTTTTAATATAAAATTTTTTTATATCAGTGTTATCAATGTTAAAATGTTTTTATATTGTTAATATCAAATCTTTTAATAGCCCAAAAAATTTTTTAGACTTTTTATATTAACTTAACATTCCCATTTACAAATATTTGCAGAAAAAAATCAAGATAAAATTTTGACAAGAAACTACACTGATGCCAAGTATGGCGTTTTATTTAAAAATTTTAAGGTGCATTTAAATAATCCGTTATAGAAATCTATGGAAAATTACGTCCAATTTTTTTCTTACTATTTTAAGATGTTTTTTAAAAAACATATTGGATTTTAGATTTTCACCTTTCGAATTAATTCCCAGAAAACTCATCAAAATTTATGTGCTGCATCATCATACTATCTAATGGAAAGGGAAAGTTTTGCTACATACTACACTACTACATTACGCCAACTCCCCGATCTTAATATAAATCTATATAACATTTGGACGTTTTTCGGAGAATCTTCCGTGACAAGATTTTAAGAGGCGGGTCAAAGGTCTACTGCGATCTTCTTGTTTTGCAGCGATCTCGATAGATTTTACTATAAAAGGTATCTAACGTTGATCAGTAAACGTTATCTCGGGATGTTTATTTTCACGGTGGTTTGTTTGGCTTTCATCGGGTTTACAATTGCAATTCCACTTGATAACGGTGTAGAAGGTGAACCCGAGATCGAATGCGGACCTACTTCAATAACAATTAATTTCAACACACGAAATTCATTTGAAGGACATGTTTATGTTAAAGGCCTGTATGATCAGCAGGGATGTAGGTCTGATGAAGGCGGACGTCAAGTAGCTGGCATAACTTTACCTTTTGATACTTGTAATGTGGCCCGTACTCGTTCTCTCAATCCTCGTGGAGTATTCGTTACTACAACTGTAGTCATCTCTTTCCATCCATTATTTATTACTAAAGTAGATCGCGCTTATCGCGTGCAATGCTTTTATATGGAGGCCGATAAAACAGTTAGTACTCAAATCGAAGTTTCTGAAATTACAACTGCATTTCAAACACAAGTTGTTCCAATGCCTGTCTGCAGATATGAAGTGAGTTTTTTTCCCGACTTTCGTGGTTTTATTTTCCATCATTTTAACTATTTTATGTTCATTGCAGAAAAAAATTATTTTTTTTCTTGCTCTTCCCAAACCAGCAAACCAGATAAAATTTATTTTTTTTAACTTTCACTATCAATCAGTTAAATTAGTTAAATTAACAATTTGGTGCGCTTGTTGTATTAATTACTGATGGTTCCAGTTATATATTTTTTTTGAATTTTATGAATATGAATATAAATTTAAAAATGGATGCATTAAAACACAAAAAAGGTGAAAGAATATACTTTTTAAAGATTATTTAAAGATTCTTGATGGCGGTCCAACCGGGCAACCAATTCAATTTGCTCTTATTGGCCAACAGGTTTACCATAAATGGACATGTGATTCGGAAACGGTTGATACATTCTGTGCCATTGTGCACTCATGCTTTGTTGATGATGGCAACGGTGACACCGTTCAAATCCTTAATGAAGAAGGATGTGCCCTCGATAAATTTTTATTGAACAATTTGGAATATCCAGCTGATCTTATGGCTGGCCAAGAGGCACACATTTATAAATATGCCGATCGATCACAACTATTCTATCAATGTCAAATCACTATTACAATCAAAGAGCCAAATAGCGAATGTGAACGACCAAAATGCACTGAACCGCAAGGTTTTGGAGCTGTTAAAGCAGGTGGTGGTAGCCAACGAATAGCAACTGCCCTGCCACGGCTTCTCAAAAAACGTTCTGCCGATTACGATAACACAATGGATGTTCGAACTGATATCAGTGCTCTTGATATTTCAAATCAGGTTGAATTTTTATCAGTTTTGTGACTAATTTACAGTTTTCCAGCATATTAAAACATTTATTAAATGATTATTTGAATACTTTTTATTAAATTGAAAAAAATTACTCAATCCCTTTTTTTTAGAATCAAGCTCTTCCATTTGATTTACGTCATACATCACAGTTCTATTATGGACATCCAGTAGTATTACAGTCGACAAAAGATATTATATGTGTTTCATCAATGGGTTTCTTAATTGTTGCAGGGTTGGGAATGCTTCTTACTGCTACTATGATCATTTTTTCATGTTCACGAAAGGTGTTTATATGAGTTCCTTGATTTAATCGCTTTTGATAAGAATTATTGCAAGGAATCAATTCCAAAAACAATTTTAACATTTTCATTGGTGCTATTTTTCTGAAATCTCTTATATAAAAAATTTTGGCATGCTGTTTGGACAAGCTATCGCGCAAATTTTTTTCTTTTTTATCTTCACAAATTTTGCAAATAATTTTCGGCAATATTCAATAATTCATGCTTTTTTGCAATTTATTCTTTGACTTTTATTCTTTGATAGAATAGAATTATTGCAGAGTGGGATATCATAAATATACTATCTTAAACATTATCAATCACCATAATAATTTTGTTTCCAAATCAGTTTATCTTTTTTAAACAATTAAGTGGCAAAAAGTTACAAAGCATAATGAATAGATAAAACAAAGAAGATAATTAAATTTAGCAATTTTCCTGAAATTATATTCTTAAAAAAATAATTTGAGAAAATGCATGTTGTACTTCGGATCAATTTATACTATTTGTATTATTTTTTTCTAAGGTCTCACCATTTTCTGGTTAGTCTCAATTCTCTAGACCAATTTTTTTTAGGCTAGACAAATTTTGTTCCTTATATTCCTAAGCCTAAACCTAAGCCTAAGCTGGGAGTAAAACACCCAACACTGAAATCGGCACTGAAATTCTTTGGGGGATGGGGGAAGGGCAAATCCAATGAGCTATTCTACTTTTTAATTTATTTTGATTTACATTAAACTATATTTTGACCGAATGTAAGGAAATAAATTAATTAAATTAATTTAATGAAACAAATTAAGCGAAAAGCATAGAATTAAAGAAAGGTAAAAATTTTTTATTTCGAAAAAAATTGCTTCTGCGATTTTGAATTCAGTTCAGTAAAAATGTCCGAACAATCTGATAGGCAACCTGCTTCCATTTTAATATTTACAGTAGTGTTTCCATTTCAAACTAGTAAACGCTCTGATAAATATTTTGTGGAAAGCTTTGCCGATTTGTTGCTTGAATTTTTTTTAAAATTTTTTCTTATCTGATGAAACCGAATAATTGAAATTCGAAAAAAACTTTGTAATATTATAAGAAAATGATGAAACAACTTGCAAAATCTATATGTTATATTTATATATTCTGTATTTACCAATATTTTGCCACATTTGTCTAAAATCCGCATTTATCCATGCTTGTATTTACTCGTCAGAAAGAATTTCCAAAGGCAAAACTATTATATTTAATGACTCCGAAAACAATAAAATTTTAGGAAATTTAGAGAGGAAATTCAAATAGCTTTCGCTCAATCAATTTTTATTTGAAATTGATTTAAAATAGACTGGTCGTAAAGAAATTTTGGAGACAAATAATTTTTTATCTCATATTATTTCGGAAAATTTCTTTACATTTTGTTTTGATCAAATTCATATTTTTTCTAGAAATTTTATATTTTTATATGATCAGTCGGCATCTAAAATCATTTCAGCTTCCAGAGTTATCTTCACGCTGCAATAATTCTTAATCTCTCCCTTGTACTTAATTTACATTTATGAACATAGAATTTTCTTTCTAGTTTCATACAATATTTGACAGTACTTTTTTGCCATCCGAAATCTTTGTTTCGATTGTTTAGAATTACTCATCCACTTATTTTTGACAAATTAATAGGAATGTATGTTATTTTATACATTGGGCTTACTGAAAAGTTGTTCATGTATCTCTTTTTATTTTTCTTTTATACTATCCATGGACATTAATTACTTAGAAGTATTAAAGCCTTCTATGTTTCCAATTAGTATGTTATTTTTGTTGCACTAGTCTGTGGCTCATTTTTTCGCAGTTTTATAAGATCATCAAGATAAATTTTATTTAAAAATCGAAATTATATATAGACGTGATACATATTTTCGAGCTTAAACCGGCATATAAAACTTTCTAAATGGTAAATATTAAATGAATGATAAAACGAATGAAAAGCAGTAAGCATTTTTACTTAAGCTAACTCCACAGGCAACACGATTAGAAATTTGCCAGGGAATTTTTAGCAATTGAAGAATAAACAGATCGCCAGCGCCACCCGTTTAAAGGAAAGAAAAATTTGCTACAAAAAATATGCATATCAGAAAAATATGTGTAATACAATATATACAATACAAAATAATATTTATGAAAAACTAACTAACAAAATTTTAAAAAATTAGGAAAAAAGTTCCGAAATAACTGACGAAAAATTTCGAGATCTCGACCAAAAATTTATTTACAAAATTCCAAAAAAAATATGAAAAGTCGAGAAAAATTCCGTATTAAAGCTGAAAAAAATTCACTTCTTTTCAGCTTACGGTTGCACCAGCCTTTTTGATCTTCTGCATTGGCTTTAATTTTAATTTTTTCATCAATGGAAGAGTAGTTGACATATCACTTGCTTCATCCACTGGATCCAATTCCTCAAATGGGAAATCCCTATCGAAATTGACATATTCTGCAATAAAATGTAAACTTTGCAGAATAACAGATAGGAAAAATGTCGCAAAATATTATTATTACTTGCAAAATATTACGCACAAGCTTTTCGTCCAGAATCGTTTGTTATGCTTAAATGAAAAAAAAAATTATGGAAGGAAATTCATAAAATCATAAATTAAAATTTGTAAAATTAGATATTAACCTAAAATATTGAGACTACCATCTGCATCACTGTCAAATCGCGTAAATAATTTTGCGAAGTTTGATCGCGGTTTAAGAAGAAAACGTTCGACGAGAATCTTTTTAGCTTCATCTAAGCTAATTTTCATATCGAAATTATCATCGAAATCCTGTGAGAATTCACAAATGCAATACAAATTATAAAATATAAATTTATTTTTTAAAACTTCGTTTTCCATAATTTTCTCCATTTCCAAGAAATTTCTGGAAACTGAATTTTCAATAGTAAGCAATCCCTGAAAAATCCAACCAAAAAATTTTCTTATTGAACCAGTTAATAGCTAAAAAATAACCTCAAAGATTTTTCCATAATATCTTGCTTTATTTACAATACTTTTTTCTTCTTTTTCGTCATTAAATGAATTGAATTCTTTAAGTGTAACAATTCCATCGCCTAAAATTTTTTCAATATTCTTTTGAAATGAAAATTTGCGTAATGAAATGAATAAGAATTTGTGATAATCGCTAAATTTTAGCTTTTAACTGTTATCAGTGTGATTAAAATATTAGAATATATTTGAAGTATTTAATGTACTATTTATAAATTTATATACATAGTACTTTTGAGTATTTATTTGTTGTTAGCGTCTAACTAATTAAAAATTATCTTAATTATCAAATGCTAAATATAATATAGTTTTTGAAGACAAAAATTAATATTCTTTTGCCCACTAGTAAATTTCAACGGATAAATGTCCTGGTAATACTAGGGACCCAACTATATTTCTAAATGAAACTCTCATTCTAATAGCCGATAGAATGGGCCAAGCCAGGAATGGCTGAAAATATTTTAAAGCATAGGCAAGGAAAAAAAAAAATTTCTAGAAATTAATAAATTGCCAATTTACTTAAATCGCTTCGATAATTATATTATTATATTTAGGAAACCATAGGCTATCAAAAAGAACCACATTAAACATACCATTAAGATCGTACGCATCGAATTGTTGCTTTTTTAATAGTTCATACTGTGGATCAGTTCGGAGGAATTCGTCAAAAGTTAATTCTTTATTACGATCCATATCGCAACGTACAAATTTTTCATCTTAAATTTTTTCGCATCATATTTTCCATTTTAACTTCTAAATCATATTTGTTATTATAATTAATATCATTTACATTTGCACTTCTCGCATTTACTCATTTATAATCCAAGTTTATTCAAATTATTATTCAACTTATGATTCCTAAAATCTATTATTATTAAGTTTCTTTCTAAAATCTATGTATCTTTAATAATATTATTATTTTCTAATATATTATTTTCTAAAGATTCATCGGCAGCTTATTAAGTTTTATTTTTTTTGTATGAAATTGGTCTCTGCAGTAATGATGAATAAATATTTCAAATCAACACCTGTTGAAATGAAATGATGTAGATTATTTATCACTTATTACATTAATCAAATTTATCTTGAGCAGAGGCTAATAGTGGGAACTCAACTGAGCTAAAATAATTTAATGGGAGTGCAATGGCTCAGTGGTTTGCTCTGGAGCGTTAATACTGGAATATTGCTCACATAAGAGAGTTAATTTTTCTTTCAGAAATCTAGGTTATGCTGGCGATTCACTTCTATCATCAAACTTCGTTCGATTACTTCGTAAAAAATTATTTACTTGCTGCGAAAAGCCAGCTGAACGAATCGAGAAATGATGAAAGCTTTTAGAAAGAAAGAAAAACTCAATTTGAAACTCTTACCGTTAGTCTCGTCGACAACAGATTGATCAGATAATGGCGCTGGTATGGACTTGGTTCCAACGAATAATAGAACAATAACCAGTGGCAACTGCTTTAACATTTTTCTTTTTCAGTAGACAAATTCTTTAATCCACTGTTCATTTGTTGTCGATAAACGACTTATATACTTGCAAATGTTGTTAGTCAACCGTTTTTTGCTCATAAGGAATGATGGGCGTTCCCATTTTAAAGTTGTAAATGACTAAGAAATAATTGCCAGAATTCCACAAACAGAACGATGACGATAACAACAATTACTAATTGGGTTGTGGTCTGGATGGGTTGATGAAATGCTTCGGAGACGGATTGGATGCTATAAATTTTTCAATCAGTTACTACGTCATAACTGGCTGATTTATTAACATTTTGGAGAGTGTGAATTTCATTGCAATAAGTTTTTTCCTAAAAATATTTTAGCTAATTCAGATGATAACTGGTGATAAAATACAGGATGGATGGATGGATGGTTGATTGGTCGATTTAGTGGTTTAACAGCGGAATAAGAAGAGCCGACTTTCCAAAAAACTAGTTGGTTTGTTATTCATCATATTTTGTGATATTTTTCTTCTTAAATCAAAACTCGTGCTTTAGTTTTGTCTCAATAAAATTCTATAATTTTATGTTTGCAAATGTTTTTTTTTCTTTATTTTTATTTTTATCATTATTTGTTAAAACTTTGGTGATGGTACCAATGTTTTAGAAACAGTGTTAATGTTCGACTCAATATTATAAGTAAATGGCATTTATTAATCTCTATAATAAGTTTTCTAGATGATTAGAGAGCTTCAATAAATTTATTTGAAAATGCTTTTAATGGTTTCATTTTAGAAATTAGAAAAAAAATTCAATTTTTAATATAAAATAAAAAATAATATTAAGTAAAAAATTTATTCGTATTTCCTTTTAGAGCTTATATAAGAGTTTATTTATTGACACTGAAGATGTTGTAATGTGCAATCTGCTTGAATAAATGCTTGAATAAAATGAAAAAATAACAGATAAAGTATGATACAAGTGATTTTTGATAATCTAAATTAAATTTTTCAATTTATGTCCTTCAAAATAACAAAAAGTTTGGTAAAATTCGCACGTTTGTATATAAATGACTTTTAAATGAAAATTAGATTTATTTATGAATTTACATTTTTCTTATTGAAATTTTCGCATGAATCTACAAAATTTGCGTAAATTTTGCCAAAAAATTCATTTACATGCTTCTAAGAAGAAAAGGGGAAAAATGAATGATCTTGTGAAGCAAGTGCTATTCGCAAGTTAAAGTGAATTTCCAGCTAGCGATATCAATTCGATCAGATAACTGGCTCGTTGCGATCGAAATTTTTTTCTGTTTTTTCATAGCAGCATTTTATTCATTAATTCTATGGTTTTGGCCAATTATAATGCACAAAATTTGTTGGTTTTTTCTAAATAACGAATTCGCACATGCATTTAACAAATATGCTTTTTGTTATTTGATAAAATTGGGTTGAAAATTCATAAAAAAAATAAAAAAGAAAATTCGGAAAATTTTTCGATGAGGATTTTTAATCGAAAAAATTATAGAATAAGGACGTATTTCTTCAAAAAAACCTAAAAAAATTGAAAATTCTGATGAAATTTCGCATTCTTCGATACAAAAATATGTTGTGTGTTATTAAAATTTATTCTTTACCGAAAATCGCTGAAATCATAAACTTGAAAATTTTTTTCTTAAAAATTTTTGGAATTTTTGTGGTCAATTTAAGTAATTTTCATCTTGAAATTTGCTAAATTAGTTAATTCTTTGTTAACAAAAAACCATTCTAATTTACCAATTGTTGAAAATTTTAATCTAATTCTTAATTTTTAATTTAATTTCAATCTAATCTAATTTTTCTTTTAATAGTCAAAATATGGAAATGAACGATAATGAAAAATAAAATATTAATTTTATCAAGACTTTTCCAAAAGAATAGAAAAAAAATACAGAAAAAACCATAATTATAAATTTCTCAATTATTTTTTCAGAAATTCATGATTCATTAAGAATTTTTTAAGAACAAACATTATAAAATACAAGCAAATACATATATATTATATATATATACAAATAAATATCATTCAACATTTATCGATTATTGAATTATTTTTTATTTTTATGATTAAAATTAAAATTAATTAACTGAAATTAATGTTAGAAAAAACTTGGAATTTTAATTTTTAAGTGAAACTATCGAAAGAAAAATTCAAAAAATTCTCGAAAATATAAAAAGTGTTCAATTAATCTTTATCATCAAAATTCGCACATGTTTTGATTTGATTTTTTGTGCTAATTGACCTTTTCTTCTTCATATTCTTTACTTTTTATATTTTTAACAATTTCATATTCATAATTTTATTTTCATAATTTCATAATGTAATAATTATAATATAATTTAACAATTATCATTAATTTGAAAAATGTGTACGCGTTTATTATTTTGTATCCATTCTTTTTCTTTAATAATATTTAGAAATTTTAAAATTTTCTTAATAATTTAGTCTCTGCTTAAAATCAAGAAAAACAAAACAAAAACTTTTTCAATTTTTTACATGAACATATATGAATCGAAATTCCAAGGAAGTTGCACTACTCCATAGCGCTAATCATTTCCAGTTTGCTTGGCTTCACTCGCTACTGAAAATAAGACCACTTCGTCACTTATATGCCTCCATTAGGGTTTTGCTTTTAATAAAAGATATGCACTTGCTAAGGATGAACATAAACCACTGGAATAAAACCTTGCGTTTGTATTTAGTGCGTTCATTTTTTTCTGATTTATCTTCGTACTGAAAAAAGATTAAAAATAAAAAGCAATAGTGTTGAAAGAACATTTTTCATTCACTTTTTTTTATTACGAATTCCTTGAATGATGAATTTCAGTTATTTAAATCGTTATTGTTGTAAATCGAATTTATTTATTGAAGAACTGTGGAATGAATATTTGAAACTGGAAAAAATATATTCGCAATAAATAAAGCAACATGAATTTACACTCGACCTTCATATGTCACAAGGTTTTCGAATAAGTGGTTGGTGCTCACCGTCCCTAATTATGCTCATTGCACTAGTATGATAAAGTGTTGGCATGATGAAAAATTTTTGCTAGAAAGAAGGATAGGAAATTCACCAGCTTTTAGGTGCTAGAACATCTCATACGTTGCTGCTTTCAAATGTCGATGCTGGCAGGAGCAAACCTATCTTTCCAGTGGTGCGATCTGGTCCATCTGCATCGACATGTGGCTTCCTGTCAAAATTTATATGACAAGATAAGCTTAAGAAGAAACGTTGGGTGCTCCTAGAAAAAAGTCAAATTAATATTTCAGACAACAATCTGAGCAAAAGCCACCCGCCTGTCGTAACTCCAACAAATTTCATTGCATTAATCTCTTTTTAGTGAAAGTTTTTTGTTAAAACAATTCATTTGCCTTCTTTGGATTTAGCCACGCAATTCCAACATCAAATAATGAAATTTTGAAAATTATAATTAATTAAACGATGTTTGAGCCAAAATAATAAAGAATGCCAAAATAATTTCAATTTCAATAAGATAAATACAAGTAAGGCATACAAGCAAATGATGGATAACAGCTTGTTACTCCATTCTGCAAATAATAAACTGAATTTCTTATTAGTTTGCAAAAAAATACAATCTTTTTGAACAGAACTCACCATTTCTAGTTTAGTTAAGAACTTACCAAATGCTTACCACACATTCAATCGGGAATAGAAATACACACAAAAGGAAATGTGATGAAAGGAAATTCTATGAAGAGCGATGCAAAGATAAAAAAATCAAGCATAAGCAATACACTAAAAGATATAAGAAAACAATTTTAAGTCTTTCTTGTTACGAATGACAAAAAAACAAAGCAACATAGAATCGAAATAATTCGTTGAGACGACAAAAAACGATATGAGTGGTGCGAAGAAGAAATGACACTTTCCCAAGAATTAATTGCAATAAATAATGTATTTAGAACATTAAGGCAATAATAGCGCTATTTTATTAAATATATTTTTTATTTATAAATATATTTAAATATATTTTTATTTATAAATATGATAAACTCATTTATAAAAACTTTACTGAAAAACAAGAAAAATACTGAAGACGACAATATTATTAAATCTTACTGTAAATGTATGTAAATCCTAAAAAAACAGTCAAAATTAAATTTACAATTCAATTAACGCACTGTTTTTTTCATTTGAAAGTGGCATAAGAATTGCGATAAAACCACGATTTTCTGGTGAACTACAAATAAGATTTGGTGTGTGCCTTAAACGATCATTCACTTCGATTAATAAGGCTCGTATACCAGCTCGTAATGTATATACTGAATCGTCAATACAACGTATTGCACACAGTTTCGTATCTGGATGCAAAATTAACCCGCCCTGAAATAATAATCTTTAATTTTTTAAAAAATTATTTTTAAAAAATTAATTTCTGAACAAATTTTAAAATTAATAAAAAAATTAATGAAAAATTAATGAAGAAAAGTGCATTACAACATGTGAACGATTCATTATTATAATAATTTTCATAATTATTATAAGAAATTAAATAATCGAAAAGAATTTTTATTTTTTGAATTATTAAAATTTAATGGAACAAGCAAAATGAAGAAAAATTATGAAATGAATTTTTATTCAAGAAAAAAATTGAAAAATTAAGGAGAACATTAACCTTCTTCGACCTTCCTCGAACCTTGTTTTTGCTTCGATCGACTCCCTTACTGTTTTTTGTTTGCCATTCTACTGATTTGACGCCTTTCTCAAAAGCTTCATGATTCTTGTTTAATGTTACAACAACAACACCACTTGCATGCCTTAAGTAGCACAAATCGCTATTATCCTTGAGAATGTATCGCTTATACTCGCGATCCACCAATGAGCAGTGCATCATCTAAATTTTACATTCTTCCTCATCTCATCACATTCAACTCATTTACCTTTTTTATTTCATGACTATACATGGTTTAAAAAACGGTTTTGCAAAAAAATTGCAATAAATAATTTCGCAAATTTTATTTGCAGGAATGTAAACTAATTAAAATTACAAAACTAAAATTCATATAAACCACATTAAAAATATTTATTGATTATAAATACAATAATAAAGGGGGAAAAAATGAAGAAAATTAATAAAACTGGGAAAAAATTCCACAATTTTTGCCAAACAATTATTTTTAAAATTATTTTACTGAAGTTTATAAGATTATATAAAAAATAATTAAAATTTGCATAAATTCAAAAAATGTTAGAAGATTGAAATTAAGCAAAAGTTTTATTAAACAATGAAGTAATCGCAAAAAAATAAAGGCTTCCGCCATAAAACAATTCTTATTTGTATCAAAAGCCTTTTCTTATAACCCAAGTCGTTGAACTCTAATGACAAAAATCTACCTGAATACCAAAATAATCGTTCGTTATACAATATATTTGCTCATTCTTACGCATAAAAACGGAAAAAATGTCCAAATAAAATTTATTTCGCTTTAACGGACCAAAACTCAAATTTAGATGAGTTAATTGAACTCCAGTTTCGCTTAAGTTTATATCACTCACTCAAAATTTAGAGCAATCAAAAATCCCAGTTCATCTTTCTCTCTCACGGCAAGATTTACATAGATAACCACTGATAAATTTTCCTTTACAGTTATATTCATCGCGGAAACTTTTTTCACGAGCAATGAAAAGCAGTTGCTTGATCCTTTGAATCGAATATGGAACGCAAAAGAATTAAAACATGAAAGAACAGCCTTCAAATGAATGGAAGAATGAAAGATAAAGGCACATTTGGCGCAAAGAAACGAAAAAATTTTATATGAAGCAAGCTTAAAATTAAAATGAAGACCAACTGGGTAGAAGGAAAATATGGTTAAAAAACTGAACTGAAATGCATGAAAATAAAAATTTGTGAAAAAATATGTAATGAAAAAATAACATTAAGGCTAAATAAAGAATGCACTATATGTTTAGATGAACGATAAAGCCAATCGAAACAACTAGAAACTAGAAACTAAAAATTGAAAATTATTGGAAATTAAAAAATTATTGATTAAAATTAAAAATTGAAAAAAATTTTTAAAAATTATTGATTATTCAGATTATTTCGCGGATAACTGTTGAAAAAATAATCCATTTTCACCATTAAAACGAGGCGTGATATGTAAAACTGAAAGGAAAAGATGTGACATTAAACCATAAATATTTCAGCATATATATAATTTAACAATTTCAACAAATAAATAGCTGGAATATAATAGGAAAAAAATGCAATCGTCGATTTCCAAAAAGAGTTTAAAATTGTTAAAAACCTTTTAGCATTGATTCTAGAGTAACATTACAGAGAACCAAAGTTTTTTAAATATAACGAAGAGATAAATGATTTCATAAATCTGGAAAGCGATTGGCATCCTCTCGATAAGACCGAGGAATTTTGAACATTTTTAGTGAAATATCATTGCGAAACACCAACTTTTGGAAAGTTATATTAGCCGATATTGCAGGTAGAATAGGGATTTCTGGAAAGAAGTTCATAATTTTCCCGATAAAGCAAAGATATCTTGATCATCCTTCTGTGGAATTTATTTTTTTATTTCATATTTAAATCTTGCCATACAATGGGGACAAAATAATAGAGTGGAAGGTAAGATTATCACGCTGAAAGGGAACGATTTTCCTGCTTTCGACGGGAAAAACCAGGTAGTGGTAGGATGCATTAGATGAATCCCATAGCAAAAAGTTCTAAACCCAGCAAAGCGAGTGGTAGATGCAAATGCTAACTTACTTGCTTCATTACTTGAATAAATCCGAAAAATCAAGCGCTATAAAAAAAGCCTTTAAAAATTCTTAGGTAAATTAAAAAAGGAAGAAAAACACCTACCAACTCTAACTGGAAAGCCAGGAGGCAGGCGAACTTCACAAAAACGCCGTAGTTTTTCTAAATGTTTAAATGGAGCGACAATTTCTAAAATATCCAGCAATACATCGACTGTTAGAGGGAACTCTTCGCTCTGAAAAACAAAAAATTTCATCTGTTCTTCAGACTTTTGTATTAAAAAAGAATGACTAAAAATCTTTTACAAATCTTTTGCGAATGGTGCTTCAAAAATATTTTAACTAAAGATATATTCGGCGAAACGGCGAAAACAAAGGTTACTTTTTGCTGCGCCGACCTGTTTTCATACTTTTTGGACTTTGCTAGCGAGGCTTTTCTCCTTCAATGAGCCATCATAGCATTTTTTTTCATTCTTATTCTTTCTGCCTTTTTTCTTACGGGAATAGTCGTTACATACCATAATTTGCCTGGGCATGTCGCTAAACTTTCGATTCTACTTTGGGCTGACGAATTACTTTATTTCTTTTCAGTGATCAATATAAGATTGATTGATGAATCAAACTATTGATTTCAATCTGATTTTCCATTTTTACAAAAATAACTATTTGCAATCACCGTTTGACGACAAAAAATTTAATTTCGTTTAATTTCATTGCATTTAAAAATTTAATTTCATAATAACGGCTCCAGCAAGCAACCTTATTTTAATTTTTCCTTCCCAAAAACTGGCGCAATTTTTGTTCCTCTAATTTTTAACCTCGATTTATTCCTTCCTGCATATTATTCTTTCAACCAAGATTCAGTATATTTTAAATTTATATTTATAACAAACATTTGAAAAAATCATATCTCTATACTTTTCTATATTTTTTATATTTCTCCCATAAATGCTTTATTTTTTTTATATTTACATTTATATAAATTATATTTTTTCCCATAAACCGTTTATTTCACTTTAAAATTTAAATTTAAAATTTTACTAGCTAACTGGAAAAAATTTTTTAAATACTTGGGTGAATTTTACCAGGATGAATTCAATGAAGGTCTGAAGGTTCAACATTAGCACTAGTGGTTTTTTATATTGACAATTTATAAGCAAAAAATTTACCATAGCTACCAGGGCTTTGAAACTTTTGGCGTTTTCCTTGACAACTTGAGCACGGCCCAACGGCGGTGCAATACCAGGTGCAGCTCCAATATATTCTTCCCAAGTTGTTGGCATTCTTCCTGGTGGAGGCAGACTTTTACGATGTTGTAAGCTCTGAAATCCATGAAATTCTCTGAAATGAAAATTAAAACAAAATCGATAAAGCTAATCAACGAATTTTATTGCAAAAAAAAATTCAAAAAAATGCAAAAAATTGCTAAAAATTCAAAAAAAATTAATTACCTTAAATTCATCTTCACTCATCAACCCACCAGCGGCTAAATTTTGCATGAATGATTTGTTCTTTTTGATATCTTCAGCCGTTAAGTGTTCTCTTCTGTAAAATTTTTTCACTGAGTTGGAAAGAAATTAAACCAAATGAATCAAATGATAACTAAAAGAAAATACCTTTTTCTCGTTATTAGCTGCATCCCTTCCACAGTATAATAATTTGCATTGTACAAGCCGATTAAATCCTAAATAAATTTCGTTCCAATTTGGTTCCAAAGTCGTTTAATAATCAAAAAAATAAAAGTAATAAATTTGCTTTACATTCAAACGCTTCAAATTTGAAAAAAATTTAAAAAAAATAGATTACAACAAAAAAATATACAGATTTTTCATGCTTAAAAAACCAGCCGGATATTGTTCGTACAAAATGTATCGGTTTCGTGGACATCTGAACGCTGACAATATCTGATGACATCAATACATCGATTTCTTCATCAAGTTCGGCCTCTGTTTCTTCATGCCTGATTCGCTGGAATATCTATAAAATCAATTAAACAATTCAAAAGTAGGCTTAAATGAAAAAAAATTCGAAAAATTTTTGCCAGCGATCGATTGTTCAACCAAATTTTCTCTAAATAATTTGTGAATTATTTTGCAAATCCGACTGATAAAGAGTTCCTTTTTAATTCATCCGTTTTTTTTTATTTCCTACCTATTAATTTCACAACAATAGTAAAAAGGGTAAATAATAAAAGTACGATAATAATAAAACATTTTAAAGTCAAATATCTTTGAAATTTTGTGATCCCCGTAATTATGAAATTTACTTGTTCTTTTATCTCTTTTCTTTTGACATGAGCAAAACTGTCAGGTAAACTAGATCCGGATGGCTCTTGGAGACTCTTATCTTCAAATGACTCCATGGGAAAGCGGTTTAGTTATGTTGACATGGTGTCCTCTCACCCGCATTATGCGCTTAATTGGATGGCACGATAAGCATGAAAATGGACCTAACAAAACGATTCCAGAATTTGAATTGAGAAAAAATAAAAATACAGGAGTCAAGGAAATCTACTAGAGAACTGTTAAAAGAAACAAATTATCAATCGATTGTGTGTAAAAAAGATGATGCCATGGCCGAGGAATGTCAGGATTTTTATAGAAGCCAAAAGTCAGATAATAATAACCATCCATATTCCACCTGCTTGGAATTCTTTCTCAGGGCTGACGTAGTTATTACACCGGGAGAAGTGTTGTCTATGTCATAGTGATGTTTCAAATAACTCGTAGGACCTGCTGCCACGGTGGATTCTGCGATTAGCAAATTTAATGTCAGGAATAAGTGTATTAAAGGAAAGCGCCTTTGCCGAAAAACTGTTTTATATGATTTTAGCATCACATATAATCACATAGAATTCTTTGTTTACATCTTGATCAATCGTTGCTGGAAGATTTCCATATTGTCCTATAGGTGCGTTAAAACTGAAAACAACAAAAAAATTATGGTATGAACCGCAGCTGAAGTTGATAAAATGCACGAAAAACGTCCACAAAATGGGATAATAAGCTATTTCATCCACGGAATTATGGAATAACAAACTCGCCATCTGCCATCCTGAAAACAACTGAAACTTCTCGTCGAGCCATGTTTTTATAACTGTGAACCAAAGATAAACAGAACAAAAAATAATCTGTCACATAGATGTCTGACAGATACCTAAGGCCAATAAAAATTCCAGGAAAAGACGATATTCTGAAGTTTTCAAATGTTGCCTATATATAGTTCAAATTTCAATGGATGTGCTCTGGTATGGAAGAAAGAAGTAAAAACCAGATAGCAAGTCTGCTCCCAATTCTCAAAAAGAGTGATAAAGATGAGAATCGAGCATTATCGAGAAATTGGCCTAATACTAGAATCCTTGGAAGAATTTTCCTCTCTCTTCTGCTGAAAACTTATGGCATTATGACTGATGATTTATAGAGATAGCAACATGCCTCTAACCAAGCTTGATGGAGATGGTCAATTCAAGGATGGTATTAAAGCATCATTTCAATGATTTTGCCATTCCTTTGGATTTAACTGGGAGAGCTGCATTCTGAAGGATGGTGGAACGCGACCAGAGAAGATTCAAAAAGAATATCTGCAAAGATGGGGAAATTGATAGATCCTTTTAAAATAAGAACTAGTTTAATCAGTCGGTCCTTTCATTTTTAATATTTATCTAAAAAACTGATTGGATCATAGACGCTTTTGTCAGCAAGAAATCGCTTCAAAGCATAGTACCACTGGTCTTGAATATCTCGTAATAATAACATATTTCTTTTTGTTAACAGTTATGAAGAGATATAAGAGATACTAGATGGATGTTAACAGCAAAAATCAGGCTAAGGATCAGTGTAACCAGATGCTGAGAAAATACCTATTTTTATTTATTACAGGTTGAGAAAGTGCTATATTTTAAATATCTTGGCTTGTATTAAATGGGTAAGCGAAAGAAGTTAGATAACAACAACTATAAAGGCATTTTTCCATCTTCCCGCGAAATAGCCATCAAAATGAAATAGGTATTTATTTGGCTATATCTTATTACTGCGGATCTCACCCGATGATAGTGGAAAATATTAAGAAGTTATCTATATTTCTATTATCTATTTTATCTATTAAGTTATCTATTACCTATTTTTAACCACTTATATCTGAGGCAGATTTTACACACTCGTTTACTAGATTAAATTTCATATGATTGCATCCACCTTCGTTTAAATACCATTTACATGTATTAAAAGTGATCAATCAAGACTTGGATTGATATAACTGGAAGAGGGAAAACCCGTAGGAAAAGCTTTAATATGGGCTTAAGTGTGGAAAAGTGAATGATTTTTGTTAATCACAGATGTGGCATTGAATCGAGCGATTTGGAATCGTCTTATTTCTATGGCCTAATCGATACTGATGCGAAGCTTTAGGCAAAAAACTTAAATAAATGAAAGAAAATATACTAACAACAGCAAATCAAATTTATTTTATAATGAAATAAAATAGCATCGAAGCAATGAAACACCTTGGTGTCGTGATCCAAAACAAAAAATTTTGATTTATCAGCAGATGCATCGTAGATGAATGAAATATCGCCGCGTTCCCACGTACGTTCATTGAAATCAGCTAATGTCGTATCTAACCTCAGGCAAGTTCCACGCTTATAAATTTTGCATAGATCTGATGGCAAAATTTTCGAAAGAAGTGGAACTAAAATATATGCTCAATTTCGAGCTACATTCAGCGAAAACTTTAAAACACGAAAGAATTAAAAAATTTGGACAAAAATACTTGACTTACTCCAACTGTGAAAGTCCCACTTTACTTCCAAGTAAAAATCCTTAGATTCCTTGAGAACTTTTTCTAAATGTGGTTTTTTTGTAGTCATATTTTCACGTGACTGAACCTTCAATTTTCTAAGCATCGCTGTTACTGAAATTCAATATTAATCATTAAAATCGTAAATTTAAAATCGTAAGAGAACTATAGAAATAAAAAATGAAAACATTCCAGGAATTAACACTAAGAATAAAACGAAAATATAACTGAAAAACTGAAGAAGAATATTCATAGTTAATAATAAATGGCGTCTAAATATGACCATAAAAAAATGTGAGCTAGAAAAATTTACTTTAAAATTTTTCAGTGAAAAATTGTTGCACATCATTTAATTGAAAACTTACTGATCTGACGATCACCGTAACTTACAGCTTCCATTAGACTATTCCAACCTTCACGATTCTTCACTTTAACCGGCGCATCATGAGAAAGGAGAAGAGCAATAGATTCTGCAATTTGGAATAATTTTTTACGCCTTATTTTCTTTCCTATTGATAGAGATTAATAAAAAAAAAACCCTATAGTAACGGCGTAAAGAAAAAGTAAAAAAAGTAAAGTAAAAGGCGTAAAAAATGGCATACTTAAACAAATTATCAAACAGAAAATCTTTAAACTAGTCGCAATAGCAAATAGCAAATCTGATGATAGGACTCGAATCGACGCAGCCGTAATTTACCAAAAAAATGATTGCATATACCGTAGTTTGAAGCGAGTATTAAGAGAATTAATAGCGAAGTTTGAAGGGAATTCTCAGGAAGTATTGTATAAAAGAGTAAGAATGATGGAATTTAAAGGTGTTTGTGCGAGATGCTACCACTTAACAGTCATTTTATTCAAATTAAGAGTGACTAAGCTATGACTAAGAACTTTTACCATTCACATTCAGATGTATATTTTATACACTTATAAAGGCAACAATTTAAGCTAATTATTAAACAAATATTTTTTAGGTGCAGTTCAATGATAAATGCACAATTAACAGGCCCTACTGGTTTTTTTTAAAATTACATAATAAAACCTCGATGCCCCAACATGGTACATATATGTAAAGCAGTATTTCCATGTTTATCTCTTTGAAACAGATCAGCACCTACAAAAATTTAACCTAAAAAACGAATTTAATTTATGCAATAAAATGATCTAAGGTTACTAAAAACTAAAAAGCCTTCACAGTTTTTATATTTTTTTAATTTATAAACCAAATCTATAATAAACTACATTATTATCATATTGTTGCATAATTTAAATATACTAATAATCGATTCAACTAATTCAGAAATTTCGAAACTTTTTTATAGAGATTATATCAGAAATCTAAATTCAAATTTCCGAGATTATCTTCTTAATCTGCGAATGTATCAACCTCCTTTGATGAGCTCTTCTAGAGAATGCGTGTCATTGAAGAAAGCAGATCGATGTAACAGATACTGTTCCTGGTCGGCCATATCTTTTGAATTAATAAGGAAATCACCAACCACTCGATCGTTCTGTTTCGTATTTTTAAGAGAATATGATTAATAGCACTGAAATTTACTATAGTAAGTTATTATTATTATTATTATTATTCTAGCAAATTTAATACATATATGCAACAATTAAATAAAGCGTAAATAAATTGAATTCAAAGAAATATTTCTTTGAAATTTCTTTTTGATATCTCTGGAACAGCAGAAAAATACTGATCCCAACTAAAGAAATATCTCAGAAAATATCAGAAATTTCCACATTAATATATGCTAGTAGGAAATGCGCTAGTTGGGTATCGGAAGCAACTGTCCAGTGAAAAAGCTGCCAAAGCACGAATGTCAGATCTTGACTACCAGATGTACCGAAGAATTATAACTGTAGCAAATCGGTACAAAAAGAGATATTGGAGCGATATGGCCTTAAGAATGGAGATGGCGATAATAGAAAACTGTTATAGCTGCTTTATAACTCGGGGTACGATCAGTGAAAAAGTAAGGGACAGCAATGTCGTGCCGGTCAAGAGTACTAAACACCACCTCATAAGATGGAAGGAATTCTTTAAGGCCAAATTTACCCACGGCGCATCGAATTCCGTGGGGCTCGGAAATAGTTGATTCGCTTGTCGAACCTGCCATCCAGAAGCTTAAGGCCAATAAAATTTCTGGAAGAGATGGTCATCGGGCCGAACTCTTCAAATGTTCATCGTCCTTCATATCGCATCTTCAATAGATTACTCTCTGATCTGGAAGAATGAAATAATACCAGATAACTAGAGCAATTTTGCCTCCAATTTCTAGGAAAGATAACAGGACATGTTATGACAATTATGGAGGAATCAGCCTTCTAAACATCTCCGGGAAAATTTTCGCCTGAATAGACTTATAGCAGTAGGATACGCCCCTAATCAATTTGTATTCAGACCAGGATGCGGTTGTGCTGACCAGACATTCATGCTAAGGGTGCTGGAATACCACTTTAAATATCAGTAATCTATCGCCACATGTCAATTATCAATTTAACATTTTTGCAGTTGCTTTCGATTCAAATGATAGAACAGTGCTTTGGAGGGTGATGAAGAGTGATGTGACGATGTTCCAGAGATCATAAAGGCGTTTTATCAGCGTACATCGGCGATCTATGTAGATGGAAACTGACAGACTCTTCTGAAATAAGGTGCGCGTCAAGTGATTTATGGACTTTTAATGAAAGGTTCGCTGCTGTCAAGGGATAGAAATCGAATCCATGATGACTGCTCTCAGCGGGAAGCAATTTACTTGGTCACCCCCGACTCCCGTTATTCACAAAGGGCTTTTTTGAGAGCGTTTAATTTAAGCGATTTAATTTAACAGAATCAGTTAAGCTGAAAACAACATCATCTGAATAAACGAAAAAATTGTACTAAAACTTGCAAAAAAATTCAAGTTGAGAATAAAATGCCAATCACCAACTTCAGTCCAAAAAATTGTCGCAAAATTATTCAAAAATTATATATTTGCTTTCCCTTTAAAATTCAGTAAAAATCGATAAAACCACTTAACGTATTTAGATTAATAAATTACTTACATTTCAACTTCGACTTATATTCACCGTCTAAATTCTTCTGCAACTGCAAACAACTGCAAACGCACAACCGCATAAATGCGTCATGAATAAAGTGGATAATGCACAGCAAAATCCGGCAAGTAAAAATCAACCTGAATGTTAAAAAAGTTCAAATTCTCCGATCTCCGATCGATAAGAAATATCGCTTAATTGCCAAGAAAATATGTAATTCAATTTGCATAAGAATATGGAGAAAAATGAAATTATAAAAAAAGAAAAATGGAATGGAAAACCGAGAGATTTAAGAGAGTCGATCCTATCATTATTAGAATTCAAGGAATTAGCTCTTCGCCTTCTCCATTTTCTTCATACACTGATAATTCTGACTTCAAAAAAAACCAAAAATCGAACTTTTTTCATCCAAATTAACGGAAATAAATCTACCGATAAATCTAATATTTATTTATTTTTCAAAAACATTTAAAATTTATAAACATTCAAAAAACATTTAAAAATTCAAAATTTTTGATAAAATTTTTAAAAAAAGAAAACATTTGGCTGCAAAAAATTCAATAAAAATTAAATTAAAAATAAGAAAATGAATTCAAACAATCAGTAAAATTAATAAAGAACGTTTTAGCGCTTTCGGTACGATTTTTTACCGAAAAAATCTTCCACTTCCTTTTTGCTCATTTTCCTTCCACTTCAATGAATCCATGAGCCATGAATTCTTTCATTCGTAATCATATTCACTTTTCGCATTTTTTTCACTTCATATTAAAAAATATTTGAACTAATATTTAAAAATTACAAAATCTGTTTACATTATTTCAAAAATATTTCAGATAATATTAATAAGCCACTGTAATTTTCAAAATACTTACTTATAAAATCAAGAAAAGTAACAATGCAATTCGCTCATGGAAAAGGAGGCTGGAAAATAAACTGAGCACAGCGCACTGAAATCAGCCAGCTGATAAAATTATAGAAAAGTGCGAAGAATAAAAATAGTGTCTGAATGCTGGGAAAATACATAAGCAACATAAATGAACCAAATGACTGTAGCAGGCTCTCATCCAGGCTGATTAATACCAGGAAGGATACTGATAATGAAAGGCCCTCATAAAGAATAACACCATCCAACTACTGACCAATAATCTGCCAACTCACAGCAATCCAGTTAGACATTATAGCCATTAAACTATAAAACCATATGAGTGCAGTTCAAAAAGGCATTGGGAACAACACCAAAGGATCCAAACACCAGTTGCTCATAGATAAGACAGAAGATAGACAGTTTAAACTCAAAATCTCGGTAATCTGTATACAGCTTGGACTAATTATAGGAAATTCGATGATTCAATTCCACACGCATGGATCTTTGAATATCTCCATCTGTACAAAGTCAACAGGACCCTACAGAACATTTACTGAGAACAATGGGACTGAGGTAAACGATATTTGAAACCAACTCGAAACAGCTTGCACCAAGGCAATGCAGTGCCTTCCCTATTGTTCTAAACACTCTCCGTCAGATAATCACAAGAAATGGATATGGATTTAAATTCACGTTTTAAGAATCCTGTAGGTCCCATTTCTCTTTGGTGCCCTCTTTTATCTTTATTAGGAGCATGTTAAGAGCATATGAGCTGAAAACATACATAGAAAAAAATTACCACCAGTCATCTTCTCTACATGGATAGCGTTTCAAATTATATGCAAAAAATTGTGTAAAAAGGTATAATAAATTATATAAAAAAGTGAAGGAAATACAACCCGCTCATCCATCTAACTTAGATCTACAGCGAAGACATTGGGATGTTATTCGGAATAGAGAAATTTGGCCGAATGCTAATAGAGGAAAAGCAATGATAATTACTGAAGTGGACCAGTGGCTAGGACATATGGCTGGCATATAGGCTAGTTTTACCTTGGTATACCACAATCACATAACTATGATAGAAGGCAAGGAAGACAACATCTAAATATCATCAGAGGACAAGACAAATCTTGAAAAGCCGGCTCAATGGAAAGAACAAAATCCGTACCACAAACATGTACCAGTCATCAGATATGCGGATGGACAAACGAAAATATGGGGGGCGTTGGTCTTGAAAGACGAGGAAACTCCCCACAATGCACGAAGATTTCCATCCCAAATCCAATATCTAAAGGCTGTCGATCTCGATGGTAATAATAAGTGACAGGAATATTAAGAGGAGTGTGAGAAGTTAAAGAAACACCAATGGCTAAAAGAGGAACTAGAGAAGATGTGGAAAATGAAGGAAAAAGTAAATGATAACTAGAAACTGTAATCTTTAAACTAGAAAAGATTCCAGAAACAACATCAGAGACCTCTGTCCAGAAGAACTATTAGCAGCCAAGATGCTGCGGAGAATTCTTAATCTCCCAGGTTTTTGGTAGAAGACCTGAGACTGAGAATAATCAAGATCACCGGAAAGGATTGAGAAAAAATTAATACATATGTATTTAAATATATATTTAAATATACCGGCTTTTTCTTAAAATAACAATCCAAAAAAATTCTTACTTATCTTTAGAAACCTGGATTGAATGATTATATAATGAAACAACGAAAGGTAAATGAATCAATTGCTCATTAAATTATCGCCAATTATAACCAATGAAACAATGATCAGAAATTAATAATGATAACGATGATAATTTCATTAAAATTCGATAATGAATTAACAACAATAAAAAAACAATAATAATGATAATAATAATTAACAATAGTGATAATAAAGAATAACATAATCCGAGCGATGCTGGCAACTCACATGTCTCAACGTGAAACTTCTATTCAGCGTGACTCTTTAAAATTTCTTCCCGAGAATTTATCTCTAAGTCCAACGAAGCCAAGATTACTTATGCATTTGCTTGTAAAAAGTATGTCGCATTTTTGATAAAAAAAATGATTTATGAAAAAATTGAAAATTTATATGCAACGAAACCGTATATATACCATATTTGTGAAAATATTTTAAAAATAGGTACCAATCATAATAAATGAAATATAGGAAAAAAAAAGGAAAGTTACCGCAAGTTTACAAGT